TACCAAACTTCTTCTGGCCATCCTGGTATCCAATACGGGTATCGACGTAGTGGTAGTAAAGCACAGGACCCATCTGGGGGTCATAGTACACACCCTGACCACCCGGACCGTAGACCCAGCCGTGAGATTCCAACACAGTAGTACCGCCACCACGAGTGCAGTCAACACCGTTCTTATCGACAAATCCACCAGTAGCGCTAGTGGACCTGCAGACTTGGATCTTGTACTCCTCGCCGCGGGCGGGCCTGTTTGTATCGAAGCCACAGCACTTGCCGACGGAGAAGAAGAGGTAGTGGTATTTGCCGTTGAGAGCGATAAAAGGGGCTTCCTGGGCGTGGGTGCCCTCGGGCTTGAACGCAATGTTCGTCACAGCTGACGAGCTGGTCTTGAGCGGCGGGTTAGTCATGCCGATGCTGAAGAGGTCTTGCCAGAAGGATCCAAAGGACATGACGAATTTGGAGCCGTCCCAGTAGAGGGCGCCGTCGATGGCGTTGTAGTTTTTGCCGCTGCTGGACTGGATGCCCGTGGAACCGAGGTCGTTCCATGTGTTGAGGTCTTTGCTGGTTGCTACACCTATGGCCGAGTTTTGGCTGCCGAACGAGGACACGCTGTAATAGAGGTAGTATGTGTCGCCGACCAGGGTTACGTCGGGGGCCTGCAAGGTGGTGTTAGCTGGGTGAGAGATGATGGTGTTTCGGAATCGAACATACCCATAGGTCGTTCTTGCCAGGCAAGTTGATCTTCGAACCCGCAGGAATGGCAGCACCCTTGTAGGTCCAGGGACCAGTGATCTTGGGCGCGGTATGGACGGCGATCTTGCCGCCAGTCGAGAAACGGAAATAGGTACCATCGGCACGGCGAATCAAGGCGGGATCATGGGCGTTGTTGCAGATTCCCGTGCATTCCATGGGGTTAGCATAGCCGTAAACTGCGGTGACTGCAGAAAGCAGCGAAGCAACAAGTGAGTAACGCATCTTGAACAGCCGGCGTCGGACAAGCAGCCGAAAAGAAAAGAATGGGGATGTGAAAAGAGGCGGTGGGCGATCAACAACGAGAACAGCAGCATCGAAGCATAAAATATATAGTAATATATTTTTTAGTCTATATTCAAGGACTTTGACGGAATCTAGAAAAGCGGGGCCCCTGGGTCACAATGTGGAATGAGAGGATGTGTGCAATGGGCTGTTTCGTAACTGGTGGAAACACCGATATGGCTATGGAGATATGCATGCTAAGGACAATCTAGTTTGGAGAGGAGGGAGGGAAAATAAATGGCGTTTCACGTTTGGCCAGGCTAGCGGCGTCTGTGAATGGTGGCTTAGGGGAGGGTTGGACAGCCATGTGGGTTGTGATAGGCACGGGGGGATTAGGCCCCGCAGAGAGCCTTCGGAACAAAATTAGGCCAATGGGTGTAGGGAGCGTTCGGGTGAAACCCGCCCGGGCCAGTATACATTACCGCATTGGGAATAGTGCCGGGTTTTGTTCTGCCTCTTTGGGTTACTACGCCCGCTGTCCCGTCAGGAACACGATGAGCACGTGATCGGAACGGAGAGATATGCAGTGTTTAGGTGCTGGAATATCTCCTTCTTCCAAACCGTAAAATGCATTATCCTCCCAAGCGTCTGCAGCTTCCCGCCGCCCAGTTGCACATCCTTCCATTGCGCAACCTCGGGCGGGCGCCTGCGCATCTTTGATCACCATGCACTAGCTTTCCCCGCTCCGTCGGCCTTGTTCAGGCCAAACCCCCGTCAACTACTGAGAAGATATGCAATCGTACGTGCAACCTTGGGGCCCTTGGCTGAAGGCCTCAAGAAGCGATGTGACGACGCCGTTCACCTTAGTCTCGCTTCCAATACATACTATCACAACCACCTGCCTCTTCTTCAACAATCTCGGTCCGGCCTTGAACAATGGGCTTGACCCGAGGCACGTCTCGAGTGATATATGGACGGATGATTGTGTTTAGTAAGAGGAAATGGCGTACTTGAAGCTATGGCGGTGTGTCTATCAAAAACGCCATCAAAGCAATGACCCAGTATTCGTATGAGCCTCTAGCAGCCTAACCATTTAAAATCGACCTGATAGTCGAACAAATACCATGTCTCCCCAACTCCATCCAACAAAAACCAAGAAGCTACCTTCCTGATGACGTGACCCCTGCGGTAGAGCATAATATAACGTACATACATACGTATTTCTCAGTGTATCCTAAAAGATAAGGAATTTACGGTTCGATTATCAGCGCATTGTCCAAGGTGAGATCACATAGGTAGATATATTACATAAAAGTAATTTCAGAACCAATTTCACTTCGTAACTCCATACATCTACATCGATTAGACTAGTATCTAGATGCACATATTACAATCATGAGAAAGCGATGTCAAAAAATATTATTCATTCATGATCATCATCATTACACTGTGATAAGCTTACTTGTTAAGCCTCTTCGCCCTCTCCGGGTCCCTCCACCACTTACACTGCTCCATCCTAATCGCCACACCCTCATCCTCCATGTAGGCACCACCCTGATCCGGAGGGCTGACCACCAACTGCTTACTTCCAGCACCCTCGTACTTTTCCCACACTGCAGCGTTGGCAACACGATGCGTGTTTGGATCACCGCTGACGACGAAACTCGCCCAGTATGCACTGTAGAGCACGGAGATTTCTGGGTATTGCGTGTTGAGCTGGCCGTTAAAGTAGAGGGAGTCACTAGCATGGGGGATGCCTCTGTATGTTGGGGAGAAGTTGGGGGTATTCCAGCGCGCCTTGTAGACGGGTGCGGAGGCAGAGGAGAGGACATCGGCGGTGTCCTGGACGGGGCAGATGTACGAGTAGTCTCCGTAGGCAGCGGAGAGACGCTCGAATTGGTCGGAGACGTATCCCAATGTGCCAGGTGTAATCTTTGTGTTAGGATACAATCGCTCCAGATCGGTGAGATCCTCGGCGTTCAGGCCTGGAGTCAGGGTTTCCCAGAATGTGAGGTACTCGGCATTAGCGCGCAAATCTTGTGGTGCGAAAGCTTTGCCTTCGTCGGTAGTAGAGGAGATTAGGAGAGGGACCTTGAAAAAGGTACCCTCCTCGCCAGATGTCGAGCCACGCTTCTCAAAGATGGGTCCTGGAGAAACAGGCTGCCAGGGCCAAGTGATGTTGTAGTTGTGGGCATTGTAAATTGACGAGGAAATGAACTGGATATCACCCACTTCAGATGCCTCCAGGCAAGCGAGCGCTTCCGAGGTGGGTGATTCAGGACAGTTAAGGTAATCCATAAAGTCCGCAACTTGGCGCTGGTAGAGTGGATAGTCGATACCCGGGAATGCACGTGCAGTCGGCGAACCAGATGAAATGGCGGCCTTGCTGAACAATGGCTTGCCAGCATCCTCAGCATAGTTGTGGAAGAGATGAATGCCAACAGCATGGCCACCAGCACTCTGACCACCAAGCGTAATCTGGTCCTTGTCGCCTCCAAAGTGGCCAATGTACTTTTGCAAAAACTCCAGCGCCATCTTTTGGTCTCGGATTCCCAGGTTCAAAAGACCCTCTTCTTCCATGAACTTTGCGGGGAGAGTGCCTAGTGCGCCAAGGCGATACTGCACTGTGACGACCATGAGAGGCTCCGTGCTCCTCTCAACAAACGTGGCACCATCGAAGCTGCGGTGAGAGCCAGAGACAAACGATCCACCGTGCAAGTAGACCAAAGATGGCAGCTTCTTCTCCATGGAGACACCAGATGGCCGGTAGACGTTGATGGTGAGGCAAGCTTCAGACTGTCCTAGCGAGCTGTACATGTTCTGGAAGCAAGCCGGTCCATTCGCTGTCGCATCTTTTGTGCCATCAAAAGGCGCAGGCCAGGTAACTGGCTTGAATCGGCCTGGTCCGACCGGCTGCGTAGAGTACTCGACGTTCAACCAAGCATCCACCGGCCTGCTCAAAGTCTCCGTCTTCTTGAGATCCGTCAACAGTTTGGTGCCCTGGAAACTGCCATATCCAGGCAGGCTGATGAGTAGAGACTGGTCTGGTGTCTCTTTGTTTGGAGGGCTCGGTCGTTGTGGCGTTCCCGGCTGTGGCAGGGCTGGAGGATAGGTTGGCCTCGCATAGGTGAAGGCACCAAAGTACCAAAAGAGAAACACCGTGCTACTCGAGAAAATCATGATGATGGCGAGCCTCCTCTTCAACCATCGCGAGGGAAAATGGCTTGGTTTTATAGTACTTTCTTGCTCCGGTACCGTTGCTGGTTGTACCGCAGCAGACGGTCCAGGGAGTCGGTCCGTCATGTTTGCCGGTGTGCTGCAGGTTAGCAGGGAGCAGATCGTGCAGAGACTGCGGGGCTCCAGATTCGAAGTAGCTGCTACTACGGATAATCTGCGGCCAGAATGGCGTTTGTTGGCGCTAGTTGAGGCGGTGGGTGGTGCGCGATGGGCAAATCTGGTGTTGAGTGTGGAGAAAAGGCATAGGTCCGGCCAGTATGACGTTGCCAAGCCCCGTTGGGATCATGTCCGAGTCAAGTACATATCAAGATCAAGCACAGTCTTGCCGGGAATCAGTGCCGCTTTTCATCCCAGATACCTGTTCCTGAAAAGAAAAAATCAAACGGTCCTATAAATTTCGCTATAGTAGATACCGAGGGCACAGGCGCGTTATGGATGGGTCACAACAGCGAAAGAATTGGCATGGCTGCGCCATCCATGCTTGTCTTCAGCCGGACTTGTCTTTATCTTTCTCCCACCACCGATGCATCTTACAGCCGGAAGAGAACTAGAAATCTGTATCAGGGGTCCAATCTCCGTCGGTAGAATGTACATATGCGCGTGACCGATATGCATGCAGGTAGCAAGGACAAGACTATCTATTAGACCGCCTGCACCCCGCAACACTAGCGTATAGTAAATCAGCCACCGAAAAATCTGTTACTCTGAGCGGCCATTATTCTGACGCCGGCGAAATAAACTTTTGTCCAACTCAAAGCTTCGCATACTTGTCAGGCTAGACTTGATGTATAGGCATTCTAGATTCATTCCTTTTCTATAGAAAAAAATAACTCATACTACTACCAAGACCACGCAGTACTATCTGTTCGTTTTTACGTTCATCGTCCCAGCGCTGCAAATTCCTTCTCCACCGCATCCGCCATATCCGCAAGCGTGTCAAACTTCCACGTGTACACTGGATCATCGCGGTTCCCCATGACAGCACCGGGTCTGTAGATCCACGAACTCTTGATCCCCATGTCTTTGGCGGGGTGATGATCGTGATACTGCGACTGCGCTGTCTGCAGCACCTCGTGCTTCTCCACGCCAAACTCTTCCTTGACATGGGTAAGCATGTACTCAAAGTTCCGGGGGTCAGGCTTGTAAGACCCGATATCCTGGGCCGTGTATACAGCGTCGAATTTGTAGCCCTTGAGGCCATTTGCATTGCCTCTCTTGAACGAGGCGTGGTCGACGTTGGATAGGACGACTAACTTGTAGAACTTAGAAAGCCGCTCCAGCGCAGAGGGGATGTCGGAGAATCCGGGCCAATCACCAATGCTCGCGCCAAACTTTGTGCATTCTTCTTCGCTTGGTTTCTCTAGCCCGACTGTCTCGCACAGCTCAGGGAGGACCTTGGCAAGTACCTCGGAGTACTTGAGATGGCCGTGTTCCCTCTCAACCCGGGCCTCGATCTTGTGCATGGTTTTCAAGAGTTGCTTACGGTCCATGTTTTCTTGATCGGATTTCTTCAAATGGGGCTCAAGTCCAATCAAAGCTCCATTCTCCCAGTCTATGAGCGTGCCATAGACGTCAAATGAAAGAAGCTTGAAGTCTGTGAGTTTGGCCATGCTGACTAGTCGCGTTGGATGACTTGTGAAGGAATAGTATAGTAGAGTCGAATTGATGTATTAGAGGAGTTGAGTATAATTTGGAGAAAGATTATGTGTTGTTTTGATGACTGTTGGCGATGCGATTCAACAATATGTATACTTTGTGCACTTTGTTGTTGTCGTTGTTTGGAGGCACTTGAGTGACCCCACTTGGAGGCATGACGTTGGCAGTGGGGTAACGCCCGAGATAACACGCCCTTTGGACAAATGCGGGACTACATGCGGGACTACGGCACGGGAAATGCACCAACAGGTAGTAACTGTAAGACAGACGCTATACACGCTTTATGTGCATATCAGAACAAAGCGAAGATCGTTGACGCGTAGGGTTTAGCAACGAAGTCTGCTGTGACTCAACAAGCCGCTGTAAGACCACTCATGGTTCAAGATGCAATCTGAAACTATACTACATTATTTGGTGTGATATTCTATCATAAGTTCGGCCCGATACTGTTACGCCAAACCTACGCTATATGGACAACTTAGGCCTTCATTTCATACGGCAAGCTTCCAAGCTTTGACTCCAATACCTCCTTTGTCAATTTCCATACGTTTGCCTGCAGCTTCTCATCCAGGGCCTGATTCGACGGCGCTTGTACCTTCTTATCAGGAACAATATATGAGTTCTAGAACTGTTAGAATAATACTACATCTAAGTTTATATGACTCACCTGGATTTGATCTTTGACAATGTCTGGCGATGCTGCTGCAAACAGGGCAGGTCGACAGCCTTCCGCCACTGGGTCCTTCATGAACGGTCGTACAGCGCTCACGCCGACCTTACCAAGCGTGCCGTACGCTTCAATAGCTTGATTCTGTTGATCCGTCACCACACCTCCGGGGTGTGTTGCGTTGATCCACGGCAAACCCAAACTGTTTGTGACCTCTCCAAAGTCGCCCGCCTTGATGTGGGAATAGAGTTCGCGAAGGAAGAGGATTTGAGCCAGTTTGGTTCGGTTGTAGAGCTTGGTAGCACCGATATCTTGGTTGATCTCGTCGATTGATTCGAACTTCATGCTCGAGTCCGCGCCCCTGTGGAGGTCGGAGGACTGGTGCACGATGCGGGAGTCTGACGTCTTTTGCAAAATGGGCAAGAGTACGAGTGTGAGATGGGCTTGCGAGAAGACGTTGACCTGCATGTGGCTGTCCAGGCCATCACGCGTTTCGTTGTACACGCCAACACCGAGGCCAGCATTGCAAATCAATGCATCGAGCCTGTCCAGCTCCTTTGCCAGCGACTTGGCTACTTCGTCCACCTGCTTCAAGTCTTCGAGGTTGCACTTGCACCACTCAACCTTGCTGACATCACCCCATTCCTTGAGCGCCTCTTGGGCCTCGTCGGCGTGGTCTTCCTTGTTCGAGAGGAGGTAGATCTTGGCCGGGTTGTGTTGAAGGAGATGGGCAACGATGCCATAGCCGATGCCAGCTGAGCCGCCTGTTACAACGTAGACCTAGTCTTAAATTAGAACCTGGATATTTATTATGGGATGAAATCTTACCTTTCCGCTAAGGTCTGGAATGTCGGTGTTGGGGTCGAAGGCGCTGCCAATTGCTTTCTTGATTGTGTCCATGGTTTGTGTAATTCAATATATTCAATATTTCGTGGAGTTCTGTTCACTTTTTTTGCGAAGCAACTTTCAGGCTATCGGGTTTTGTTCGACATATGGCTCACCAAGGCGTTGCATATCATGTCGTCATAATGATTTGGATTGGCGTAGGTAACACTTCCGACTACGGTAATGGGGCATCGCATCAACTCAATATACAATATGCGTCAGGTGAAGATGAGAAATTAATGCGCTTATATCAAGTGCTGTATCTTGCGCAGCAATAGTTGTAGAGTTTGCATATATAACCCTGGTGTAGAAGGGTGTCTATGAATCAGTGATGTAATACCGCGACACGCGATACAGTATACCACGCATAACAAACAACTCGCGAAGAAACGCGCTTGGAGAGAAGCACTTTGTTATTTTCGAGATGATGCATAGCGTTTTCATGACGAGATGAGGCGTTGTATACGAAAACATGACGTGCCATGTCGCTAGGGTGGATGATCCAGGGCAGCCCCGCCACTCCACTTCTAAATGGTTTGTTTGGATAAATTCAATCTTCAGAAAAAGTAGCATAACTACCATTTGTAACTAAAGCGTATATTTCAATGCAGTAACCCTTAGATAATAACCTGAATTCCGAAAATCTGGTTAAACCCGCATGTCTCTTGGCTTGATAAACAACAGATCAGAAAAGAAGAAAAGAGTATTACCATTAAACCCAGTATCCAGCATAACTTCATTGATCCAGCCCACCCCCACCCACCCAACGCCTTGATAACAACCTCGCGCATAACAATCCAGAGTGGGGTATATATCCAGCCAGCCAGCGCAAGATCATTAAAGTTTCTCGTCCGAATTCCCAGCGCCAGTAGCCCCGACCGGCCAGGAAAAATAAACATGCCAATTTCCCAATCGTACATAATCTTACACTGTACATATTACAATGATAAAAAAGAGAACAAAGAACCGCAAGCAAGCGTGGTACTCGCTGTATGAATCCGGTCCCAGAAAAAGCGTGCCTCGTAAAAGAAAAAGAGAGGCCTGTCGGAGGGCTCCAAGAAATGAAGGTAAAAGAAAAAAAAAGATGGTGTTACAAATCCGCCCCTTCCAACAGCACTCTTATAAGGCTCAACTAAGAACCTAAGAGAAAAAGCCCCTCCCCCTGCCCCCAACCTTCGGACTCAACGGCCCAAAAAGCTTAACATCCGCCCCCATCTTCTTCACGAAAACCAAATACGCCTCGAGCGCCTCCTCCTGCGTCTCAAACGTCTTATCGCGATTCATCCACATCTTGAGGTACTTGTCTGCGCCGACATCTTTGAGGGCAGCGTACCAGCCGCCCGAGGAGCGTTGGCGGAGCTGGATGGCGAGGTTTTTACCCTTGAGGGCGGTGATCTTGGAGACTTCGCGCATGCAGGCTGCGCGGAGGTCGTCTTCGTCTTCTGACTCTTCGTCTGAGGAACTACTGTCGTCTTCGGAGCTGGAGTCGAGGGAGGAAGAGGACGAGGAACGTTGGATTTTTGGGCGCGAGGTGGAGGAGGTAGTGGTGCGGGAGAAGAGACTGGGGCGAGTAGCGGGTTTTTTGGGCTCGGGGGCGGGTTTTGATTCGACTTTCTTCTTTGCGACGATTTTGGGTTCGGGAGCCTTTTTGGGGGTAGGTGCGGCTTTGGCAGTTGGAGGGCTTTTTGAGCGCGATTTCTTCTCGCTTGGTTTTGAAGACTTTTCGGCCTTTTCTCTGGAAGACTTGACTGACTTCGATACTACAGAAGCAGATTTCGCTGACTTGGATGTAGCAGTTTTTGATGGCGTTGGCGGTGTCACCTTTGCTGGTGGTGGCGCCGTTCTCGCCTTGAATTGTTCAAACGGGCTTGGCCATGAGCCTATAGGCTTTGGTGTCTCTTCGGCTGGTGGTGGCAGCGCACTCTTCTTGGATTTGGGGTCGGTTCTCGAGGGTCTCGCGGGTGCTTTTGGTTGTGTTTTTGGTTCTGGGGTCGACTTGGCTGTTGCTGTTGCTGTCGCTCTTATCGGAGCGCCTCTCCTACCAGTTGCGACTGGAGGTGGAGGTGGAGTGTCGGGAACGGCAGCTTCTCCAAATAGTTGTCGTGCTCGGTCCTTTACACTGGGAAACATGGTGTATGCGTGGCCAGGGTGTCCTGACTCGATCAAAGTATGCGCTCACTAGTCGAAGCAGTGTAGAATATGCGATTGATGATGCCCAGTACCAGCCTTACAGCAAAGACCGTGGGAGTTCAAAACAGTGCGTAATGGGGGAGGCGAAGACAGTGCGCAAGTGATGGAGACATAAATGGAGACCTCGGGACAGGATACATATCATTCTGGCAGCCTAGTCAAGTTACTAGGACAAGCCACGGAGACGCATCGACCACCATGTGAGCAGCAATCCGTTTTCAAAATAAGTGGGACATCCTAGCAACCGCTTCTAGAACGCCTGCTCGTAATGCGGGAGTTGCGGTTCCAACACGCAGACATGTTGCAAGTAGTGGGATGCATGTTCGTCGCGTGGGACGCCGCATGACATGTTCACACGACTCCAACGCATGCGAACGTTTTTTGCTTTCCCCGCATCTCTTGGACAAAAAAAAGGCCCACGAGGACGACAATGCGACGATGGAAAAAAGGCGAAGCGACGGAATTGCAAGAGTTTAAGGGGGCACGAGTGAATGGATGAGCCACCGTGGCCCCCTTTCTTGGACGGAACACCGGCCTAAGCGGGAAATTGGCAACGGGACGAATAACGGCGCGGCATTCACTCCCCGGTTTCGAGGATGACCCGGACTCTCCGCACTGTTGGATTCCTGGATCTCCGGGGTTGTTGTCTTCGCTCACGTCTGGTTGCGATGGGAGAAAGGCGGTGTTGGTAAGATGGATCATGCACGTCAGTCAACGTGCATCAACGGCGTCGGCATATGGTTTAGCGGGCTCCACTCCTATCGCCTTAGCGCATTCTGTTTGCAAGTCACGTTGCGTGTCGTCTCGTGTCTCTCTCGAGAGATTCGCATCAGCCGCCCAAGCCTCGTATGTCCCCAACAATGCGCTCTCACCACGCGGATGCAGGGGCCTCTCTCAGCACCCTATCAGCCTTGAGTCTGCGTCGCAACGAGTCTGCCATTGCGCTCTCAGTGTGTCGTTATTGTGATTGTTATTGTTGTCATTGTCTTCTCTCATCTTAACAATCAGCCATCTTGCACAGCTCTCTCACTACATGTAAACATCTTCTTGCGCTAGGAAGGTAAAATCCCGTACATCATCATACCTCGTCTCATCAATCCATACCTACGCCTGCGCGCTCACAGGCTTGATCCCCACCTCCGCCATCTTCGTCTCTTCAACGGGGCTATCCGCCCTCTCCACCACATCCGTAAGGCCGAGATACTTCAAATTAGCTGCCCATCCCAAGTCATCACCAAAGTAACCCTTCATAACCTCGACACCGTACTTGATTCCGTTCTTTGGGTCGTATGTCAGACACTGCTTGCCGACAGCCAGACCAATGACTGCGTCCCAGGCCGGCAGCTCCGTTGTCAGGTACTGCTCGGATGAGGAGTCCAGTTCGGAGTTGAGGATAGCGGAGTAAATGTTTTGAGCGGCGGCTTGGCCCATGACTGTTGCGCTGCCTGCGCGCTTGATGCCGGTCCACGCAATCACGTCGCCGACGCCAAAGTGCGACGATGCGTTTGCGATTGTGTCTTTGAACATTAACGATTGGTGTACCATGACTTCCTTGTCGGCATTTAGGCACTCAGCAGGTAAGACGTCGGTGGTAGGTGTTCCCTTCTTTGTCGAATCAATGACAAAGTCTGCGGTGATTGTTTCGTTGTTTGCCAGTGTGACCGTGTACTGGCCGTTTGGCATATCAGTGACGGTAGCCCGGCTGCCGAGACGCAGGGCAACACCCTCTTCCTCAAGGAGAATCCTTGCGCGCTCCTTGACTTCTGCAGGCAGCGGTTCTGAAGAGAGAACTTCACTCCGCGAGTGTACCAATGTAACAGCGATTTGTGGGTAGTAGGTCTTGATCTCAGCAGCGAACTCGACTCCAACAGCGCCAGCGCCAATAACAACTACTTTTCGTCCCTCGCACTTTGACGGGTCTCCGCCAGTAATCTTCTCAATAAACGCCTTTCCATCTCTTTGATACTCCTCAAAGTTTCCAGACTTTGGCACAGCAGGGAACGACCTCTTCAACCCTGTAGCCATGACAAGGTAGTCATATGCCTGCTGTTGCACCTGACCATTACGATCGCACCACTCCGCAACCTTGGCTTCAGGGTTGACATTCTTAACGCTTCCCTGCTTGAAATGTAGATTCGGCTGCTTCAACTCATTCAAATGGCTGAACCTCTTCCACATATGCGCCGTATATTTCGGCGTCACGTGGGCAAGTGGTGCGCCAACAGAGTGGACTATTAAGAGACTCAAGCATTAGTCATGCTCTAGGAGTGGCAAGGAGGATGATGATGGTGGTGGTGGTGGTGGTGGGGGTTTGCATTTGATAGCGGGGTCCAGTTGCACACAAGTCAAGCCTCGGCTAGAAGAGGGGGGTAAAACGCACAGTATCCATCACGCTCATCGATAACTGTAATCTCGACACCTCGTCTACTCTGCGCGCCCTTGAAATCCGGGCCTGGGTACACGCTTTGCCGTGCGCGGCCCTGTGAGTATTCGAGGAGGTTGACGACGGCAGAGATGCCGCCGTATGCGCAACCCACGACGAGAACCCGGTGAGGGCCCGATGAGCTAACACTGCTCAGGGTTTCTGTGAGCCTCATTGTGAAGGGTCTTGATCTGATAACGGAAGGGTCGTGGGGGTAAGCAAAAACGAGGCTGTGAGGAGGGGGTAGGAGATGATCTGATTAGATTAGGGATGACAAGGCGGACCGTCTGCTACTTATTGCTAGCAACGCAACATGTGAGACACTACACCGACATCGGCAAAAACAAGCAGTTTACAGCGCGCCGGTGTCTTGTAGTCTCCACGGATGATCCACTACCACTGTAGACTTGAGGATAGAAGATGTGATTGGTGACCGGAACGTCATCTTATCAGATCCGAGAGTTGGCCGATGCAAATTTTTATCTGATGCCCCACTTTCCGGATAAGACTATACCAGACATCGTATCCTGCCAAGGCATCCAATAAGGGCTATGCTCCCCAACGACATTCACGATTAGCTGGAAGACGTTAGACTCTGACCCTTTGTTGCCGAATTGACCGCTTGTTCTACCGGATATCCCGGGATCTCAGGTCATTGGCCCAATCTGTAGCTTTCCCATGTGAAATGTACATGTTGATACGTAAAGAGTGTAACTACTAGCTGCTCTAGCTAGCCCACTCGCCAGGAAGACTAAGAGGGATTCTAGTGTCCGCCATATAATCATGTAAACATAGACACTTTCTAAGGCACAAGGTCCGTAATGCCTTATCACAACTTCAAAAAATAAAAACGCAGCTTTTTACTACTGACTAGTTCTACTTTCCTGTTGCAGAAACCACACAATCTGAACTAATCATAACAATGCAGCCAAAGCTGCAATTATAAGCAAAATATATACCTCTGAAATTACTGCGCAACCTATTTACTCTTCATCGTCATCATCATCATCCCCGTCCTCCTCTCTCCCCCACCCTCCCAAGAGTCACTCCCCCTTAAACCCATCCACCAGGACAACAGGCCCCTTGTACTGTTTCCGCGCGCGGACCGCATAATCCACTCCACTGAATACCGCAACAGCCGCAAACATAACAACAGCCCAGTTAAACGATTCAGGCTCCACAGGCGTAGATTCAGGCCAGAAGCACCAAAAGAAGGCGTGAGTGGAATACAAGAAGCCGCCGATATTGACGGGGACGCCCCATTTACCGAGGGACCAGCGGCATGAGGGAAGAAGTTCTGGATGCACGATGCGGCGGTAGAGGACGGCGCCGATGGAGAACATGTAGGTTATCATTAGGGCGACGACATTGAGGGAGATGACTGGGACATTGTTGTTAGCAATGGCTTATACGCTAAGGGGGGAAGAAGAACGTACTAGCATTAAAAGCAACATCCGAGCCAATATTAATAAAACTCAGAATAATCGTCAGACCACACGTGACCGTCACCGCATTTGCAGGGACCTGGAGCTTCGGGTCCACATGGCCGATCCAGCTGCTAAAAGGGAGACCGCGGTCTCGAGCGAAAGCCCAGGTCTGGCGGGATGTAGAGAGGTTGTAGGTTAGAGTTCCAGCGAAGATGAGGACGGTGGGGATGGCGTTGAGGGCGATGACGCCGCCGGTGGAGACGGCTTGGGCGAAAACCCACATGTGCGGGTAGCCGGTTGCGTCGTCGAGGGCGGCTTGGACGTCGGTGATCATGAACATGTAGCTGATGAGGAAGACGACGCCGAGGGCGCCGTTCATGATGTAGGCGCCAATCATGGCGCGGGGAACGGTTTTACCTGCGTCCTTGATTTCTTCGGCCATGTGGGCTGCGGAGTCGGAGCCTGTAGCTTAATGTCAGTGTTGTCACAAAAGCGATGACCTTGGAGCTAAACATACAGATACAAGCGTAGATGGCTGATAGTTGGCCTACCATGAGTGCCAGACCAGTGGAACTCCAGCCGCCACCGTTGGTAAAGTGTGTAAATGTCACTTCGGCAGTTGCTCGTGGCGACAAGACCCAGAAGACGATGATGATGGCCAGGAAACCGAATACGTGGATGACCAACATGATGTTCTGGAAGACGGGCATGAACTTGGAGCCCCAAATGTTCAGTACCCAGACTAAGAGGGTGACGGCAATGACCATGAGCGTTCCTTGCCAGTTGGTAGGAGAGTAATCCGGATACATGACAATGGCCGAGGACTGGATCAGTGTTCCCACGAGAAACGGTCCGGACGCGGTACCAGCTTGCCACGATAGAGTCGACATCCATCCGATGAAGTAGCTAAATGGCTTCTGGACGCTGGGAGGTGAGAACTCCGAAACCCAATGGTACTGTCCACCAGCTGTTGGCGCCATAGATGCCATCTCAGCCAGTGACAACATGACGGTGCTGAAGCCGAACCAGGTCCATACGAAGCTCCAGATCAGGCCAGCTGGGCCTCCATCAACAAGACCTTGATAGGTGGCACTGCTACTGTCAAACTTGTGTCCTTAAAAGCGCTCACATATAGTCACTCACGTTAGGAGAACCTCCCATGTGCCCTGTAAAATGACCGTAAAAGCCAATGCAGACAACGGCCGATAATTCCTCTTCAACTCCTGCACCTTGCCCATGCGCAACATGTCTGCCTGATCCGCCCTCGTGTGTCCCCTCAGGGAATCATGATACTCCTCGCTCTCGCCATCATCCGCAAAGCCAGGGCGATGCGCTCGCGACTCGAGCGCATTCTGCTTGTCCATGCCACCGAGCGGTTGGCTCTGGTAAGCAGCCATGACTAGCGGTTTTGGCACACGGGGTTTCCCAGCGGCGGCGGCAGCGCCAAGGACCAAAAACGAGGCCTTTTAAACAGGTAATGTAATATGAGAAGGGGTTAAAAAAACAAAGGCGACGAAAAAACAAGGAACCCCGAGGTGGAAAACCCAAGAGACTGGGACTCGGGAAAATAAAAATCACGCGAAACGTTGTAAGTAGGTAGAAGTAAAAGAAAAAAAAGAAATCTAAACGTTCTGGCAAATTGGGTAGCGCATTAGGTTGACAAACGGGCTGGCTGGTTCGCTGACCTAGGCCCTTCGCTTCGTCAAAACGGTGGCTTGTCTCTCTGCCGCTCCTACAGCACTGGGCGTGGGGCCCGCTAGGCTGAAATGCCCTTGAACCCAATGCCGTGAAAGCCATCTTGGTATGCATACGTGTGGACAAGGAGGGCCGGCTGCACGTTGAGCATTGGCGCAAAGGAGAAGAGCGACCGGCCAGCCAACAGGAGTCCCGTGGCGGAGCTGTCAGATGCACACACGGCGATGAATGGTTCGAGGGCGAGTCGGTCCGTTTTATTGGCAAGCCTTGCTACCACGCGGGCCGCTTCCTCATCCGGGGGCTGGTATGCTTGGCGCTAGAAATATGCAGGAGGACAACTGGAAATTTGATAAGTAAGGCGGCGGTCATGTTACCAGGGTGGGATCGAGTAAGTACGAGGAAAAGAGACGGTTGCATGGTAGATTAGTTGGAAAAGAAATCGGCCGAACCAAGACACGGCACAGTGACATTTGGGAAATTTTCTCTCGATGTAAAAGGCGATCTGCAGTAGGCTAACAGGACCGCGATACGTCGATCCTCCGGTTTCTTTGCTTCTTTGAATGTTCCTCTCGTATCCACCTGCAATCCTCAACCGCGGCTGAATAGTATGTATGGCGTTGTTTGCTCAACCGCACTATTAGCGGCGGACATATCCATGGAGATGGTAGGTTTCTGCCCATGTACAATTCACCACCACTGTACCGCTCGACCGCCCGCTCAGAAGCCTGCTTTGCGTTAGGAGACGGCTCGTGGCGTGTTTGGCATTTGCTCGCTTCGTTGCGCAGAGCCGTTGAGGCCACGGGATGACAATGGATCCAATGGTGTAATAAGCGACGAGGGACCGGGCCACACTTCGCAAGGCGGAAGGACAACGAGGGAGCCAGGGGGGGGGGGGTGGTGGTGGTGGTGGGGGGTTGACCCGCGGGAGATGTCGCTACGCTAGTGTGGTGTGTGGTGAGCACTACCATCGTTGCCCTGCCTGGAGGGGTTTTGTGAGATCTCTCGGCTGTCAGCAAAAGGTCAGTTATAGAGTTCCCAGGCATCCCTTCGCCGTCGCGTCACGTCCAAAACGGCTATCCTATGGCCTCTTTTCACTTTCGCTGTCGCTTGATTTCCTTTGCCTCTACTCTTCATGGCGGGAGATGTTGTTCCTCCGCCCTATGTCATCACCGCCAATGACAAGCGCGGCCTGATTGTCGTGACTGGCGCTTCGGTGTTGGCCTTTGTCTGGTGCTGCTCGTTAATCCGTGTTTGGCTGCGATGGAGATTAAAAGAGTGGAGATCAGATGGTGAGTACTTCGTCCTGCTGCCTCGAAATTCTGGATACGTAGCGCGTACTGAAAATTCGTTTTTTTAGACTGGTGGCTTGCGGCAGCAACGCTGCTTGACACGGTTCAAACAGGCATCATCTTGCACCTCGTTACTCTGGGCTTGGGCGCATCTCAGGACAACATACCGTTACCGCAACGCGAGCAACTGGGTAAAGTAAGCTGGGCCCCCCAATTTCCAGAATCGTGCTGGATCCGCACCAGGATGTGCTGTACTGGGCTCCACAGAAGTAACGTCTAACGGTCTGAATAGGAAGGTTTCGCAAGTCAGCTCCTGTACATCTTTGTGATCCTGGCCTCCAAGCTATCCATTCTCTTCCTCCACCTACGGATATCGCCTGGAGGCTCGCATCGCATCGCGGTATGGGCGACCGTGGCTTTATCGTGCATATGGGCCGTAATATCTGTCGTACTGGTCTCGGTACCGTGTAACCCAACACAGACAATCCTAAACCACAATAACTGCAACAACCGTGTATGTTTTTTCTTCCATCTTCTCCACTCAAAAACAGAATGACTGATTGTATTGGTGCAAGTGGCCCAAATGGCTCTCAATCGGCATTCTCGACATGGCAACCGAATTCTTCATCTTCACCTTGGCAGTCCTACTAGTCCACTTCCTGCACATGCGGCGCTGTGCAAAAGTCTTAGTTGTATTCGCATTCAGCGCACGTCTCCCCGTCATCGCAATCGCAGCTATTCGGTTGTACTATCTGCGTGACCGCATAGCCGGGTCGTACACGTTCGACTACCTCGTGGCCACGCAGTGGCAAATGGGCTACGCCATCATGAGTTGTACCATCACGGGTCTAGGTCCGTTCCTCAAGCCCTTCGACAGCGAGTATGTCGAGAGCTACAAGCACTATAACCACAGCAGTTCGCATCGCTCGGCGAGCCAGCACATAACGACAAGCACGAGCGCAAGTTCTGTTCTGCCGCCTCGCCGTACTATGCCGCGAAGAAACCAAGACAACATCTCAGAGTCGTATTTGATGAACGACATGCCCTCGCGCAGTGGCAGCAAGCGGACTGTGCCCGACCATCGTCGCTCGTCGTCTGGAGGAGAGCTACGGCAATCAGAAAGCCCCCTGCCCAATGCGCCAGTCATGCTGACGGCCGATGAGCACTTTCGCCCCACTCATATATACCGCGGCCACGAGGCTGAAGTATGGGTTGGAGAACGGAGTCCAAGTTTTCCCCAAGAAGAAACCTACACAAGCTCTGGAGCAAATGGCGCCCAACGACCGCACTTGGTCATTGGCAAGAAGAAGGAATTCAAGATTGAAGTTGATAGGGCAAGCCGGATAGTATAGGCGTTGTTTGGACGAGTGCGACAATACCCCTTATATAATTTTGCTTGCGGCACTGTAGGAACCAAGCCGGACTTGGTCCAGCAAGGCTACGCACAGACGACGATCTCACGATGCTTAAGATAAACCAAAAGTAGACGTCCAAGCAGGGACGATGTACATATTCCGTCGCAAATAGACAAAATCTGATCAGTGGCATATTTTGAAATACAAGTCACCTGCTGCCGTTACTCATACAAGTCACTTCAAAGGAGAAATGCAAATAGCAAACAAAACTCCTCATTCCTATGCGAAAACCTATTATACACCAAGCAAAACGAGCAGTTTCCTGATTACCCGTGCTCCCCACCGTCATGCTCGCCCCTAGTAGTCGCAGTGATATCATGGGAAATAGTGCTTTTCCAATTGTTTCATGCGCCCTATAGCTCTGCCTTTTGTCCAAATACAGTCATGGAGAATCGGACACGGCTAATCGCACATCGAGGGGAATCTTGCAAAGGTTACCACTGGGTAGCGGCCACCTGGAATGGAAAATTTGTAAAGGGTAAAAAGAGAAGTAGTAATTCAATACGCTTGCTTATGCGGAGAATCGTCGCATAACCTTGGCGATGACTACTGATGATCAGACATGGGCTTTACAAAGGCATATGAGACTGCGTACCGTGGAGAGCGACAACGCTGAAGATGAAGACAACGGACAGTGTCATGACGACGACAGGGTCAACCTTCAGCCCGGGGGACTCATCGGTGTACAGCCCTGAATAAGTACGTTAGCAGAGTTCAAGAGTGACGTTTCCTCTTGGTGTTATTTCCAGCATCTCCCACTATAGACGTTAAGCTGAAGTGGATGTATTGCCCAATCTCCTCATTTCTTCGCATCCTGCTGCCAGTCGAGTGAGTACTTACTCAGCATGGTGCTTGAACTGCCTCCAGCACCGGCCGCCCTTGTGCTGCTCGGTCGCAGGTTGGCGGTCTTCTCAGCGCGGTCGGCGGCTGCCTTCCTTCGCATGACGGTCGCAGGACCACCTGGGGGCTTTGGCGACGCAGGGCGTGCAGTTGTTGAGCCTGAAGAGGCCGCGTTCGGTGAGGTGGCGCGCGGGGCAGACTGTTATTCCAGTTAGTGAATATATTGAGGCATGCTGAGGTTTGGCTGGTCGGTCGACATGTGAACGTATTGTAGAAGGAACTGCTTGCATTCCAGGAGAGTGAGAAAGCAGATGTAGGTTGCTGAAAGGTAGAATAGCACAATTGCCCTTTCAACCCTCACTTGCAACACCTTGTCGTCTACACCTGTCGCATGCTCCTGTCTTGCAAGCAATGGGCTGCTTCTCCATTGTCCAATGGCTTCGGGTGCGCTCGTGGGGGGGTGTGACTGACCATGATGGGCGATTTGAACGGCAACCGATGCGAGATGGACAGAAAGTGGGTGATGGAAAGGTCGTGGGAGGCTACAGGCGATAGTCACTCAAACAGAACCCAAAGGCCACGATTCTGGAGCTGGGGTTGCCGCGGCGCGCTAACCCTGATCTCGCTTGCGACTACGCTAGCAAGGGTCACGTGTTGTATTCGCTTCCTCATATCCCGTTGCAGCCATTCGCCCGGACCGGCGGCTGTATTGTGAAAATAGCAACTTCCAGAGCCAAATGTAATGTATTATAGCTCACAGGAAAAAAAAGACCAAGTAGTTTCCCAACCCACTTTTTCCCATTACGCAGTTCCGTTAAATGTACCAGCCCTCATAGCCTCCCAAGATGATCGAGGCAGCGTCGTGGCTGTCGCTCGTTGATGTAGAGGCTCTTGACCCGATCCGAAAAGCTAGCAACCGATAACAGCAAGATAACCTTTGACAAAACTCCCGCAAGTCCCCCATGAACCAATGCCAATCCGTGAACCCTGGCAGCAAACACCTGTACCCACTCGTGAAAAGGTATATCATCTGCAGCAAGACCCTGACAAGTGCAGAGGCATGTGCATGGTGCACCTCGAACCCACACGAAATATTCGCCGACCTTCCCATTGACCTGCTCCGCCCAAGCTAGTACTTCAAAGACCGGCTTGGTATGCCTGAGACACCTGAAATGCAGTAACTCCTAATGTGCATTGTATCTCCCTAAACAAAACTCCATTTTCTAGCCCCAGACCGATGCCTGCACGCCCTGCGTGGGCGTGTTGCTCCAGGGGCCATTGTTCCAAATACCAACTCCCTTATCCGTAACAGTCGAAGAGGGATTCATAGAAGCAGATGTTGTGGCAGCTGCGTTGTTCTGCTCGCTAGCATTGTACGAGTTGTAGCCCAGAGGCGACGGCAGAGGCGAGTTTGTACGCTTGCCCATGGCAGCACCGCTAGGCTGCTGAAGGTTCTGGTTCTGGGGACGGGTGCCGATGGGGGCGACGCCGGAACCGTTGGCCTTTTGTCCTGGCACAGGTGGTGAGCCGCCGGGTGACGAGTTAGAGGTGCGGTTGGCCTGCTGAGCGTCGAACAGGTTGAATGCGGGAGCCTGTGTAGTCGAGGGGGACGAGGTGCTATTGGCACGGGCGTCCTGGGCGCTACTGGCCGCATCCTTGTCCCGGGGCGGCATCTGAACGGAGCCCTCGCCCGCAGCGTTCTGGGCCTGCATGCCGAAAGGGTCAAAAGCGAGGGGAGACGGCCCGCGTCCGGCACTCGAAGTCTGAACGCGAACGTCCTGACTCGAGGTTGGGTTGTTGTTGTACAGAGTGGAGGTCTCGCCATACAAAGCACGGTGCTGGCGGGCGATGAGTTCGCGGCGCTCGTCTTCATTCATGGCATTGGGGCTCATGGAGCGGTCCGACTTGGAGCCTGAGCCCGAAACGTCTGTATTACCCTAAGTCAACTGTCTGTCCTGCTTCTATTGTTGCCCAGATTCCGAGTCCTTACTTCTGTGATATTGCTGCTCCTGGTGATAGTTGCGCAGCTCACGCTCTCGCTGGGCTGCCATCCGTCGCTTCGCCTGTGCCATCTGGTCCGCATCGTTGGGTCTGGGCGCATAGCGCTGGTTCTGGTAGAAGCCCTGTACATTGGAGGCCGAGTGTGAGCGGGAGCCGTCGTACTCGCTTACGGAGTGGTGGCGCTGGGGACCGCCCATGCGCTGCTGGTCTGTGGTGTGTGTTAGTATGTGTGAATGGTATACTGTGTGTGTGCATGTGTATGTGAGAATGCGTACCATAGTCGGGGTATGGACGAGGACCGCCTCCCATCATGGGCATGGACTCACGGCGGGCAGCGCCCGTGGGCGTGGGAGGGAAGCCGGGTCCAAAGGGCTTGCCGCTTTTGGCGAGGTTCTCAATGGCACGGTCGACCTCTGTGATGGTGTCAGTGTAACTGTACTATGAGTATGTGTGCCAAGGTAGTGTGTCTTGTCACAACCATATTTGTTGCATTGGGCGCCAAACATGGCACTGACAGACGACACTGGCGCAAGACAGAGGACTTGCAACGTACCCTCGAACTGAGAAGCATAGGCATTGGCGACTTCGCTGTTGACGGTGGAGCTAGTGCCTACATCTGGGTGAATGGGTGCACTGTGACTGGCGGGGCGCATTGGTGTAGTACCTGATCGCGAGGGCGGGGGAGGTTGCTCCCACGAGGGCTGTCGGCCAGGAGCTGGTGCGTTCCACGACGCGTCGTTGTAGTAGGACATGGTGGTTGCGGGAATAATCGTGGCCAGATATGGAAGACTCGAGATAGTAGTAGCGCCGAGCCGGTAGAGTGGCTAGGAGATCTGTGAGGGAGCAGGTGAGCAGGTGAGCAGGTGTGCTTGCAGCAGAAAAACAGGCACAGAAAGCAATTGGCGTCGACTGGGGACAAGAAGATGGTGGGACTGGCGTCGTCGGGTTGCGGGCGACACGAGGGGGGCGGGAAATCAAGTCGAGGCGGGCAGCGGAAAATTTTGGTGGAGAGGGCACATGTTTTGGAGACTGAGGGGGAGGCCCTAGTGGGGACTAGGGGTCGAGGGCTCATACTCACGGTGAAGGCGACAAAAGGAGCGACAGCTGTCCACTAAGCTGAGGGCAAGGTGAAGTCAGCGAGTGAAGGACAGCTGGAAGCGGGTGGGTAGGGGTCAGGAGGGACTCGGGAGATATCGCGGGCCTGGGTGAGGATTATGTCGAAAGGGGATGCTGGGGACGCTCGACTACTCGCGCTAAGCAGGCCGAGCGAAGAGCTATCCACTTTATTCATCTCGGCCTCGAGACACGGGCCTCAGCACCTGCAGTCAGTTAGCTGGCCGTCGTCGAGGCATGCCATGCCATGCCGCCTTTGCACTTGCAGTTGGCCCAACGGCGGCCTCGATGCAGCCTGTCGGGGTTCTCTCTCGCAGCGACGGCGTGGGCGGACGCATGAGTGCATGACGTCCATGGCGGGCTGCTGCGGGACATGCATACATATGTAGTGTAGTATGTATGTACTGTGTGTGCGTGTATGGATGGACGGATGGATGGGATGTACATGTACATAGTTAGTACCTACTTATTTGGATACACACCTACTTAGGCTGGCAGCCCGCCTAGCGAACCGTTGTTCGGTCCATCATCAGACGACGGAGCTGCCCGCGCGCCCACAAGCACACACCTGCTTTGCTGACGCTCTCGAATGTCGACCAGCAGCGAGTGCACCGAGTCTGCATCTGGCAAACCCCGAGGGCCATGGTGAGAATAAGGGCGAGCGAGGACAGAAGGGTGCCGTGTCGGGCCATGTGCATGCATCTGACCGCATCGCCATCTACTGTATGGTTGACTGCGAACGAACGGGCTTGGGCTGCACGATGCGGGGCATACTCTCCAATAAGCTCCCAGCAACGACAGGCGTCTGCGAAAATATCAACTTGTGGCTGACTCCTCCGCACTCCCACCCATCGCCCATGGCCATGGCCCATCACAACATGGCTGCCCAGCTGCCCAGATGCCCAGATGCCGCCGGCCCTGTTGCCGCAAAGGGCTGCCAGTCCGCGCTTAGAGCGCTTCGCCATGCACTGCACGCCCACTTCTGCATATGAGAATAGGACGTCGGCATGCGACGAGCGACCGTTGTCGGAACACGGTGCCGGCAATTTGGCTGTGTGGGCGAGCTCCACAATGTGCTTGAACACTACTACACACATGGAAATTTTTCTCATATGTATTGGACACATGCACAATACACAAGACTCTATGACTACTACTACTACTACTACTACATACACGCAAATGCCGCAATACAATGCAATGCAGTTTTGCTTTGTTCGGCTAGGCATGCGCTCCCGCCTACCCCAGCTTTTGTAGCTCGCCTACCTGCCCTGCCGTTACGCTACCACCACTAACAAAGTATTCTCGAATCTAGTAACACACGTTTGGGGCACGGGAATCCGTGCTTCACCATGCATGCTTCCTTTTGCCCCTGTCCCGCCTCTCCACCTTTCCAAAATCTATTTTTCCTTTGCTGCTTTACCACAGTCGTGACTTCCCTCTCGTCCACCACCAACATCGCTCCTTCCACATCATCGTCATCGTCTCGGTCAAATATTTGCTTTTGGGTCGTCGCTGCCCCTCTCCAACGTCATGCCCCACGGCGCTTGCCACAACCTGTTTGTCTCAACCGTCACCCATGACACCAGTCACACTCCCTTCCTCCCTTACCAAAGCCCGTATACATAGCCCCTCAAGCCGTCACGCATCGTCTCGTGCAACCTCGTCGCCCGTGCGCCAAATGGAACAAGGCCGCATCAAGCAAAACAGTGGAACAATAGGACAATCCAAGGCCTCGCCACGTCAGCCTTTGGCACAAGAGCTCGATTTGCTGTCAGATTCCCCTTCACAATCTCACAAATGTCACTGGGGCACATGGATGCAACATGAGAAATGGCCAGGAGGATGGACTCTTTGATCTCGACCAGCAACATGCACCTCCTGCTTCCCACGCCTTTTCCTTTGTCAAAAAGACATGATAAACCTGCCCAGACCCTCGATCGCGCCCGCATATACGCACCACCATGTCTTCGGATGTCACGTCCTTCCATGATCTGCCTACGGAGCTCATTCTAGACATTTGCGATTTCCTACCACTGGACGCGTTGCTGGCACTCAAGCTCACAGCCTCACGGCTTAACAGTATGATCCGCCTGGACCCACGCCGTTGGCAGCATGCCCTTTCATCCTGTGCACGACGTGCAGTACACAGCTATCTAAACCTGTCACCACCAAAGCCCGATCAACAGCACTGTCGCCTCTGTAATTCTGCCTATCCGATTGCCATGTTCAGCTCATCAACTAGCCCAGCATGCATTGCCATGAAGCTCACCACGACGCCCCATGACGTGGTCCAGCTGTCATCTAACGTCTGCTCTTGGCACGTGAGTAGACTTGCAAGAGTTATCCACACAGGCCACGGCGGCAGAAACGAATGGACCAGTTGCATGGACGACATATGTATGCATTGCGGAAATATCATGGGCTGGTCCAAGTGCAGCTGCACATGCGATAGTTGTGGCTTCTGGGCAGTCCGGACCTATACTCGCTATCTCAACAACAGCAAAGAGTGCCATAGATTCCTCTTCTGGAGAGAAGCCTCGGAGCTGGCCAGTAGTGACACCGGTCAGCTATGGGTCTGGGAAGCTTGTTCAGATAATGGTGATGATGATGGTAAGCTTTCCACTTTTGTGCTGACCATGTGCAAGTTGAAGTCCCTTGGACAAGTTGACCTTTCTAGACGACCTTCACGTGATTTCAGAAACCAATCTGCCAGTCCTATTCGCGTAGAACCAGCCAGGTCACTCATATCGACAGAGCTCCCTCGAACTGCATTATGTCACGCTATCTGCGCTTGTACTCTTTAATTCATTTAATATCGTTTAAAATCCAGTCTTTTGGTCATAAATGGTCATCTTCTCGTCGGTCCCAAGGCCGGCCTTTTCCACATCCCTTCGAGTATCTTGCGACCGGGCTCGCTGCTCTTGCCCCCACGTCCGCACGCTCATCAGAGCCCACCACTGCACGAAAATCAAGACCATACTAAAACCTGTACACCAAAACTTGATGGTGCTAAGACTCTTAGTGCACTGTTCCAGCCACTCGGTGTCCCATCCAAAGCCGGCGTCAATGTCGCGGCATATGGCTGATTCGTCGACCGTGTAGCTCGGAGTTACCGGATTTAATGTTCGGAAGTCCCACGGCAGAATCAGATTAACAATGGCGATTGTTAGGAATGACAGAGTCATTGTGTGCAACAGGGTGTAAGCTGACACCAGACTTGGCAGTGCCTGTGTTATCGTATTGTAAGCACCCATGCGTAATGACAAACAAGACCCGCAGTGGTTCCGGACGATCCGAGAGTCCGTCGCACGAAACGCGGGGCAAGGAAAACAAGCTGCTGACCTACCCGTAGTGCGCCAACGAAGCCGAGAATACTTGCACCGCAAGCAAGCAAGTTGTAGGTGATGGGAAAGTATGCGCCGTCGAGGTCCGAACCGGGCAGCCCAAAGGACATGACGAGGAGGCCATGTGCGCAAAAGGTGAGCACAGGGAGGACGATGGCTAGGAACCTGAGAACATGTCATGTCAGAATTGCGCCAGGATAGAGAAGTGGAAAAACAACAAAACATACCTCATTTGGCTCTGCTCGCTGGATGATGATACCATTGTCAAAATGGAAGTGTGTTGTTAAGTTCTCAAGTCCAGCTTTTTGCCTCCAGCGTTGCAACGCTTTCCTTTGCCGAGACGACGACGCTTTGCAATGCGACGCGGTTGCGATAAACGATGTGAGAGGGAGAGAGGAAGAAAGAAAACAAGTCCAAGAGATGGAGAAAACCAGTCCGCGCAAGAAAGAAAACGGTCGCGTATATTCAACAAAGTTTATAATCGGACAAAAAGAAAAAGCAAAGACGCATACACACAGACACACTTGTGCTTGTCGCCCGCCGTCCGAAGGAAAAGGGAACCCACAAGGTCCGCGCAAAGACCAGTTTTGTCGACGTCAGTTTTCTTGCTCACGCTCTTTTTTTTTTTCGTTCGCCCCGGTTCAGCCCAGTTGAAAGCGGAGAGGAAAAAGAAAGTGCGATGAGCGAGGGAGTCGGAAGTGGGATGTGTAAGTAATCCGGGGTATTATGTTTGGATTCTCGGATATAAAGGCTGAGTAATGTGTCAAATGCGTGATATGCCTTGTTTCCTTCTTTTTACTTTCTTTATCTCTTTTAAAGAAGACAGAGACGGAGGGCTTTTGATAGAGAGGTTTCGTAGTAGTAAGGGTAAGTTATGAAACAGTAACAGACGAACACGGTTCCTTGTTTGCAAAGCGGTAGGCCAGAGAGAAAGAGGGAAAGGGTAGAGATGAGGCTGAAGTACTAGTAAGGACTAAACAACACACCGACGTCATGAGTTTATTCGTCAAGTACCCTGACTCTCTCTCTCTCTTTCTCTCTCTCTTTCTTATTCTCTCTTATTATCTTGTTCGCTCGCCGGGCGAGGAGTCCCGTATTCCGTGTTTTCGATGCGCCCGATGGGAAAAACGGCTTGCAGCTCTTGTCAAATCAGGAATTCTCATGTAACGTTATTTCCTTCCAACTGGGGCCTAGTTCTTGTTTATCAAATGGGCTCTTTTTCTCTTTCCTAAACCCGACCAAGACCCAAGCTTTTTTTTTCTTCGGCGATGCGCGGATGGACGTGCGCAAATGCCCGCTGCACACAACTTTGTTCGTCCGTTCGGCCTGCGTCTTGCTCTTCTTCGTCTTCTTCGGCGAAAGGAATATATAGAGTTAATGTAACTAGAGAGGTGATGTTTTGATCAGAACAAGGTCATGTCACCATTTTATTTTATTCTTCTTTCATACAATGTTATTCCACTTCACTTCCATCGCTTTACTTCATGTGGGGAAAGGGTTTGTAAAGAAATTGGAAGTTTACCGTTATTTTGCTATGGATAAAAGATTACAGGTAGTTACATAAAGCTTCCATACTATCTCTAACGTGACTTATGCCCTCTCCCCCATATAAATACCCTTGTTCAACGATTGCAAGCCACACCGGCACTGCACGTAGCCGTGCATCCGGGAAGGGGGACATTGTGCAACAGGCTATTTGTCGTATTTTTTTTCGGGTTTCTGCAAGGCGAATTTATTATTAAGCTTGATCTGCACACACATTGTCACTTTGTTACTTTTCTTACTCGGAGGTAAAAACGGACGAGGGTTCAATGTTTGTGTATGTGTGTTGGGGCTGCTGTTCTTTGGAGGAGTTCGGACTAAAAAGGGTGGAAGTGGGTGTGGTGTGTCACGCGATCGGGGATTAGAGTAGAGGGGGGTGTCGGATGTCGGATATGGGAAGATGGGGGGTCGGGGGTGTATTTGGAAAATACCCGACTTTTTTATCATCTAAATAGCAGATATCATTTTCCGTGTGTGTCAGATAGACAAACTGGGCTGGGATGGGAAGCGGGGAATTATGGTTCCTTCCACTGCTGAACGGTAGTTCTACGACTTTCAGGTGATGCAAATGAGGGGGGAAAGGGTTGACAGGAGGACGTTATCCTTGCTTCGCATCATTACGGCACGTGTGCATGCAAGCAACGTGTAGTGTAGAAAGGGTCTCGGGGGATGGACGGAAATAAGCGGCGTGGTTTTGCTCCGAGAAAAAAAAGTAATGATTTACTGGGTGCGAACACGTGAGTTTCACGTTATTTCGTACATCGCGATGTAACCGTAGTACCATACCCACAGAGGCAGCGACGTCACTTGGCGTTTTATATGGGGTACTATGCTATGTTGAAATGACAAAATGCCATGCCTGAAGTAAAGTTCGCGGCTACAATGGCTTAGCTTCGATCGCTTCCGAGGAGGGAGAGGGGACGATGCGTTCGTGGCGTCATTAGTCGAAGCTTTAGTTTTTCCCTTACGTGTAGACATAAAATAGTCTGCTATTGCTAGCAGCTAGTATAGTTTGCCGAACAGATGCCGAGTGGGGGGTGGGACATGTGACTATGACGTTGATAAAAAAGCAAGAAGAGGAAGAATGGGTACACGGGCAGCTTTGTTTAGATCTTGCTACTATTTTCGTATCACGTCAATAGTAGCCGTTAGTTAGGGGATGCGCGACACTGCATCGGTTGATTGAGCACTTGTATTTTATTTCGTGTTGATATATACTTGATATCCTACCTGATCCATATTCATACCCATCATCCTTCGATGTCGGCTCATCGAATAATTCGTAAAACGTTCCATGAAAAATAGCGAAAAAGAGATTATCGACCATGCCGTCTATGCAAAGACGTAGCAAGGGATACCGTACTATAAAAAACGTTAGCCAACACCGTCCACAATAATCCACAAAGGTATAATAAAACGTACGTTGGTAGGAGCATTAAACTTGAGGTTCTTATCCAGACCCGAAATCTCCTCAATCTCACTGTCCTTGAGATCAAAGCTGGTAACATCCAAGTTTTGCGCTAGGCGGTTTGGCGAGTTGGACTTGGGGATGACGCTCAGACCGCGCTGGGTGGACCAGCGCAGCAGAACCTGGGCGGGCGTCTTGCCGTGAGCCTCTGCAATCTTCTTGATGACGGGGTGGTCGAACAGAAGAGGCGTATCGGCGGCAACCTTCATGTCGCACTCAAGGAAGCTCTGGGGGCCGAACGATGAGTAGGCGGTGACCTTGATGTCGTGCTGGCGGGCGAGCTCGATGAGGTAGGGTTGGACATAGTAAGGGTGGTGTTCGATTTGGAGGGTGGCGGGCTTGACTTTGGCGTAGGTGAAGAGGTCGAGAAGGAGGGCACCACTGTAGTTGCTGACACCGATGCTCTTTGCGAGGCCCTTGCTCTTGATGTCCTCAAAGGCCTCCCATGTGCTTTGTAGGCTGGCGTTGCTGTGCTCGATCTTGCTCTCGCCGTCGTAGTACCAGCCGGGTGGGTAGCGGACCTTGGGGTCGACGTATTTGAGGGCAACGGGGAAGTGAATGAGGTAGAGGTCGAAGTAGTCGACGCCCCAGTCGGCAAGTTGTTTGCGGACGATGGGCTCGACTTGCTCGCGGTCGTGGAAGGTTTGCCAGAGCTTGCTGACGATGAAGAGATCCTCACGCTTTACGAGGCCCTCCTTGATGGCGCGGGCAACGCCCTGGCCGCACTCGACTTCGTTGCCGTAGTCTGTTCAAGATTGAGTCGTTAGTATGGGTTGCATGAGCACGTGAGGAGGCTCGGGCTTCGTTCCGATGGACAACGCTAGCATTCCGATGCAGGGCCAAGCATGTACAGCAGCCACCGGTAATTCGGGGCGTCTCGCGGTAACAGGCACCGATTCTGCTGACCATTTGCCAGATGGTGGGGTTACAGGAAGAGGGAAGTGAGCAGAGAAAAAGAAAAACGAAATGCTAAACACGAGTTTACGTACCGCATGCGCCGTCAAACAGCCTGTAGCCAGCCTTGATGGCATTGTAAACAGTATCGGCGCAAGTGGCATTGTCGACCTTCCATAGTCCAAAGCCGACCTGGGGCATCTTGTTGCCATCGTTGAGGGTAACGAAAGGGACGTTTGAAGCCATTGTAGCGAAAAGGCTGCGATTGGCAAGTCTAGTCTTGAAAGCTGGTACGGTATGCGCTCGAGGGGCAATGCAGCGAGTCTTGATTGACGACGACGACAACAGAGCAGAAGAAGAAGAAAGAGATGTGAAGGGACGAGGAGTAGAAGTAGTGGAGAAGGCAGCGGCGCAACGCAGCGTATTAATACTACCGGCACGGCAAATGGGTCTAGCAATCATGGCTCCCTGATATCAAACGTGTATTTTGCAGACGGAACTTCAGACCATTCTGCCCCCAGGCACAACAAACAGCCTGCTGTCTATTTAACGCCGTGTCAGAGGCTAGTTTGGGCCAAATGACCCTGCGTCTTCACCCGGACGACTGGGTTAACCATGCCTTTGCTTTGCCTTGTCGAGTCCTCATTCGCCGCCGGTATGGTTGCTATTTTACCCTGCCAGGACCACTGTAGCCTTTATGATGGCTACTTAGCAGCGCGGCAGGTAGCTACACGTCGTCCTGTGTAAGCGTGACTTTGGACGGGCTCGCCGTCTGTCTCTTGCTCTCCCAAGTGCCCGGCAAATTCTACGACGGGCGGGATAAATAGCGGCTCCTCTCAACAGACTGGTATCTCGAGGGGCCTTGCTCAATGCTCAAACTGTAGCGTATCGTGGCACGTATGGGTGGTAAAAAACGGGCGCGGCAGCATATCAGAGTGACCACAGTTTTGCGTGGTGGGGTAGCATGTGCCCCTCTTGCTCCACAATGTGGCCCTGCCACTGCGCGGTAGGCGGATAAAATACCTGTTAGTAACGAGGCACCGGATAATTGTTTCGCACCACGGCCTTCACGTACCAATCGACAATGCCTCAACCACTGCAGACTCCGCCTTTGGGGGTTCGGGACACCGTGTTCCTTATTAAGCGCCCGATACAACAACTTTCCGTGTGCACGTGGTGTCCAGCTCAAGTTGCAGTCGACATGGCTTCAAGATAACATTGCAGACACAGATAGCACGTGCTCACTCCACAGGGCATCCAACACAAGCAACAGAAACAAGAACATTGGTTGGCCGACACCAACATCAATAACAATACACTATTCATACTAAAGACGTCATGTCCACTCGGGACCAGGTCGTACAGATTTTTTCCTTGCGCGCCTTGCCCGTCATGCGCCAGACCAAACACCGAAGAGCAAAGTGCCCCTTTCGCTGCAAATACCCACCCTATTTTCGCGAACTCGCCATCTCTCCATATCTTCCTCTCTGTTGTGTCGTGTCGTATGCTTGTAGGACCCTCGCCTGCGACTCGTCCGTTTGCGAGAATGCATAGCCTCGCTGTTTGCGCATACGCTGTACCTGTCGTACCTTTCGGATGGCTTTCTGAAACTGTTCCATTCTGTATATACGTTAGCATCTCGTCGTTTGTGCTATGCGAATCCAGAGCCACGTACCGTGGTCGATAATCTTGAATGTTGTACTTTTGAATTTCCTGAACGTGGTGGTAGCTCTGCGGAAAGTACATCCTCTTTGCGTACTTCCACGCAAAGTCTCGGATCAAGCAAAGCGGCGGTAGTACCACCAGCATAGCCCAGAATCGCGGATCGGGGAAGAGTCGCTCAATGACACCAACATACTCGTGCGAGATACCAGCCTTGGGCGCTACATAGGCGTAGATGGGCATGAGGATGAACCAGAGAAGCATCGAACCTGGGATAGCCAGCACAGTGTACTTTGTCCAGATATTGGTGATGAGCGAAGCTTTGAGTAGCACGGTTGCAAGATTAGCAGTGTAAGCTGCCGTACCCCAGACCCAATGGCCTGCGTTGCGGCCATCCCATTGCGGCCAGTCCCAGATGATAAAAGCCTGAGCGCCAAAGTAGAGAATGAGCGAGTGATAGAAGCCATTGCCGACCCAGGACCAGAACGAGTGCATCCTGAAGAACACACCCGACTGACTGAGGCGGTAGAGTTGCGGGTATCGATCCAACAACCTTGCGCTCACAAATTGGTCAAAAATACCAAGGACAAAAGGCGGCGCTGCGGTGAAGAAGACGTTGTAGAAGGTAAGGGTCCACGACTCGTAGATAATCTGACCGGAAAAGCCGTTTTGGAAAGAGTACCAGAACTGTGTCATGAACATGGCAATGTTCTTGTAAAAAGAGTACAAAATGACCTTGCTGACACGCTGGTAACTCCATGCACCGTGGACGAGCAGAAGCTTGCGGAGGTAGCGGAATTGGCCAATGGCAATGTCTGCACTACGAGCTGCCTGGAGACCCTCGACACCGCTGATACCAACACCAACGTGAGCAGCCTGGATCATAGAAACGTCGTTAGCTCCATCACCAATGGCCAACAGAATCGACTTGAGATGGCGCTTGACGAGCTTGACGACGAGTGCCTTTTGGAGGGGAGAGACACGGCAGCAGATGACAGCCTTGCACCGGATGGCGAGATCCAGGAATTCCTTTTCGAGATCACGTTCAAGGGCATAAGTGAGTGATTTGCCGTCAATGACCAGAGCGAGGACATCCATTTCGGCTCCACCTTGACTCTGACTGGTAATGGCCTGGTACTTCTTGCGGATGTTGTCTCGCGTGGCTTCCTTGTTCTCCTCGTTGATGATGAGAAGGCTCATGTCCTCGCTAATCAGCTTGCAACTCATACCGATGTTGATGGCAGTCTCTTGGCGATCGCCAGTCAGGACCCAGACCTTGATGCCGGCGGATTGCAGAGTCGCAATAGTGTCTGGAACACCGTCCTGCAGCTTGTCCTCGATAGCAGTTGCTCCCAGAAGAGTCATATCGTGTTCAATGAGTTCGGCGGCCTTGTCCAGCTCTTCGGCACGGTTGCCACTGACGGTTGTCTGCGCAGTGTTGAAAATCGACCACCATTCCTGGAACTCATCCTCTGGAATCTCACGCATAGCAAGGCAGAGAGTGCGTAGACCCTCGGAAGCGTATTCTTCCAGATGTGTCAGAGTCGCTTCCACATACGGGTTGTCCTTTGAAAGTCTCTCCAAGATGACAGTATCAGCACCCTTGGTAAAGCATACAATCTTACCTTGGGGCGTGCGGAAGATGGTAGACATTCTCTTTCTTGTAGAATTGAATTCACAGACAGCTAAGAGTTCGTATTCCAGTTGACGACCGTCGACCTCGATAATGACAGCGCGCGGTTTTCGTGCAATGAACCTGTAACCCAGAGTCACGGCGCCTTCGACCAAAGCACCCTCATCCGGAGAGGCAGCTTGGTACTTGATGGCGCCTTTTCCTCCCTTCATTTCGGGAATAACGGTATGACATGTCGCGAGAAGGGTGAGGAACTGGTCAATGATGTGTTTGTTGGCATGTGATTGTCGGTTCTGCTCGAGCTGCTTAAAGTCGTGAATCCCAACCTCAACCCCGTCTTCTATTGTTGCACGTCGGTCTTCGGGAATCTCGTCGGCATACTGGATGCCAGCAATGGTAGACTGCTTGAACTCCATCATGTTACATGTCAATGTACCTGTCTTGTCAGAGAAGATGTACTCGATCTGACCGAGTTCCTCGACGAGGGACGAAGTTCGGCATTTGGCGGGTGTGTCAGTAGGTTCGTAGTAGATGTCGAGGTCAGAGTCGATCAGACTTCCAGTGTAGTACTTTACGATTTCGATTGTTACAAAGAGCGAGATGGGGACCAGGTTGGAGTACAGGACCCAGTAGGTCAGCAGGTCACGGAAGAACTGCTTGGCACCGTTGAAACCAGGGAGATGGAGGTAGGTGAGATTACCTCCCCGAGTAGATTGCATGATGACATCGCCAATGGAACTAATGATGCTAAGGCAGATGAGGATTATCACTAGCATAAGAATTTGCTTGTTGACCATCCTCTCTACGGCCGTCGTCTTGATAGGGGTAGCCGTAGCGTTCCTCATGAGCTTCGTTTCATGTCCGGTAAAGACGACCACGCCATGGATCCAGGGTGTGTTTCGCAGCGTAGCGCCACGCAGCAGTAGCTGATCGGGTGCCAAAGGTAGCTCCTTCTCTCCTCCGCCCGCGGCAATGGTCAAGGTGGCTTCATAGGTGTAGAGACTGCTGTTGGGTTGTTCGGATCGGATTCTGCCGCCTAATCTTGCGAGTTCTGCCGGACTGACAAAGTCGGCAGTCTCGGGAATAGCCTGCTTGATCTTGAGGTTCGTCTCGCCGTCCAAGTTGGCGGTTTCGATGTAGCAAAGACCCTCGGGCTCGGAAGAGGCAAGAAGGACGAGATCGGTGGGGAAGGGCTGCTCGGATTCAACGCGGACAATATCTCCCACGGCGACATTGACCCACTTAGTGTCTACAAAGGTAGAACCCTTCAGGACCTGAGCCTTTGAGTTGTTGAGTTCCGAATCAGACTGTTTCCGCCGGTAGTCTTCAATGTATTCCTTGACGGCGGATACGAATAAAACAATGCAGAGCGGGACGATTGTGGTGTATCGCGAGGTGGGCGAGATGCCGGGAATCTGCTGGAGAATGGCGGTAAACAAGAAGAAGAGATTGGCGTATTTGGAAAACTGCTCATACAAAAACTTGGGAAGGAAGGTGACAATGTTGTACTTGGACGTCGAGATGTGGTTGTCGACGTACTTGTTGGCCGAGTTTGCGGGCGGATTGTTGAGGTGGATGATGCGGGGGCCGAGGGTCGAGGGGTCGGGTGCGCCTCCGCCAAAGCCAAACTTGAAGTTGCTGGGGCCTTTTTTCTTCTTCTTGGAGGATGAACCGTCGTCGTAGGCGCTGGCAGGCTCGGTTGCGCTAGGCTGCTGCGGGTGGGCGGCGTTCTCGGTCAAGGGCATGTCCATCTCTGAGTACTCTGAGCCGCGGCCCAGCATGTTCTTGACACGTCCGGTCAGGCCGCCGCCGAGGCTGAGGATGCTGTTCCTGTTGTGGGCGTTCTTGGAGCCGCCGCGGGTGACGCCTGGCGAGGCCTGGTCGTATGCGCCCCCCGCGGCGTAGTAGCCCTGTGCCGAGGTGTCGTCGTCGTGGGGGATGTCGGCGTCGGAGTAGCGTTGGTAGTTGTTCAAGTCCGACGTCTGCGAGTAGGCCCTAGGGTTGCTTCCTCCGCCCATGTAGGGTGAGCCTGCGGAAGGAGCGCCTGGCCCGCCCGGCAGGCCCTGGGTGGTCCTGCCACCGCCGACAAAGTCATCGTACGAGACCGAGGGCCGGCCCTGTGGCGGGGCGTCTGAGGCGTCAATGTCGTAGCGGTGCAGGAGATTGTGGTCGCCGGTGGGGGGCGGTGCGCCCGAATTGTATGTGGGCTGGTGGTCGTCAAAGTCAATGAGGTTATCGCTATGAGGCGGTCCACCTGGCGGCCTGCTGGCCATGGCGGCCGTCTGTCGTCTTGGGCGTCCTGGGTCCGCTCAGCGCGTTTGCTCTGCTAATGCATCGAAGAGCCGCCGCAGTCTGTCGCCGTTTCGTGGGGGGAAGAGTGTGGGTGCGTGGGTGAGTGATGATTGCGGCCACGAGCGGAGAGGTGGGCGCTGAAAATAGTACAGTGGTAGTCGCACCTCCGCGTTGGCCGGCGGTTCGTGTATCAGGAGTGTGCGTGTGTGAGAGAATGCGTGTGAGCGAGAGGGTGGGTATGGCAAGGCAGATGCGACGCGCAACAGAGGGAGCTGGCGACGGGCTATGGAGTGCAGCAGCAAGATGACGGATTCAGGGTGCAGGTGTCTGGCCTGACTGTGGGCTAGGTGGGAGTGTCGTCGTCGTCGAAAGATGTGTAGGCACGGGCCCCGAGTGCTGAGCGAGGAGCGAGGCAGTGGCAGTGCCTAGAGTACGTACATACGACTGCTTCCCTGCTACCCTGGGCAAGCTGCTGCAGCCGCGCCCCTGGTGTCTCCATGTATGTATCCACCCTCGAGCGAATGGCACACTGTCCGCCCCCCCTCGACCAAGTCTCCAAATTGCGCCGAGTCGACCTGGACGCGTGAGACTGTCTTTTCCTCGACGTCCTGCTCCTGTCCAGGGCCATTACGCGGCGCCGCCGTTGGGAAAGACATTAGGTGGAGCACACTGACGTTGCGCCAAGCTCTCTCTCTATACTTGCTCGATTCTAGAGTACACACTGTCCTCATCAATCAAATACTAATCATCCAACATGCGTGTATGTACAAAAATATACTTATGTACGGTGCCTGTCTTCCTGAAATGCAGGGCCGTCACCCAACTTTGAGACACCAAGCATGCTGGCCCGCCATGGGTATTGAAACCAATCCAGTATAAACTTCGTCGCTGCGCCCTTTGCCCTGCATCCTCCACTGCAGGCGCATCCCAATTTAACTCACGTATGCACTGTGCTGCGGCCTCTTGGACATGCCGAAAACCACGACCTGAGCGCGCCGTACCGCAGCAATGTCAACCCTTGGTTTGAGCATCGTCAAAGCTGGCACTGTAGACATGTGTGCTGACATACTATTATACCAAGGCCTGTGTTGCCAAGTTGAGCTGGTCCGCCATCTCGTAACGGTACCCTAGTGGCGCTGGCGACTCTTAAAATAGGTAGCGGTACGTACCTCGCAATAGAGGCACCCACTATTGGCCCATGAGACCACATCTCACTTGCTTGCCCTCACCGCGCCTGACCTACGCCCGCCTAAGTACATAGCTTCAGCACTGCCTGAGCCTTGCTTGTTGTTACCGCTATGCACGTCTTCACTATCACTGCATACTACAAGACGGCCTTACTTACATGCACAGATACATCTCATCTCCATCTTGCTTGGCATCTCGCTCGCCTGCAATGACAATCTGCCGAACCCTCCCATGGTTCGCCATCCGCTAGCGCCAATCTTCACGTCCCGTGGCCAGAATTTTCCTCCACCCCACCGTACCCTGCATACTTACTCTTGACAACACACATTCGTTTCTTTTGGCTGTACATACGCCTTCTCACAAAGCGTTGCTAGATATTCAGTCTATCGCGGATTTTTTCCATCGAAAACAGCAATAGCCCGGCTAGCTCAATCGGTAGAGCGTGAGACTCTTAGTCTTTCACGGTCTAACAGACACGATTACTCAGTACATCTCAAGGTTGTGGGTTCGACCCCCACGTCGGGCTTGTACGTTATTTTTTTTTGCTATCTTGTCATCCGTCGTACTCGTAGTTTCTTTTTGGCACTTATAACCATAATTCCATGAACCAACAACATGTCGCTACCCTTCTTTTTGCATGTTCGAGTTCGCTCAAGGAAAAAAATGCGCCCTGTGCATTGTAATGGCAGACTGGTGCACATGTCAACAGAACGAATCCCCTGTTGTGAAAAGCGCATCAGAAGCAGTGAGTACAAAATCAATAACAGGAATTACGGATGCATCCTCTCCTATCAGACCTACTGTGTATCAATCGCCAATAAGTCTTTCGCTGGACGCATTCCAAAGGCAACCACCCACCCACGATTTAACATCTTCATTATACCAAACCAAGCATTTCATGCAGCACAGACACATTTCTCTTGCCTAAAAATACTCAAAAACTTGCCTATTTCTCCATCCCTCCTCCATCCCAACTCAAGCTTGAACTAAACTCCACATTCTCCCCAATAACTCGTAACAACAATATGTCCTACAATCTCTTTCACAGAGCAGTCACGCCCGAGGCAGTTCTTTGCATCACCACCCGCGAGGCGATGCTATCGTGTCGCGTGCAACTTGACCATGGAAAACATGACTGCACATACTCGCCCACCGCAACCCTAGGCATCTTGTACACATTCCCCATCGAGCTACAGCAACGTATTGTATCCCACCTTGACGTTAAGTCGCTTCTTGTATTCCGTCGTGTAAGTAAGCCAGCTATGAGCCTCGTCAACTCTCTGCTGGAGTATAAGAAAATCATGATACATGCACCCATGGCCCTGCGTATGGCTATCGCCATCAAAACACATCATAGATTCACTATTTCTGATCTCTTCGCCGCGCTGTGCCAACGCCACTGTGAAGATTGCGGTATACTGGCTCATTACATCTGTCTCTTTACCTGCCGCCGTATTTGTCTGAGCCAGGAGAAATACTGTGAGGGTAGCTTGGCACCATGTGTGACTATACCTAGTTCAGGCGGGGACTACATCATCACCTGCGGCCTGTTTGAGTATAACTCCATGATCTTTCGTATCCCCAATAATGCCCCGCGGTTTTCGCCCGTGCCTGGCTTCCACATGAATGCCCGGATAGCCGGCAAGGTCGACCATTTCAACAAAATTGACATCAACTCTAGAGATTCATACGTTGACATGAATTACGTTGTCCCCGGCCTGAAAAAGTATCTACCTGAATCGTTGCGAGTAGTAACTGAGGAAAAAATGGTGATGATGAAGAGTGTCTCAGCTGTTGTTGCACCTTGGATGAGCAAGAGGAGCTTGGACGCCGAATATGGTATGCAGTGCCAAACCTGCATGGCTGAACAAAAGAGGTATATTGCTCGGTTTAGAAGTAACTCAAATAGCAGCATGCGTATTCTGCAGTGTGCTGTTTGGACTAAAGAGGAGCTGGAGAAGCATATGCGTGAGGAGCATGGGGTAGTAGAGAAATCAGTTCAGGGAGATTTGACTGAAAGCGTATGACAGGTATCTCTTGTGAGCACAGAGTAAAATGACTATCACTATTCGGAACTTCAAGCTGATTGGATCTGGTAAGCGTGAAATTGACATGATAGATTTTAGATGAGGAGTGTTGATCACACTATCAATGATGTGAGAATGATATAACTCCTTGTGATGCTACATGAACATGAGCGACTATTAAAATATCATAGTAAAACTATACTTTAATTCAGCACAATTTTCAATCATAAGCAATCCGCTTCAACCAACTAGACAACACATGCTCCACACCAACAACCCCCACGAAAAAATCATATGCTCCATACTTCCAACGCAGCGTAATACTCTCATTACATTATCTCACCCCCCTTGTCCCAAACACCTTACACTAGAGGCACCAGCCTCACCAGTTACCCAACGCAGCTCTCCCAAGCCCCATACTTTCTTTTCCCCCATACGCGAACACCAGCGACCCTAACCTATTATTAGCCAACCAAAATAAATAAACAAAAGTTCACAACCACAACGTGACCTCGAAACTCTGGACGCCTGACTCCACAAACAGCCTCTCAGGATCCCGTTGCACGAATAAAACAAGCCGTGCTCGCAACCTCGTAAAGTAGTTCGAACACATGGAAAGAAGCAAAACGTGCCTTGTGATGCAACAAGCCACTTTCTTACATTCACCGTTCGTAATAGTTCATCGTGCAACTTAGGTTTAGTCTAATCTAAGATTCAGACGCCTTCCCCGTCCCACAGATGGCGCACGGCACGCGAAGTACAAAGATGGCTGTGAGATCCGTGGCGCAACAGCGATGCGCCAATGGCAATGGTTGGACAATCATGCGGGGGACGCCCAAATGCCAAGACAATACAGCCCAGTTCGACGTGTGGCGTTGAGAAAGTAAATGAGTAAGTGAATCACGGGGTAGGACCTCAGCTATAGTCGTACAAGCGATGACGGTGGAGGTCAAAGTAAAAAAACGCCCGCTGTAGCAACGATCGGATTTTGTACCTGAATCAGCGAGAAAAGGTGCTACTATTCGATAGTCGTGGGACCGATGGTGGGCTGCGAGTTCAAAGTAAAGGGGGGCTGGCCATGTGTGAGCGCCACAATCGATAGTGGTGATGTAGATCGTTCTACGGAGAAGCTCGGGAGGGCCCGCGCCAGACGCGATCGATGGACTATTTTGGACTAATGTGGGCGAAGATTGTCGGTCGGTGATGAATCACGGACTTGCACATGATGATGTGCTAACGGCTGGACTGAGATGGAGATGGGGATGGGCAAGGCGGGCGCTATGGTGTAGCTTAGAGTATATTAAGGGAGGAGTCCGACGCGCATTTTACAGTTGGTATCTCAGATCAAAACGAGACCAAGTAGAGACAATGGCACGATTCCTTCAGATCTTGCTCGCGGCTGCGACTCTCGTTGCGGGACAAAGCGCCATATGTCCGAATGAAGTCGCTATTTACAATCCACAGGATCGGACGCAGTCGTTCACCAACAGTACGCACTCTCCATGTCCCACTCAAGAACAGTCAATCTAACACACCCCCAGACTGGTTCCTCGTCCCCGTCCCCAAAGAAGAAGTCAAAAAAGCCCTCCAACAAGCCTTCCCAGCCCTCTTCAACCTCGGCGGCTTGAACCTCTTACCTGTCCCAGCATCCCTCAACTTCCCTGCTGGAATGCACCCAGTCGTAGCTTCAGCCGGCATGACCAATGACATCCGACAAGACAACTTCCAAATCGCCACCGGCCTAATGTTCGCCGGTTCCCTAATTCCCTATGTCGGAATCGGCTCTTCCCAAACACCCCTAAGCGTGCCCCTCGTAAACTACATCGCAGGCGTCGACGAAGTAACCCAAGCCTACGTCGCCGGCATCATTCCCTCTGTAGTCGGTATGCTTTCCCATTCCCATTTCTCCTCTCCTTCTCCCCCCCCCCCGCTAACTACCACCTCAAAAGCAACCATAGCAGGCATCCTCTTCCGCATCGGCGCCTTCATCCCCTTCTCCTCCCCCTTCCAATCCTACTCGGACGGCTCCCTTGGCATAAACTCCAAATGGGCCCAAGCCCCCAACCCGGCCAGTGGACCCGGCATCTACTCCGAAGCCATTGACCTAAAATTCGTAAACGAGCCCAACCAAGCATCGCCGCGGTACACACTTGCCCAGTGGAAACGCATCATCAATCAACCGTGGATCCTGGCTAACGTGGCGAGCTTGCTCAACCCAAAGTGCCAGAGGAGTACCTTTTACTTTACGAATGCTACAGCGGTGCCGACGTTTAGAACGGGTAATGTGACGTTGGGGCCGTCGGCGAGTGTGGATCCGTTGACGGCGGTGCTGCAGAGGGCGAGTCCAGATGGGAGTGGGTTTTACAGGGGTGTGTATGGGTTTACGGCTTGTGCGCAGAATGTTGGGTATGGGGCTGTGGTGCCGCAGGGTGAGGATTGCGAGGTTGCGGCGCAGATTGTAGCGAGTTCACCGGGGGCTTGGTAGGTGGCACGGGCATGGGGAGGGGGATGGGGGAGGATGGGGGTTTGTGAGCAGTAGTTGGGGTGTAGAGCAGTACTTTTTGTACATCAATAGTACTACCGGAATGAGCTACCTGGTGTTCTACTTGTGGTAACTTTTTCGTTCGAGTGGTCTGTGAAGCATTGCGCTTTTGCTGTGAAGTCTTATCTGAAACCTTTCGCAGCCGGCCAGAGCCAATGCCCCCGTGTTCTTTTTTGTATTAGCGAAGTTTTGAGCGGCGGTCAGCCAGTTTTAAGTATTGATTGCGCTGCTGGAGGAGTCGAAAGGCGGTGGCTTTTGGGATGTTGAAATCGTGGTAGATGTCTTGCTTAGTCCTATCATCGCGCCGATTAATAGCTTCGAAAAATCGAGCACGAGTTGGAGTGTCAAGATGCGAATGTAGGGATCACTTCTCTGAAGATTGAGGAGTCATTTACACAGAATATTGTTTGAGAATATTGTGTTTTGGTCGAGGTGCACAGCTGCAAAGATGTTGGGAACTATCGAGGTTACGTCATTTTGGTATTGTGGCGCGAACACTGCCAGCACGGACTTGTATTACTTTTTCTGCTGAGGGGTGTTTGGATCTGCTATCTTCAATATACATATCTTATCTTGACCAGGGTAGTGCTTTGGAGTGAAGTGTGCAGCATTCGAAGTATGATTGTCGTCAATATTTGCTCTATACCGACTACTTTTCCGTAAGGATTGCCTTTCCGCAAGACTGCTTTTCCGCTGCATGGAAATCCCCTTTTGCGTCTATATCAACATCATTACTCATCTTCACATTCGTACGAACACTGCTACGCGTTGCATATCCTGGGGATTTTCCGAGTCTTACGGAAATAACAACAACGACGCGAATAGTCATGAAGATACTATGCCAGCTCAGGCTAGACCGGCGGATTAGCAAGCGGAATTGACGTCACACTTACCCGAGATGTCTATGTTCGTTGATTGCGATAATCTCGGTCATTGATGATAAATTATGGGCTAGGTGCTCGATTATTCACCCATCGCTGCTTATAACAAGACCAATTGAGAATAACCAGAGGCATATAATTCCTATCTTCAGCGATACGCCGTAGCATAACACGATTGATATCATGGATCCTGAAAGAGAAAAATCTCGAGATGAAACTGCGTCATCACTATCCAGCGCAAGCATGGATCTCGAAAGTGGAAGAAAATCCAGACCAAGACGACGAAGCGCATCAACAATGTCAACCATATCAACCGACAACGAATCGGATATCTACGACCCCCACAACGATGGCCACCGACCCACGCGAAGGGAACTAGCAGAAAGCATTTCCCGCTCACGTACTCGACACAGCCAACTACGAACCGGACCAGCAATGACCACTGGCCTAAACCAATCCCTAAACCGCACAATATCCCGTCGAGACACCGTCCTCTCACGAATCCGGACCCGCCCAAACGTCGCACCATTTACGCACCCGTTAGCACACCAGCCTACAACCGCAGATGTCCTCGTCGACTTCGACGGCGAAGACGACCCATATCGACCCGTCAATTGGCCTACGAAAAAGAAAGTCCTGACGACACTCATGTACGGTCTCACCACCATGAGCGCAACTTGGGCTTCCTCGGCCTACTCCGCAGGCACCAGACAGATAGCCGCAGAATTCCACGTAGGCAACCAAGTGGCCGTGCTGGGTACTACGATTTTCCTGTTTGGATTCGGACTCGGCCCTTTACTCTGGGCGCCGTTGTCCGAAGTGTATGGACGACGGGTTGCAGTGCTCACACCAATGTTTGTAGCCATGTGCTTCAGCTTTGGCAGCGCGGCGGCAAAAGATTTCCAGACGCTGATGATTACACGGTTTTTTGGGGCGTTTTTTGCCAGTGCGCCCGTGACGAATACGGGGGGTGTGCTGGGGGACCTGTATAGTCCGGCGTGGCGGGCCATGGCGATGGCAGGGTATGCAATGGCCGTCGTTGGGGGCCCGTGTCTGGGCCCTATTGTTTCTGCGGCGTTTGTTGCGGATCCGTCGCTGGGGTGGCGGTGGACGGAGTATTTTACGGGGATTCTTCAGGCGGCGACGCTGGTTATCGATGTTGTTTTTATCGATGAATGCTATCCGCCCAAGCTACTTGTGTACAAGGCGCGGCGGCTCCGACATGAGACGGGGAACTGGGCGTTACATACCAAGTTCGAGGAATGGGATGTTAGTATCAAGGAGCTTTCGAAGAAGTTCTTGCTTCGCCCGATACAGCTGCTCACCACGCCGATTTGCTTCCTCGTCGCGCTGTATGCGAGCTTCTGCTACGGAATCCTGTACATGCAGCTAGGCGGCATCCCGATCATCTTTGGCGAAATAAGGGGCTGGCCTGCAGTCAGTGCTACATTGCCTTTCCTAGGCATCTTGGTTGGCGCAATCATCGGATGCAGTATCAACGCTTACAACCAGATTCTTTACAACAAAGTATACTATGCTGCTGGTAATCGGGCTGTTCCTGAAGCCCGCTTGCCGCCCATGATGCTCGGTTCCGTCCTATTTTCCGTAGGCCAATTCATTATGGGATGGACTGCGGACCCAAAGTTCCACTGGATCGCACCGGTCATTGGCCTCGTGCTAATGGGCACAGGTTTCTTTACCATCTTCCAGGCTGCACTCAACTACCTCGTCGATACGTTCACGCTGTACGCAGCGAGCGCAGTGGCAGCAAACACGTTTCTGCGTAGCGTGTTTGCGGGCGCGTTCCCGCTAGTTGTTACGCCGTTGTACCACAATCTTGGTGTTGGGCCGGCTAGTTCTATCACGGGAGGGTTTGCGGCGCTTCTTATTCCTGTGCCTTTTGTGTTTTATGTGTTTGGCAAAAGGGTGAGGAGGGCGAGTAAGTGGAGCCGTGGGAGCGTGTTTGACTGATTGCGTTACATGAGGTTGTATGTGTAGCAGGAAGTTATCTCGAGACGTACCGTAAATAAAATGTTTCTTGTAAATTCATCATATTTGTCCATCTCTATTGACCACATGGTTCATGGCATGAGGGTTGACTCGGGGAAGTCGAAATCTAGAGTCTTATTCTACTCTATTGGGTGGTAATTCGATGAGCGTTAAATCCACCTAGGACGTGATTATATTCATTACCAATGACTAGCTCTTTGAACTTCTTCCTCTCCCTAGACCTGAAAAGCAACACCCTCCCTCTTAACCATGGCTTTGCCGCCACTCGCAAATCCTGTGCCTTCACTCTGAATCTCGACCAATCCCGGCTTAGGCGCCTGCTCCTTCTTTTTCCTCTTCTTTCCCTCTTTGGCATCCGGTGCGGCGCTGAGATCGGCATCGCAGACGTAGCAATGTATCGAATCTGGTTCTGGGGAGTCGTCATGCGCATCGCGGTGATGACGATGTTCTGGCCTGAGAAACTTGTCGACGCAAGGCTTGCAGAGAACATGACCGCAGGGGATAGCGAGCATAGCTTTTGTATTATTTGACAACGCCTTTTGGCAGCTCGGACACGTGCGCACAGGTTTGCCGGTCTCCGTCGACTTTTCCTCATGGAAATGGACACTCGTAAGTCCCTTGAGGGATAGACTATGAGGCTGGTCGGGGGAACTGGATGGGCATATGGGTGTGTTCTTCGCCTTCTCAGCAGTCTTGTGGTGCTGATCGGGTGTCTCGCCTGGTACCCAGAAACTCGGGAGATAGCCTTTTGCAGCTTTGCGTTCTTCATCCAGGTTGCGCTTTGCTTTTCGCTGTTCCTCGTTTGCAATGCGCTTCAGCTCCTCCTCGTCAATCTCAAACTTTCGCTTTGTGCCTCTGCCCTGACTAGCTGCTTTGGGATCCTGCTCTTCTTCCACCATGATCTTGCCTCCTTCTCTTCCCACCATCTTTGCTGATGATCCCGCCTTGAAAGAAAGTCCCTGCTGGACTAGCTCAAATTCTTCTACCGCTCGCAGCCTCGCCTCCTCTTCCTCGCGCAACTCGTTCTCCTCTTCCTCAAGTTTTTGCCGCTCATTAAGCTTTTCTAGCCGCTTCATCTCGTTCTTTTGCGCCAAGAGATTCGTCAAGGCACATTCCCGACAAAAAAGGTCGCCTTGCGAACAGCATACTGGATCTACTGACGGAAGAAGACAGAGCTGGCAGGAGCCGAATGGCAGGAATGAATCACGTGTAAGGCGCGTTGATTGTGAACCCCATCTATCCTTGAGCGAGTTTCGCTCGTACGATGTGAACACAGTCTTTGGCGGTGGCATGTTGAGGCGATGTGAGGCGAGTTGGTTAGGAGTAGAGGTAAATAGTTGATAATGGCAAAGCGCGTCTCGCACCCATGTAGTACTAGTTTGCGACGCGCTTGCAATTGGTCACGTGCGCTGGTGCCAAGTTTGAGCCTACCAGATACTGTGTGTACTATACTTAGTCAAGTGATATCAATACGGATGAAGCAGCAAGACGACGATGAGATGTTGAGATATCGAAATGCTGACATGGATCGGGTAGTGTAGGAGAGCTGAGAAGCGTCGGGGAACGAAGAGCCAGCCAGTGGCTGCACGTGCCGGTCGCCTTGCCGAAATCCCTGTCGCCAAAATTGCCTGGTTCCTGGCGGGCTGGCGGGCAGGCGGCCAGTGACGTTGGGTGCAAGGTTGTTGCTCACCCGCTGGACGCGAAATCTGCACATGTTCCTTGACCTACAACACTCGCAATGCGACCAGAGGACCAGCCAGAGGCGCCCAGTGGGTCATGGCGCGCTGCTTCCATGATCACAATGGGCGCCGTGGGGCTTTTGTGCAAAGGGTTTCTCGCTGGGTTGAGCAAGGTTGAGACTCACGGCATGAACGAGTTTCTGCAGCTGCTCGATCAGAGAGAGGATCCTGCAAAGAGGGAGAGAGGACTGATTACTGGTATGAATTCGAGGAAGCCAATTGCGCGACCATGTGTTTATGCTAATTGCCCTCACAGTTTCGAACCACATCTCCGTGTACGTACGTTTGCCACGGCATTGATCTTGCAAGACATAGCACTGTGCTCATGCAGTTGGAACAGAATGGACGATCCGATCCTATGGGGCATTCTTCCCCTCAGCTACATGTTCAACCCGGATAATCTGCGTTGGGGACTTGGGAGTTATGATTTGTGCTTCACGAACAAGTACGTTTGCCGCGCATGGCCCGTCGCATAGCTAACGAGGGACAGAGGGTTGTCAACTTTTTTCACTTTCGGCCAAGTTCTCCCCACGCACCGCTCTGCGCATTCGCAGTACGGCGGCCTGTTCCAGCCCACCATAACGCAAGCGATCCGCCTGTTGTCGTGCGGACCTTTTCTGCACGAACAAGACCCTCCGGAGAAGCCTGCGACATCACTCAAGAGCCCAGACCTCATTGATCCCTTTAGCGGCGGGCACCTTACCTTCTCTACCAATGGCCACGACACGTTTCCCGCGCCCTCGGCGTACAGAAACCGGCGACATGCGTGGGTTCACATTTTCCCCGAGGGCATGATCCACCAGAGCGAGCAGAGAATCATGCGCTACTTCAAGTGGGGTGTGTCGCGGCTGATATTGGAGAGCGAGCCAATGCCAGACGTTGTGCCCATTTTCGTGGAGGGCTTCGACAACATCATGCACGAGACACGCACGTTTCCGCGATTCATCCCGCGACCATTTCAGAACGTGCGGGTGACGTTTGGAGAAAAGCTCGATACCGAAGAGGTGTTTGGTGACTTGCGCAGGCGGTGGAAGCAGCTTCAGGCGAAGGAGCAAGCCAAGGGCGAGCGGCTGGCGGTCGGGGTACTCAACGATCCGCTCAAGTACTCGAAAGAAGCCGTGGAGATACGCAAAGAGTGCACAAGGCGCGTACGGCAGGCGGTGGTCGATGTCCGGCGGCAACGCGGGTACCCTGAAGATGATCCGAAGAACAGCCTCGCGACGACGTGGTTGCGCGAGGGGTCTCACAGAGAAGGGCGCAAGGAGGACGACAGCATCACCAAGGATGGCTGAGGGGGGCGCGGGCATGTACTGTGTAGTAGTGTGTATTGTACGTATCTTGTATAGTGTCAGATTAGATCAAGTAATTACAGCCTCAGCGACGCCTGCTTGTGCGCGCCGATCAACCGCAGCCGTGGGGTATGCCCTGGGCGGGTTTCGTCGTTGCGGGTAAAGGCAGGCACCGCGACGCCTACTGTGTGTGCGGAATCGCGGCCATGGTCTCTGGCGTGCTCGTTATCGTCATCCACTGGGGGAGGAAAGAGAAGAGGAGGGGAGGGTGTCGTAGATGGATGGATGGTGCGGGCGCAGGGGAGCTAGAAGCACGTACCACATTGTCTTGGCGGAAAGGTGCCTTGAGCAGATAAAGCGCGGTGGATGCCCCGCCCTCGCGCGGAAGTGACGACTGGCAAAGTGGCAGAAAAGCATTTCACCGCCCGTATAGTTCGCGCCCGCCCCCTGTCGTTATGCCCTGGGCTCCACCACAGTCGCCAGATTTATCTTCCTTCCACGCCCACCAACAGCACCACTACCACCACCAGCAACACCACCACCAGTACCCGGCACCGCCCCAGCACATCCCCCACCCCATGCTGCAGAGCCCCATGCCTCGCCATCTCTCCAGCGGGGACGCCATGCACGATGCAGACTACATCCCCGACGCGTCGCTCCCACAGATGTCTGCAGTCCCAGACCTGCCCAACACCGACCACATCACCATTAAGAACCACTTTCCTGTCGCGCGCATAAAGCGCATCATGCAGGCCGATGACGACGTCGGAAAGGTCGCCCAGGTCACGCCCGTTGTTGTTTGTACGTGTCCCCCCTCTCCCCTCCCCCACTCCATGCTTGCCTGCGCCGGTGTTTGCTAACACGCCCCCAGCAAAAGCCCTCGAGCTCTTTATGATCTCTCTCGTCACAAAGGCTGCCGCCGAGGCAAAGTCGCGCAACTCGAAGCGTGTCGGCTCCATCCACCTCAAGCAGGCAATTACCAAGACAGACCGCTTCGACTTCCTTAACGAGATTGTCTCAAAAGTCGCTGATGCGCCCGACAAGAGCGAGGCTGACAATATGGAAGTCGACGGCAAGAAGAAGAAGACGTCGAGCCGGAAAAAGAAAAAGGCCGACAGCGACGACGACTTTTGAGCCGAACAGACGTGTTGATGCCGTACTACCTTCTGCGCACAAGCGTGCCGTTCGCTGCAGCCTCACCCGTCGACGTCATGTGTGCCGTCGCCTAGAAAGTAGCTGCTAGCCCCCCGTTTGCCTTGCGGGTCCTTTCGGCTTCCCTGTTTGCCATTCGACTACCATGGATGCGCGCCACCACCTACTTGCATCTCAATTCGGCCTAGTGGTTCTCCACTCCCCACGAGGTCGTTAGATGCAAACATGTAGATTTGCCATTCTGCCCTTGGTTCACGCCAACCCCTACAATTTCCACCAGATGAGGCTCATTTGCGCGTTGCAATAGAACATCGTCAATGTGAGGGACGCCAAGCCCCACATTTTGTCCCTCGATTCATGCGCCACGTTACTTGCTTACGGGCGGCCCTTTGACCAAATGCGATTTTTTGCCGGTCCCACGCACAAGGCAAGGTTCTACGGCAACGGGCGGCCCTTTTACAGACCGATGGAACAGTTTCTTCAATTGCATTGCATGGACGGCGTTGTCTTGTTCTGTTTACCTTGATTGATACGATACCAATGAATACGGATACACGATTTTCCTTGTTTCAGCCTCCTTCTCACCTACTTGTACTGACGGAATAATTATATCCGAGTCTTAAAGACCCTGCAAGCCATGACCGTGTATCTAGTTTACGCGGTTTGCAACCGATGGGTAAAGAGCCTCCTGCCCACCAACCAACTTTCTTCGGCCTCTCCAATTTATCCGCTCTCTCCACCAAACCCCACAGTGTGACGCTCGCATGTATGCCTATTCAGGAACAGGCTGTAGATCGATTCGTGCGCTATCCTCAATGGGCTCTAATGTTCCTGTCTAGCTCCCTGGGTTCCCCCAGACACCCGTAATTTAGGTGTTCCCGTCAAGTATTAAATATGCTCGTGTCCTGGCTCCTAGACCTGCTTGTACAGTCGTCGTTCTTTACTGTTGTCGATTACAGAGTGATCAAGTCAAGATGATCTTCTCAAGGCTGGCAGTGCTCCTTGCGGGCGCTGCAGTATCCGTTCACTGCAATGTAATCGATAGTAGACAAACCAACAAGCCCAGCATCCGCCCCAATCCTTCCGGCGGCCATTGGGTCGATGCATTTGCAACAATGCCCCAGCTCACTGAGCCAGCAAATCTACCACCAGCACCGTTTGTATGTACACCTTGTCACCTGTGGTTGTGAATACCATCCTAACCCAGCCCGCACAGAACCAAACTGGCGCCGTCTTCGTCAACAGTACCGTTCGTCAGACGCTCTACGTGACCACCGACGCCAATCAGATCCGCCTGAAATTCACAAACGTCTTCGGTGGCTCCAACCTCCCCATCACTGCTGTTACCGTTGCACTTCCCGCAAACCAGACCGCTGGTATCTACGACATCCAGCCTCAGACGCTTCAAAAGGTCACCTTTGGTGGTGAAGATGGAATCAGTGTCCCCAACGGCGCACTTGCCGTATCGGATCCTATCAATTTCCAAATCAAGGCACAACAAGTCATCACCGTGACCATGTATCTCGCAGCTGGCCAGAGGACAAACAGCATCACCAGCCATCCAGGATCCCGAACAACCAGCTGGTGGCAATTCGGCAACGCCGTCAGTGCCCCAAGTCTTGCCATTACCAACCCAGCGACGCAGTCAGCAGCACACTGGTATTTTATTTCGTCGATCGAAGCCTGGGTCCCACAAAACGTCGGCTCTCTCCTTATCGTTGGCGATAGCATCACGGATGGCCGTGGCTCCACCACCAACAAGAACGACCGATGGCCAAACCTCCTCCTCGCCCGCCTCCAGAAGAACCCAGCCACAAAGTCCATCTCCATCGGCAACCTTGCCGCAGGCGGAAACCGTATTCTCGCAGACGGCCTCGGCCCTAATGCTTTTGGCCGTGTTGACCGCGACGTCCTCGCCCACCCAGGCGTCAAGTACGCCATGATCTTCGAAGGCGTAAACGACATTGGCAGTGCACCTCCCACCCCCGACGTCCAAAACCAAATCTATACCTCCCTCATCCAAGCCTACAAGCAAATGGTCAGCCTCATCCATGCCCACGGCATCCCCGTCTTTGGCGCAACCATCACACCCTTCAGCGCCCCTTCCAATTTCACCGGCCAGCCTTACTCGAACCCCGAGCGCGAAAAGACGAGGCAGCGCATCAACGAGTTTATCCGCACCAGCGGCGTCTTCGATGCCGTTGTGGATTTCGACAAGTTTCTTGCTGATCCTAAGATTCCCAGTCAGCTCGCGCCCCAGTATGATAGTGGTGATTACCTTCACCCCGGGCCGGTGGGTTACGCGCATCTTGCTGAGCAGTTTCCTGTTGAGATTTTCGCAAAGTGGAAGAATGGTGCTGATGAGTTTAACTTTGGGAGGTAGAATGAAGTGTGAGATTTAGTCGCACTTCTTTTTCTGAAAGCGTTGGAACGATGTTATCTAATTTACCACCCTATTCTTCCGTGTATATATTTTTTGAGGTTGATGTCCATATAAACTCTGAACTCTACGTCTGTTTCCTTTCGGTCCGAGAACAGTCCTTATCTTTTTTTAATACCTAAATCGTGCTTTGTATCCAGCTTTTTTTCCTGTATAATGTCCAAGAAACGGAAGAAAAAACAGGAGTCTACATAATCCTTGGTATATCTCGTGACTTTGAAATAAATGCTAGCAATGTCCCAACACCACACCCCCATAAAAGATAACCAGTCCCAATATCATCACTACACCTCTCCCCTTGCAAAAAGACTTGCCACCGTCTATACCCAACTTTGTAAAAAGAAAAAGAAAAAAGAGCAGCAAACAAAAACAAACAAACTTCAGCCCCAAATACATCCATCTCACCGGACTATACAATCCCCTCCTGAAACCGCTCAACCCCCTTCTTAATCTCACGCACAATCTCGACCGCCTCATCCACGCTCTGTGCCTCAAAGTCATACCGCTTCGTCTCCCTCTCCTTGAACACAATAACCCTGAACATCTTTGGGTGTTTCTTAGACACCTTACTCCCCACTACGCTGCTAAAATGCACTGTTGTAGTTTTACCCTGAGCCTCGATACCGAAACCGCCACGGGCTCCGGTTTTGGATTCGCCGGGCATAATGTGGATGTATTCGTTGTCGAGGGCGATGATGCGCGAGGTGGACGAGGCAAAGGACATGGGTTGTTTGCGGAGGACGGCGTAGCGGCGGTAGTAGTTTGTTGTTGAAAGGGCGAGGGCGCCTGAGTCGCCGGTTCGGGCGAGGGGGTGCAGGAGACCTGCACCGGATACGGCGGCGTGGGTGCGGTCGCCTTTTTTAGTCTTCTTGGGGGCGCCTCCCGTGCTGATGATGAGGGGTGCGTTGGGGGATGATGACCCGGGGGAGCCTGAGAGGCCGAAGACGCCATCGCCTACGAAGCGGCGGCGCACGAGATCTAGATCCATGCGTGTATCTAGAGCTTCTACGGTGCGGTCGGGTGGCGCTACGGTGGTGCTACCGCTTACTTTGAGGATGTAGAGGCCCTTCTCGAGCTGGAGATCGTGGCATACTTGGTCGAATAGATCAGCGATATATGTGTCGGTTGTGCATGGCAATGAAAAGTGTTTGGTGTTGAAATTCTCGTCGGTGAAATGAATGTTGACCATCCTCGGGGCTCCAGTACGACTAGCAGCATGCGATGGCGCCACCTTTGGCACATCTGCCAAGTTGCTCGTATCTTTACGGGTCGCTGTTGGTGCAAAGGATGGGCCAGTGATTGGATTTCGGAAGCTCTTAGCTCGGCTGGGCATGGGCTTTACGGGCTTCTTCTCATCGCTCTCATCCTGGCCGTCGGCACCATCGCCTTGCGATACAACAGCACTGGCAGCTTCCTGACTGTAGATGGGCGTAAGCTTCTCATTTTCGCCAAACTCCCGCTGTGTCGCTGCAACGAGCGCAAACTCGTCCCAAGGCTTGTCCCTCGCACGAGGTCGCATACCGCGAGCGTTGTTAGATGCAAAGTCTTTCAATGGTTTGTTCCTCGTCAACGGCGGGAATTCATCGTCGACTTCGCCGTCGTCGTACATGCGCATGACCCAGCAGTTGACATTCAACTGTTCGGCTGTCAATGGCGGCTCCAGCTTTTCTTCCTGGTAGCGATGCAACGCATATCCAATAGCCTCTGCCACCGTAGGTCCCTCTCCTTTGTCGTTGAACTTCCTAATCAGTAGCTCCATAGGCTTGGATGGCTTTGAAGAAAATGGACAGTATAGTTTGATAAACAATGGGTTTTGCTGAGCCTCGCTCGCAGCGTTCCACATGGCGAAACGTTGCAGAGGATCAGACGGCTTCTGCTCCTTAGCCCGGATTGCTTGCGTCAAGGCACTCACGGGCAGCACAAAACTAATTGGTCGTGGTGGAGGCAGGGCCTGGAGTGTCGGCTGGACTGGTTCGTTCTTTTTCTTCTTGGGAGACATGTTTTGGAAAGGCGTCAAGCCAGGCATGGTGGGAAGATCGCCGCCTACGGGAGAAGAGTCTAGAGGGTCGCCGACTACGCCTATGAAGGAGGCGCTACTGTTAGAACCAGAAAATTCAGAAGTCAAAGAATCATCAGACTCGTCGCCTTCGTCCAGCGCTTCCAAACGACCACGCGAACCAGCAGCATCTCCTTGATACTCATCTTTCCGTTGGGAAAGCGAGTGGTTTGCATTGGCAGCCTTTCGAGGCTTAACTCGTCTCTTCCTGAAGGACGAGTTGTCGAACTCGTTTTCTGATGACATTTCGCTGCTGGTGATGGTGTCTCTCCTTGCCCTTCCTTTGGACGACTCGACTGTGGGCAGAGACGATCTACGTGGAATCTCCTCGGGCGGGCGCGACGGTGAAGTAATCATGAGTGAAGGTCCTTCTCCGGCCTCTGCAAGCTCGTTGCGCAGTGCTGATCCACGCATGGGCGACGAACCAGAACGGGTGCGTAGGGGCATCTTGGTGAACTTGATCAGGTTGGCTGGTCTGGGGCTTGATCAGTTTGCAGGCCGCGACGCAGAATATTGGTCTACCTTTGCGCGTCATCCTCGTCATCGCTCTCATCGCTGAGGTCGCTACTGTCATCCTCCTCCAGCTGCTCCTTGCGCCGTCTGCGCTTCGCATTCAAGGTTGGCCCCACGGTGTCATTGCTTCCAGCTCCCGTGACCATGCCGCCCTCTTCTTCATCGTCTCCGAAACCCTCGGGCGGCTTCAGGCCAGCCGAACGCGGGGCTTGAAAGTACTCGGAGGTGATGGCGGTGGGGATCGGTGGAGAGTAGGTGCGCTTGATGTCAGAGGCATTGGGCACCCAGCCAGCGGCACGGAATGCTGGGTTGTTCAGAACACTCGAGTCGACATTGATCAGGCGCTCACCCACGCCGTCCTTGATGGAGCCCAGGTAGGCGGTACGAAGCTGGTATAGCACGAAACTACATACGTCAGTCAGTTGGCGATGCGACGCGAAGAAGACGGCCGCTTACTCTTCATTTTGGAGGAGGGACATGGTTGGAGGGTCAGGGTAAAGGTATCAACATCTCAGAATCGAAAGCTATGTATGCTCAGACCAGCTGACGGGAATCATAAAACGCCCATGGGCAGAGAGATGCAGAAGTGGAGGCTGTGGGGAAGTGCATGTGCATGTACCTGGACCCTGGTTGGGCTTGGCTGCTGCACCCGTTGACGCGCGCCGATGTGATCTCATCGTCCTATAAACTTTCCGACCGCAGTCCTCTCTTAACCTTCACCCCACGCCAGGACCCTCCCAACACCATGAACCTCCTCGCTGGTTACTCCGACTCGGAATCCGACAGCGAAGCGCCCTCTGCGCCCCAAGTCGCCGCGAAGCCCGCCTCGAAGCCCGCCTTTCAGAAAGTCGTCGACCGCTCCAACCCAGGACGAATCAAAGTCAATCTCCCAGGCGCATCGCAGTCACGACAGGATAAGGATGACATCCAGGGAGACGCGCCGCCTGCGAAAAAGCCACGCCTGGGAGGAGGATCGTCGTTTGCTGGTTTCAATGCGATGCTGCCTGCGCCAAAGAAGCCCAATCTGAATGCCATTGCAGCAGCAGAGGGCGCAAAAGCTGAGAGCAGAGGGCTCGGCAAAGGGCTCGCGTCAGGTGTCAGCTTGAAGACTGGTGCTGAGCCTGCCTTTAAGCGGGAGCCAAGAGCGGATACCGAAGAGTACGACGAGACTGGGAATCCAATCAAAAAGGAGCCAATGAACAAGGACGATTTTAGGGCCATGCTGAATCTGCCGCCTCCAAAGTCACAAGCAAAGCCTGACGCTAAACCGGCGCTGCCAGTGCAAGACACAAAGGTGGAGCCGGAGCCGCAGCAAGCATCGAAACCTGCGGCGCCGCGTTTCGTGCCCATGTCTGTGGGCAAGGGAAAGAAGAAGAAACTAGTAGCGCCTCGCCCAGCGCTTGCATCAACTGAGGCAGCCGGTCCAACAAGCACAGCAGTATCGACAGCACAACCACCCGTCGTACAAACAAAACCGCAAAAGCCAAAGGTTTCCCTTTTCGGCGTATCAGGTGGTGCTGAGCCTGTAACCAAGGCATTGTCGGACGGAGAATACCAACCATTGCTGTACGGGGCGGAACAAGACGAGGATGCGCCTGTGTCCGATGCGGCCTTTGACGGACACTCGACAAATTACATCACTCAATATGCAGCACCGTCCGCCAACGCCCCGACAGGTGACGGCCTCACAAACATTGCCTCAGAGCTCAATCTCTCCGAAGCCGAACGGCGCCAATTATTCGGCAAAAAGGGCCGCAGCGGACCGGACTTCTCAGGCGCAAAGATAGTCGAGTTCAATACCGACGAGGAGTACGCACACAACGAACGGCTGCGGCAGCAGGGCGAGGCAGTATCGCACAACCCGCTCAAGTCCATTTCCGGTACTGGAAAGAACAGTCTTCGCAGTTTGGTTAACGTTGCGACTACGCAGAAAGATGCACTCGAGGATCATTTTGCTGCTAGTCACCGGAATAAGAAGGAGGCGGGTAATCGGTATGGATGGTGAGCTCTTTATGGGGATTTTATTATTCTATGGAAAATACGAATTTGCATAATTTTACGCATTGCATGGGCGTTGGAAAGCTCGGTATCTCTGGAGGAGCTAATTGCTTGGTCGAATTTTGTCATAAAGACTCAAATATGAATATTGCATTTTGTTCAGTGATTTGTATCACGATGTCAGCTTGACTCAATTATTGATTGTAGCCTATACCCACATCCTGTAGGTGATATGGAATGAATAGAAACAAAGATTGAATAGGTTTTTGAAGAAACATTACATCAGATGCAGTTGAGGGTCGAGGACGAAGGAGCTTGTACTAGCCTGATTCGTCAATGCTACTACTACGAATGAGTTGACCCTGTACGCCAAGACTAGGATGAAGTCTATATTGATATGATTATGGTGGTTTTAGCGACTATTATATTTTACAATATTTTGCAAACTTTCATCAAGCATTCTTGGTCCAACGGTAGGATAATTGCCTTCCAAGCAATTGGCCCGGGTTCGACTCCCGGAGGATGCATAACATCCTTCTCTCGATTGCAACGTTATGACTTTTTTGCTCCGGGGAAGGAAGCGGGAACAACAAAGTTACCGTAGTCCTTCCTCGCTTTCTAGACCCCTGCATATTTTTTGCGCCTGCAGTCATCATCGTCAAAAGTTTATTCTTCCCCACATGCATACGATGCAGTATGAGCATGTTTTTGTGGTTGCGTGGAAGCTAGGGCTAGGGAAGCCATGGCTGCCTTGATACCCCCAGACGCCATTCACATCACATTGGATATTGCGAGATAAAGTTGCATGGTGGTTTCGCGCCTGCTGCCTTGATTGTGCAGATCTTGGCACTTGTGCGGCGCCATGTCTCTACTGCGAAACCACCAGACGTCGGTCTGGCCGATGTCGTGGATGCAGACAAGTCGCAGAATGCGGGGTATCGCGCCATGGCCATAGTTGGCCCAGATGTTGTAGGCGTTTTATGAGAACCAAGATTGAGGGCCAGAGCTGAGGATGTGGCCGGGTCCGATGGAAATTGCTTGGTACTCGAGAGTATGTTTTGGCACCGGCACGCCTGATCCCCTCGACTTGCATGTTGAGGCGCACCCGCTGATTGTCCTCGAGGACACGGCACGGCAGATTCCTGCAGGACTTTGTGTGCTTGTGACAGACCATGGCAACAATTGGTAACACGTTGTTGGACAATCTCGCTCTACCCGAGTGTCCATACGCAACAAGCCGCGCAGGTGAATTTCAATAACCACCAAGGACACTTGGAACCATGGTGGTGGGACAGTCTGGGCGCATCCCTGAAAACCGGTGACCCTAAATCGTGGTTCCGTCGTATCCCATGTGCAGTGATTGACGTGCCGCTAAGCCCTATATCGCAATGGCACCCCCATGATGCCCTGGCACTTTGTCTAGATGTGTTGGCTTTGCAGTGCGACTGTGGGCCTCTAGACCGATGCTCAAAAGTGGGGAGTCGGTGAGCTTTCCAAAGGAACATGGCGATTCTACCGCCCCGCACACCGTACACGCCCTCTGATTGGGTGCAATGGCTTGAGGATGCAAAGCGTCACCGTCACCTCGACACAGCTGCGATATGCGCCAAGTCAAGCGGCAATGAGGACACAGGAGAAGGACTGAGAAGCAAACGATAGGGCGGGTTATAAATCTAGCCGACGGCCTGATGTTGAGCCTCACTCTCGCCTTCTGCAGTCATCTTATTTATCCGCGCCAACATTTGGCTAATCCATCAACTTCAATATAAACATCACTGCTTGTATCCCTCTACTATTACACTTTCAAACACAGTGGTAGCCAGCATGGCCTCACACACTCAAACCATGCCCCTTCCCATCCGCACAAACACAGTCGATTCGCAAAAGTCACGATCATCGTCATCGGGCCAAATCTCTCCACCATACTCCCCAGCATCACCAACATCTCGCATGGCAACATCTCCAACCGAAGAGTCCTTCTTCGGCGCCATCACAGCGCGAATCTGCGGCCGCTCACGAAGTCGCTCTCGCGGTGCCCCATCAGACAAGCGACCAAGGTCGCCGCCCATGGCCATGCCACCCGTCCAGCCACCACACTTACGACATGCATCTACCGCTAGCTCCACCATTTCGCCGGGTCCAGTAGCTACCCCGGGACACAGTATCAGACCAACTATCCAGGATGTAGGCAGGAGAACTACTAGCGGTAGCGACCCGTGGAGAGGCCGGCACTCAAACGACTGGCTTTTCAATGGATATTCCGTTACTGCTTCAGCCAAGGACTTTCTCCAACGACGCAAGTAGACGGTGTACAGAACTGGTCTGCTTTATGACGCTACAGCAACGGGGAAAATAATATTCGTGTTTGAGCTGGCTCGGGCAATGTATTACTGCTTTCTTATTAGCTCTCTTCGTATTAGTTGCTTGTTTTCTTTTTCATGTGTTATCCTAAACAAAGTAAGTAGTTGTGTAAGATAGTCATTGTTAATTAAAATTCGGTGAAATCTCCGAAAGCGTGCCGTTTTACTTGTTGTGATCCTCCGACTTATGTGTAGTACCATGCGGATAGGGGATATAGATAACTTAGTGTTGGGGGTATGTATGTATATATAAGGCTATATAATTTGCCACATGGCTCTTTTGTTCATTTTATTACGTTAATGATTTGATCGGTGATAAATCTTTCGTTTCCCTGCTGTGTTATACCGCCTTTCTACAATCGAATTCTAACATGAAGTTCAGCCTCGCAGCCAGCATCCTATTCCTCGCGAGTACAGTCTCCGAACATTTTTTTCCTCATCTTCTCGAAAAAAAAATTATAAGAATCTTCTCAGCTAATGAATCCCCGGCGTCTAGGCAACCGACAACTGTTATTGCGTTGGATCAGGATCTCTCCCAGCTACATCTGGACGTACTTGCTGCAAGCAAGCTCGGGAACCTGCGAACTTTGACAGTTCAACCGGCAACTGCGTCTTCCCCAATGGAGGAAATTTTCAACTTCGCCAAAGTCGATTCAGCGGCTGCTGCTCGAGCCTTGGGAATAACAGCAGTGTCTGCTTCCAGAGGTACAGATGGGCAAGGGTGGTAGAGAATGAAGGCATCTGCGCTTCCGTTTTTTCCCTCGTCTTCGATTCAGCGATTCACATATGCATTAGGGGACGGAGGAGCGATTGACGCTTATTAGACTAGAGGATGCTACAAACTTTGGATATACACCGTTCATCAGATTTGAACATGCTGCTCCAATTCATACTCTTATTCTCAACATTTCCATCCCTCCTATCGCACGGGTGGATACTACTTACCAAGCTCAAATTAGTATACTTTTTCTTTTCGTTCTGGATTAGTGTGAGGTGAGTCTAGTTTACAAGATTACCATAGATTGGAGCTGCTTCTATTCTATACTATGGTTACTGGCAAGAGTTTTATATTGTAGAGATGCTAAAATCACAATTAGGCGCTTCTTCGGATAACTCTATCTCAGAGGTGTGATATGAGTAACTAATAGAGCTATGCTTACTTGAGGCTCCAGCTCGACTGTAGCCCTACCTGTTTGCCAGCCTGTGTGTCGTAGCGGTAAATTTTAGCGGCTCAAAGCCATTAGCAGGATACTAAACTCCAGCGCCAATTACATCGCGGTAGTAGGTCATACTCGATAATGACTTTATATGCCCAATCCGGTGCTAATCATCTATATAGGTGCTACAAATCTCACTTCTCGTCTGGCTCCGGAACTCGAGAAGATAGAGAGCAAGAATTCGGTTGAACCTTTACTAATATGAGTCTAAATTAATCCATTGCGGCCCTTTTATGATCCGCCATGGCCCTTGATATGGTCAATCATTTTCATAGTATCGCATATAAAAATGTAGCTAGTGAAGAAGCTTGGAACAGATCGCTTTATCTCCAAAAAGTGCTTGGTTGAGTACTTATCGATGCTGATGTCCACCTGGCTTTCGTGTCGCTCATAGCAACGAAGACTGCGGTTTTGATTGTGGACTCACTTCCAGTTTACGTAATCAGCCCTACTTACTGACTCGCGGCAAGTGTTCCAGTTGTCTGCCGTCATGACTCAAGCACCATGATTGAGTTGCCCCTCTGTACCTTACCCAACCTCCTGAGTACCTTCATGCCTTACTATCCTGTACTGGTTCGACACTCTCAGCAACATGCAATGATGATTCCGACTCTTGACGCGGCTTGTAGCGGTCGGCGCTCGGCGTACCCTGCTATCGGAGCAACAGGATGATCCCGTAGATAGCCTAAGTTGGTATTCCGACCAACGATCCACTACCCCTCCGCCACGCCGCCACGAAGTCTCAAGGCGTCGGTACAACAAACATATTCCGAGCCCTTGGGATAAGACTCGTCACCACATGGGGCTATCTTCCAAGAGTGAAGGAAAGAAACACACATATAAGAACTCAATTCAATCCACTTCGAGTCCACAATTTTCCAATCTTATCCACATACATCCATCTACATTCGCATCATGAGACAGGAACGCGCTACCCTTCCGACGCCCACGTCGTCCAACTCCTTCTGGCATAGCGAGCCAAACGAGTATCTTATCGGCCATCGTACAACGGAAAACTTGCCCGCCGAGGCTGACATTGTCATTGTGGGGTCTGGTATTACGGGTGCAAGTGCGGCCAGATACCTTGCTGAGGATGAAAGGGCCAATGGCAAGAGCATCGTAATGCTCGAGGCGAGAGAGGCGTGCTGGGGTGCTACTGGCAGGGTAAGTCTTTAGGGTGATTGCATACGCATGTGCACGGCATTCGGAACACGCCTGGCCTGGGATTATCTGATGCGGAATTGCAGGATCTATGCTGACAAATAGTTGTAGAACGGTGGACACTGTCAACCCCTCCTGTTCGACAGATCTAGCGATGTGGCCAGATTCGAACTGAAGAATGTCGCTACAGTACGATCCTACGTACAAGATAACAGTGTGCCATGTGAATGGCGGGACGTGGCCGGCTGTCGAACTTTTTGGAACCAGGCAGCGCTAAAGGAGGTTGAGAATGAACTTCGACATCTTCGCAACGTTGCCCCCGAGATAGCGGCAAAGGTAACAGTGATCAAGGACAAAGAGGAACTCAAGAAGCATCGCGTCGCGCCTGACTGCCTGGCGGCGACATTGAGTGAAGGAGCAGCGAGTTTGTGGCCATACAAGCTGGTCACATTCATTCTACAGAAGCTTGTGCAAGACGGCCGAGTAAATCTTCAGACCAAGACCCCCGTTGCAAAAATTACGACTTCCGAGGGTAAACATACACTACACACACCTCGCGGTACCATCAGCAGCAAGACAGTCATTCTGGCAACGAATGGCTACACCTCTGCTCTCCTGCCCCACTTTGCGGATCTCATCGTCCCATGTCGCGGTGAGATGTCCGCCCTATTCCCACCAGAGGGCTCGACACTCCTTCCAAACTCATACGGTATGGTTGCTGCGCTTGGTCAGCCTGCTCACAACGACGACTACCTTATACAGAGACCATTCGAGGGTGTGCCAAACCCTGCAGGCCACCTCATGTTTGGTGGCGGCCGCGGAGCTGGAAACTACCCAAGTCTAGGCATCTCGGACGACAGCATTATTGACGAGGGATCTGCCGCCTATCTCCGGGGGGCTCTGCTCAAGGTACTCGAACTTGATGGCAAGACTGAAGGTCTCAAAGAACTGAAGGCTGCTGCTCAATGGACTGGTATCATGGGCTACTCCCGTGACAATCACCCATGGGTTGGGAAGGTCCCGGACAGAGACGGCTTGTGGCTTTGCGGTGGATACACCGGCCATGGCATGCCAAATGGTACACTGTGTGGAAAAGCAATTGTGGACATGGTACTTGCAGAGATTGGCGGACAAGACGTTAGCGCAGTGCAGGCGCAGATGGTACAACAAGGCGATATTCCAAAGAGCTACATTCTTACCAAGGAGAGGATCGATAAGGCCAGGCGGATGCTGACCGTACATCAGCAGGAAGAACATGGTGTGTATATGAATGGTGTCGTGTAGTTGGTAGCAGCTGTGAGAATGTTGCATGCTCAATCTTTTTGTAATATGACGCCTTTATGTCCTAAGCTAGTGAACATCTCTCATGCCGTGGTCGTGGTCAGTAACACCTCTATTGGCTTCTTCTACTCGATTTCAGCTGTTAGAATAAATCCGCGGGCGGAAACTAGCTCTAATGCGCTCCCCCACGGGGTACCAAGCCTCATCGCTTACTAATAGTAGTGTCTACAAAAAGTACTTAGTCACATGCATGATACCACAAAGTATCAACATTGATCTCTTTTCCCCCAATCTCCATACTTCGACCTTTCCATCCATTTTTTTTAAAAAAAATAGGAACAGAACAGGAAAGGAACTAAACACCCATACCTCGAATTGCCAGCCCCAAAAATGTCCACCACCCCCCTTCCCTCCAAATTCGGTCTCATCCTCTTTCCTGGCTTCCAACTCCTCGACGTCGCAGGCCCTCTCGATGCCTTCAACATTCTCGGCTACACCCATAACATTTCCCTCAGCATCCTCGCCGCAACCCTCGATCCAGTCTCCACCCACAACACCATGCACGTCCAGCAAGGCTCGCAAATATCCCAGTCACTCGTGCCAACCCACACGTTTGACTCCGCACCCGAAGATCTCGATGTCCTGCTTATCCCTGGTGGAATGGGGTCGCGGGGCGAGGGCAGCGAGGAGCGCATGGGGCCTCTTATTGAGTATCTAAAGAAGCTGGATCTGAGTGGGCAGGGTAAGTTGAAGTGGGTGCTTACGGTTTGTACCGGTAGTGAGATTTTGGCGAGGACTGGGGCGTTGGATGGACGGAGGGCTACGTCGAATAAACGGGCTTTTAATAATGTGCGTCATCTCGCCTCCTTCCTTTTCCCTTCCCAATTCCTTTTGCATTCGTTTCTGGGTCGACGAGTAGACAATTGATGTGGAGACATAGGTCAAGGCTCTGCATCCTAATGTGGATTGGGTGGCTAAAGCGCGGTGGGTGGTTGATGGTAATATATGGACTAGCTCTGGTATCTCGGCTGGCACGGATTTGGCGTTTGCGTGGATTGCGGAGGTTTTTGGGGAGGACGTGGCACAGACGATTGCGGATCGGAGTGAGTATGAGAGGAATCGGGACCCCGGGAATGATCGGTATGCGGAGCTTTGGAAAGCGGTTTGAGTGGAGAGGGGATGGATGTATGGGAAATGATTAATGTTATGCTTGTATGCGATATCAACTCTACTCTACTTCTGTTTACTATCTTGGCCTATGTACAATATGTATATACGGTGTTGATATACTACTTCTTATTTTAAGTGATCGCTTTGCTAGTTTTGTATTGCACGTGCAGCTCACATACTGAGATATAAAAATTGCTATATACTCTCGGGTTAAATCTGACTTATTTGTCATGCAGCCATTCCTCCTTTCCACTGATACATCGAAGGAGTGTCACACTCATCATCCAACATTGCTGGACCTGCATCAACTGAAAGCATTTGCCCATTTCTATCAACATCAGCCATAGTGATGCACCATGCCCTTTCAACAGATACGTCGGATGGTTTCTCTGTGGCTACTGCTTCACTTCTTGTCACATGGAAATCCATAGAAGGTCGGTGGTGAGCTACACTCTCCATTTGTTGCGGCAGGCCCACCTGCGACGATGACCGGATGGCCGTTCCGATCAACATCGGCGACTGTGATACACCAGTTTTCCTTCACGAACGAAGTGGCTAGGTGAGGTGTCGTAGGGTCAGCACGGTTCGTAGTCATCTTTGTGGCGCTAAGAGTAGCGTGACTACTAGAGCTGGTGGTGGATCGGCTTGGCAATACTTAAGGTTTGTTAGTGGCAAGATGCGTTTCATGACTTGAATCACGATGTACCTGGCATACTAGTAGTTGTGAAGTATGAAAGGGAGCAGTCTGAAGTTGTGTTGCTTGTGAAAGGAGGCAGAAGGGTTATGAACTGTGTAATTGTTTTGGTTCCAGCAATACTTGAGAGTGACGTGTTGCTCCAAATCTTTGGTGCGGGAGGTATGGGCTGTGAGGTTATTATCGTAGTTTTGAACACAGTCATGTATGTTATGCTCGGACCGACCTTGGATAGAGTAGCTTCTGAAATGCCGAGACTTGGCTGTATCTTAGATGATGATAACGTAGTTGAGGGAACAGGCACCTTAAAGCCACTTAGCCTGTTTGATCCTAACAAAGAAGACTGCAGTGTAAATTGCGAATTTGCTGAAAGGGCAGCTGGAAGACTTGGCTTTGGGGCTCCGCAGCTGAGATCCTCGATGCGAGGCTTGTGCGAAAGCGTATCGATCAGGCCCCAGTCGGCTTTCTGGTCAGGCGTAGAGTCTTTCAGTAGCTCATACCAAAAGGTCGTGTACTTGCTAAAAACGACGCATCCAACTTCGGTCCAGAACTTCTCTAGTTCGTCAATTCCTGCAACTGCTGCACCATGTTGCTCTGTATCGGTTGATGGCCAGCCCATTTCTGCGATCCATACTGGCCTGTTGCCTGCCTGCTGCTTGACGTCTTCCAGAGAACATTGAAAGCTGTCACTTGCTGTATCGATGCTGTCTTTACTCCAGTATGGGTAAAGTCAGCATTATCTACGACGGAGTATTTGGCAGTATCTACATGCCCGATGGGCTTGTTTTCCATGTATTCGACAAATGATGACGCAGCAATACTCTCCTTGACTTTGGCAATGGTCTGCCCAACAACCTCTGTTGTGAGGCCTAGCTCACCAGCTTCGTCGGCGCGATAGATGTCCTCGCTTCCTATGGAGAGTCCAATGATGAGGTCTGAAAGTGCTTGGCCATGCTTTTTGAACCCTTTCTCGAGTGCTGCCATTTCATTCTTGACGTTTTTGTCAGGCGAGTCTCCGCTTCGTGATGGTGTTATCCAGAAGCCCAACAAGAGGGTAGTATTTGATTCCACGGCAGCGTCAAATGCTTCTGTTGGTTCGTCTACTGTTCCAGCAGTTTTGCAAGTGAACAGCCGCGCACTGTCAAATGGTATGTCGGTTGTTAGGTTTTTGGCCAAGTCGAAGCCGTCGAAAAAGTCGGCCTTCTTTTTCACATTAGTTTCTACGCCCCAAAATGCGCCATAGTTGAAGCCCGTGTATATGTTGCTTGCAGCCTGTGTGAGGCTTGTAGAAGAATGAGATGGTTGATCAATAAGCGCTTCATCTGGCCGATTAGTTGCCAAGAATTGATAAAAAAAGAAAACAGTGTGTATCAACGAGACCTAGAAGAATCATGGTAATATAAGCAATGTATATTCGACTCGATCAGAGTGAATTGGTGCATCATTGACGGAGGCACTGTCACGAGCTGTAAACTGGCGATGAATAGCCATAATTGAAATGGCTGTCCTCTGACGACGCATCATTCACAGGAGACAGAACGTGACACGCGTCGGTTCGCCTTCGTTGGCGAAAATAATTGTACAAGCCAAATGCAGCCAGATGATGAAATAGTAGCTCTTGACGATGATGATGGATGACCGACGATCAAAGCGCGATGCATCATCACGTTGCCCCTCATTGGCTGCCCGCCCGCACGGAGAGACGTCCGACTCCGCGTCCTCCGAGCTCGCATCGATAAATTGATGCCGCGACACTCTGGGGAAGTGAACCGCCAGCCTCAATGTCTCTCGCACGCTTTGGAGGTCTTCTCGCGCGCGCGAGGTGCTCACCGCGGCCGCAATGGCACGCAGCGTATGTTTTTCATAACAATTGACATTGCTACACTGATACTGACGGGTCCCAGACGTGCCTTCTCCAGCTCTGCACTCCGCACCGCCAAAGCCGACAATGAGCTCAATTCAGTCAGCAAGCACATTACCCAGCCCAAGTCGCAGGGTGCCTCGCAGGCCATGTTGTACGCCACGGGCATGAGCGAGGAGGACATGAACAAGGCCCAGGTCGGCATCTCGTCTGTGTGGTACTCGGGCAATCCCTGCAACATGCACTTGATGGACCTGAACAACAAGGTCAAGGAGGGTGTAGAGCGTGCTGGGCTGTTGGGCATGCAATTTAACACCATTGGAGTCAGTGACGGCATTTCCATGGGTACAAAAGGCATGCGCTACTCGCTGCAGTCGCGTGAGATTATTGCAGACTCCATCGAGACGGTCATGGGCGGTCAGTGGTACGATGCAAACATCTCCATTCCCGGCTGCGACAAGAACATGCCTGGTGTCATCATGGCCATGGGTCGTGTCAACAGGCCTTCGCTCATGGTCTACGGCGGAACTATCCAGCCCGGTTGCGCAAAGACACTCGAAAACCAGCAGATTGACATCGTCTCCGCTTTCCAGGCCTACGGGCAATTCATCACCGGCGAGATCACCGAGGACCAGCGCTTTGATATCATCAGACATGCATGTAACGGACAGGGTGCGTGCGGAGGCATGTACACGGCAAACACAATGGCTACCGCGATTGAGACCATGGGCATGTCGCTGCCCGGCTCCTCGTCCAACCCCGCCAACTCCAAGGCTAAGATGCTCGAGTGTCTAGCGGCAGGAGGCGCCATCAAGAACCTTCTTAAGGAAGACATCCGACCGAGCGACATCATCACCCGCCAGGCGCTGGAGAACGCCATGGTTGTCATCAGCATCACTGGTGGCTCGACCAACGCTGTTCTCCACTTGATTGCCATTGCCGACTCGGTTGGCCTCAAGCTCACCATTGACGATTTCCAGAGCGTCAGCGACCACATTCCATTGTTGGCCGACTTGAAGCCTTCTGGTAAGTACGTCATGGCCGACATTCACGATATTGGTGGCACGCCGGCACTTCTCAAGTTTTTGTTGAAAGAGGGCCTTCTTGACGGTAACCAGATGACGGTCACTGGCAAGAAGTTGAAAGAGAACCTCGAGACTGTCAAGGACTTCCCTGCTGAGCAGAAGATCATCAGACCACTTAGCGAGCCCTTGAAATCTACTGGTCACTTGCAGATTCTGAGGGGAACCCTTGCTCCTGGTGGTTGCGTAGGCAAAATCACTGGTAAGGAGGGCACCAAGTTCACTGGAAAGGCAAAGTGCTACGATGCCGAAGATGACTTCATCACCGCTCTTGAGCGCGGAGAGATCAAAAAGGGCGAGAAGACTGTTGTGGTGATCCGATATGAAGGACCCAAGGGCGGCCCTGGTATGCCGGAGATGTTGAAACCCAGCTCTGCCATCATGGGTGCTGGACTTGGAAAGGATGTCGCACTCATCACAGATGGTCGCTTCAGCGGTGGTAGTCACGGCTTCTTGATTGGCCACATTGTGCCCGAGGCGCAAGAGGGAGGTCCTATTGGCCTTGTACAGGATGGTGACGAAATTACCATTGATTCTGAATCGAATGAGCTGAACATTTCTGTCAGCGAAGAGGAGCTGGCGGAGAGGAGGAAGAAGTGGACCGCGCCTGCGCTCAAGTATCAGAAGGGTACGCTCTTCAAGTACGCGCGTTTTGTAAAGGATGCCAGTCAGGGCTGCGTGACTGACTCGGAATGAATGTAACGATATTACGCCATGTCTGTTTCCACTTTGTAATTATGTAGATCGCGCCATAGTGGGCTTGGAAAAGTTGGTTATGGATTTTGCTCCGGCTGTGTGTGCAACTATGAAGCATGAATTTAGATTTGTTCGTATTCGTAACAAGTAAAGTAATTTCTTCCTACCTTTTGCATCGTGGATAAGGATACGACAGCAGGGCTGCAATGGCAGGGCTGGAAACGGGTCGTCTAGATTAGGTGAGGACGTGAAGCAAAAAGGGGATGCAGCCCCAGAATTCATGCGCGTGGAAGTGGAGAAGGGGATTTTGCAGGGGCCGCGCAACGAGCAGCGGGTGGGCACTCTCTCATTTGCGCAGCGCAGCCTGAAGAGGCAGTGATGGATCCCTCGTTGTCTCATTCTGCTTGAACATGTGCCTAAAGAGAAAACCCAAGAATGCTACGTAGGACGCCAGTGCTTGCTATCAGCGCGTCCCGCTTCGCCAAACTTTCCGCTATCTTGCGCCACGTTGAGTCGCACCATGCTGTCAAGTTGCTCACCAAAACTCAGTTCCCACGTAGCGCTTCCATAGTGGTCTCAGTTGCAAAGTAGCGCAGTGGTAGTTTTCGAGGGCTGAGCAATATCGGCCGTTGTTTGACCAGCACAATAGCGACAAGTAAAGCAATGAATGGCCTATTCACGTGACAGGGCCAAGATGAGGCCAACATCAAAGACGAGGATTCAATAATACAGAGTTGTGTAGTGGCTTGTCTCACTAGCAATATTCTGTGCGGAAGAGAGTCTCCCGCCGGCAACTTCCTCAGCATGTCTCAGCGTGGTGCTCGTGTCGATGGCGGAAACAGTGGGGAGTGCGTTTTGGTGAAGGTCGCTGTTGATCGCATTCCCCACGTAGCTAGTATTCGGCCAAATCTCACTGCGTTGACCAAGTATCTCCCTTTTCCCCATCCCTTTTCCGTACATCTCTCTCCAAGTTGCAGCCAACGATAGCTGGACGGTAGATTGGCGACCAACACGCTAGTGACTCGCGGCTCTGCAGGAAAACGGCGATCAGATAGGGCCAGGCAGGGAAACTGGTATGATCTGGCTGGTGCAAAGAGGCTACTAGACAGGCGCTGCATGCTGCCGGAAGCGGATGATCGACACTTAGCGCAGGCACCGTAGTAGTGTACTACTTTTCCATATGCCACCCTAGATCTTCAGGGGGGACCGTCGTTCGCCCGCTCGGACAAGCAACAGAAAAAACACCACACTCCTGTTCTGTCTCTGCATGGGCACGTTATACCCCTACGCCTCAACCCTTGCACGGCTCTTCGACCCTCGCACAGTTGAAACACAATTGGGCCGACGTCATACTACGCTAACTTCATTCTTCAATACTCCCATGTTCGACTACCACTTGAGCGCAATCGCCCACCAGTCTGACAACATGTAGCGGCAACTAAACTATCTCAAACTATAATCAAGTGCCTTGGAAAGCTTGACGGCCGAAACTGACCGTAAGCTCCCGCCATGTAGTCGTGCTGGACAAGGAAGTCTTGCTTGCTCTCTGCACGACTCATGACTTCTGTACCCCACAGCCAGTGTGGCTCCCTCGCCCACTAAGCCCAACTAACCTCCCCAGCGTCATGCACCACTGCTTTTGATTGGGCCATTCTAAAGGCGGGTGTCTGGTAATGAAGATCGTCGCAGCTTTCTGTCTAGACTAGACATGTAGCAGCGTGCTGCCAGTTTCGTCTACCATCACCAAGTCAAATCAAACTAGGCTCTGATCTACCACGCTGGACAGGGACAGCAACGCGCTCACGGGCACGGTGAGAAGATGATCGACGAGCCTCTGAATCGGAACAGACGTCTTCGAGGAAACTGTCAAAGCATATAAATCACACACCCCAGCCTGTGCAACCAAGATCATCATCCAACGCATCACAGTCGCTCTCTCTTCCCATCACTGTCACTCATTCGTTTTACTATTATATACAACTTAATTCTTTAATACATCCGACCCACAGTCAACATGCGTTCCTACGTCGCCGTTTCCATCTTCGCGTTCTCCGCATCCGTCCTCTCGGCCCCTACTCCTCAGCTTGGCCTCAACAACGTAGTCGGCTCCGTCACTGGCACCGCCACCGGCACTGTTGGATCCCTAACCGGCACCGTCGGCAAGACTGTTGACCCCGTCACCGGTGTTGTCTCTGACGATGTCAACCTCGAAGGCGTCACTGGCCTTTTGAAGGAGAAGCGCCAGCTCGAGGTTGTCAACGGCCTCACCAGGCCCGTTACCGACCTCACCAAGCCCGTTACCGACATCGTTGGCGATGCCACAAAGATCAGGGTTCTTGGAAACGCCAGGCGCCAGCTCAACATCGCCCCTGTTGCTGGTCTCACCAAGACTGTTGACGGTGTCACCAACAGCGTCAACCTGAGCGGTGCCGTCAAGGGCGTCAACACCGATATCAACAGCAAGCGTCAGCTCAATGTCGCCCCTGTTGCTGGTCTCACCAAGACTGTTGATGGTGTTACCAACAGCATCAACCTGAGCGGTGCTGTCAAGGGCGTCAACACTGATGTCAACAGCAAGCGCCAGCTCAACATCGCCCCTGTTGCTGGTCTCACCGAGACTGTTGACCGCGTCACCGACAGCATCAACTTGAGCGGTGCCGTCAAGGGCGTTAACGCCGATGTCAACAGCAAGCGCCAGCTCAACATCGCCCCTGTTGCTGGTCTCACCAAGACTGTTGATGGTGTTACCAACAGCATCAACTTGAGCGGTGCCGTCAAGGGCGTCAACGCCGATGTCAACAGCAAGCGTCAGCTCCTTAACCTCGACACCACCACCGAGTCCGTCGACAGCCTCACCGGCCTCAACTCGAACGAGCTCACCGCTGATGTCACCCACGGCCAAGTCGTCGACACTGGCAACCTCCTTAACCTCGACCTCAACGTCAAGCGTGGCGTCCCCGTCGTCCAGGACCTGCCCCTCGGCGGCGGTGTCTCTGGCATCCTCGACAACACCCCCGTTGTCGGCGGCCTGACCAACACCGTCAACAGCCTTACCGGCGACCTCGACCCCGTTACCGGACTTGTCTACGAGACCGCCAAGCCCGTCACTGACGCTACTGAGGTCCTTGACGTTCGTGCCCCTCTCCTTGAGGAGGTCGAGGTCAAGAGCACTGTTGGTGATGTCAATGTTCCCGCCCTTAAGGACCTTCCCGTTGTCAACGATATCTAAAGGGTCACTTGTACCTTTTTTTTTCCACAGCGTATCTCTAACGAGTGGTTGCTTTGTAACTTGTAACTCATAGCCTCCACTACACATACACATAAACAAGTGTGAAAAAGCGTGGCGCGACAGAGGAAGAAGTTGGCCGAAGACCAGGCGGGATGAAGAAGGAACGCGATAGCGGGTGGATGTAGTCAAGTAGTCTTTTTTTCATGGAAACAATCGATACCTCTTTTTCTTACTGAAACATGCAATTCTCCATCTTCCTGAGGCTTTCGCTCCCTTGTGACTCCATCAATCCATCACTTGACACCATGTCAACAATTGTTGCCATCAACAGCACAACATGGCGCAATCCTTCCACTACTGAAAAAAAAAGCCTTACCCAGAAAACACACCGAACCCCGATATTTATTCCCGTGCCCCCCTTCCGTTGTAAGCAAACGCCTCCACCCCCAAACTCTCATCACCTCAAACACGGGGGCTCCCTTTTGAACATATAAACTCGCCGACTTGTAAGTACTATATCGAAAAAACCGATCTTTTCCCCCTTTTTTTTTCCAAAGCTCTCCCGCCCGTTTCAGTGCTATGGCAAAACGAAATAGGACCGAACAAAAGGAAAACAGGAAGAGAGTGGACATGGGGCCTTGTTTAGGGCTTACTCTTGCTTTGTCTCAGTGGAGAACCTGGGCTTCTGACGCATTGCTGCCGTAACGGTATGGAAAAAGAGAAACAATAGGGAAACAAGTCATGTTGATCCAACGGGCGGACCACGGGGAGATGTCGTATCCATGCATGTCAGTCAATGTTTTCGATAGCCATGTTTTTCTGAGGCAAAGGGGAATGGCGGGTTGCCGTCTGTCGATTGAATTACTTTTTTTTGGAATAAAAAATAGTAGATACATTAAAGCTGGGTGAGTAGATGTATACGCGATAATCATTTACTCTTCATTAACGTACGTCATACACCGGAATTCATATCACGTTACCAATATTCCAAAGAAAAGAATATCTAGTGTCCTCCAGTCGTAGGCAGCTGCACCGTGTTAGCAAATTTATGCACATTCATCTGGACGGGTCACCCAAAAACTTACACCGAGATAGACTTTGAAAGAGTCGTAAATGAGCCATTGGAAGGCAGTCAGAGTACCAATCATGAAGATGCGGACAGGAAGTCCGTTCCACAAACCAGTAAAGCCAATCTTGCCGTATATTCTGCCGATCGCCTGGCCCGCTCCCTCACCAGGCTTGCGGTCGTTGTTGAGTTTCGACACCATGACATCTAATATGCGTCAGCGTTCTCTCTCGTTCTCTCTTGCAAAGTATAAAATCATAAAAAACATACCTGCGGGATGCGATACAACGGCACATCCGATACCCGCAATGTAACCTCCCAAAAACGAGACTCCAGTCTGCTGCAGCCCACCGTACGATTCCTTCGGCTTGCCCAAGAAGCGATAGATCTGGGTGACTGTCTCCTCGAACGTCGCAAACTTGACCATAGTGTACGGAATCTGGCGCGCCCACAGTGGGTATAGTCCCTTGTACAGGCCACCAACACCCTCCTCCTTGATGACTTTTGCCCATCCTTCCCTCAACGTATGCGCAAATGGGGGCAGGGTAGTCTGCATGCGGACTTTGATAGCCTCCATAGGGCAGAGCGCAATATCAGCAAGAAACTCTGCCGAAGCAGAGGCAGCAAGGAAAACAACCTGCTTTGGTGCACCAGGCGCAAGCTTATCACCGTAAAGGTACTTGAAGATTTCGTAGAAACCATACTTGCCAGCGCCTTGCATCGAGTAGCCAATGAAGGTGGGGGTCCAACCGAAGAAGACGCCGCGGAGACCTTCTTTGGAGTAGATCATTTTCCAGGCTTGTGTGTTGGACTTGTAGAGGGAAGAATCGACTTGGCGCCGGCATTTCACCTAGACACGGAAAGCATCAGCATACGAGTTCTGGGATAGTAATAATTCACTACTCACCAGATCAAGAGGGGTAACCATGGTGTGCGTAGGGCCGCACGCGATAATCCCACCCAATGTACATGCCGCAAAGTAGGACCCGGAAAACAGTTCAATCTTCCTTTGCGGCTTCATCGCATCTAGTTTGTTCGCCATGGTGTCTGCCGTGCTTGCAAAAACTTTTCTTTTTGTTTCGGTGGGTTCTTAAATATCCAGCGTTTCTTCTCCAGCGCGGCTCTATCCGGCACGTAGTTGGCACTATCTCTTCGGCCGAGCGTTGGGGAGCGCCTTGCTTGGTGCTTGGTATAGTGTCACGTGCTTCTTTTTATTGCTAACGAAGACAAAGCTAGAAAATCAGTGGGCAACCGGGTCGGAATGAAGAATTGAAATTAGAAGAAGATCAGTGACCTGGATTGGTTCTCACAACACACAACTGCAAAGTCGAAGCTTTGTTATGACGAAGCTGCGAACTAGGTAGTAATGATGGTGGGAACCTTGTCCGGCCGCAAGTTCCGTTGCAATGACGTAGCTGTTGCGTGCGGGGACGCGCGACACCACGCTGACGAAGCTTGGCTAAGATGCTTATCTTCGCCCTGTCTCCATAAGCGTCCAACTGGGCTTGCATCACAGGTCCTGGGTTAGTATGATGAAATCGTGAGTAAGCTATACCCAGTAAACCTCATAGACATAGCAAGCACGACGAAGCGATGAAAACAAAAGCTTCTATGAAGCATTCGCGCGCAAGTAGGCACTATCTCTACTGTGACAAACATTATATACAATATAAGGCGCGCCTACACCGCGCGCTCTTTGCCTCTCGCAACTTCCTGTGGCTGTGTTGTGACAATGCATCATTTACAGCAGATAGAACATAACACGCGTTGGTTAGTCTTTGTAGGCAAACATGATTGTCCAGACATGAGGCCTCGATTGCTCCCGTGGCCTCAAAATAAAAGCCCCATCAGCAGGGGATCTTTACGGCCAGCCAAAATTTAGTAGCGAGTCTGGTGTGGAGGAGGTGACTCGTATTTCCATCACGATCATTGATTTATCGTTTCTATCAAGGTGGCATAGCGCGGGTGCTTAGGCGCGTTCGGATGGGTTGGAGGCTGAGTTGATTCGTAAACATGATAGAGATAACTACGACTACCTCGGTTCATAACTCTAGTTATTGTCACGGTAGGGAGATCGCTTACTTGCACGCGAATGCCTCATAGAAGCTTTTGTTTTTTATCGCTTTGTCTTGCTTGCGACGTCTGTTTGGATAGCCTGCCTACGATTTCATCATACTAATCCTAGACCTGTGGTGCGAACCTAGTTGGACGCTTATGGAGACAATGGCTCGGCTCCGTTACGCCACGCGGCCCAAAAAGCACAGTATATTGTATGGCAGTATCTGGAGCTGAATAGTATATACCTATGACATTAATCATATCTCCATCATGTTCATGAATCAGCCCAGCCCCAACCCATCCTAACGCGCCCAAGCACCCACGCTGTGCAGAAATCATCAATAATCATCATTCGACGCCAGCTACCTCCTCCACGTCCGACTCACTACCAAAATCCGACTGGTCGTAAAGATCCCCTGCTGACAGAAGATTGTCGTCTTGCGGCCACGAGTGCAATCGTGGCTCAATATCTGCTTGCCACGCATATATACGAGCACTGTCGTTTGCGTCCTCCCTGTACATGTCCAAGTTTGGATCTGGATCCTCACTGTGTACCAAATCAAAGACCTGTCGAAGGAGAAATTGACAGGACGAAATGAGCGGAGTCATATGAATCCTCAGCATACCAGCATCTTTCTCGAAAATAATACGCTGCATCATTTCGCCCAATAATTCACGAAGTGATCTCCATTTGAAAGCCACCATATCCGAAGGCCATTCGTGATCTTTGTAGAGCTCGCCCACCAGTAGTTCTGCGCTCTGTCGTACACTCTCTAGAGGATTGAGAAGTAAGGCAGGTGCCCATATACGACTTCTCGCCATGACCCAATAGAAGAAAACGTATGGGTGCCGTTGTTTGAAGAGCGCCTCGTTTTCAGCCTTCAGAAGACCGATGAAGAAGTCCAAGACAGCTATCCCATTCGGTAGGCGCTCTTCTTCGAGTCGATTCGCCGACGCGATTGCTTTGGACACAGTGGTGATCAGTCTGGTAACGTTCTCGGCTGTTGGAGACGTTTCACAGAAAGACAGCGCCGCTCGTACGTATGCGTCGCAAAAAGGCGGGTCAAGACCTACGCCGTCGTTGATCGTCTTGAAAAGATTCGACTGAGCATGTGGGTCCGTCCAGCCAATCATCGTTTTGACAATGTCCCCAGGATAGAAGTATTCCGCTTTGGTCAGGTCAAACATTTCCATGGCTTTATCGAGCACCGCTATCGCCTTGAGTTCTGGATCCCAATAGAATAGCATCTGTCGCTCTCGGTGGGTTAGTGGGAACTTAAGGTATTCTCGGTCAAGCGTAGCCCCACGGTTTTCGATCACCGTTGAAGGAACCAGTGGCAGGCTCGTGTCCATGTGTGAAAGGAGAGTCGAGAAAAACTGAACGAGCCGGTTGTAAATGCCCACCTTCTTGCTCAGAATCCTCCAAAACTCGGGGTAATCGTCTTGCAGGCGCCTATGCACATGGATGGAAAGCAGCTTGATGCAGAAATCCAAGAAACCGTAGTTCAAGAACACAGTGATCTCGGCATGGCCAATCTCTACAACTTGAGTCAAGGTCAAGTAGAAATCATCCCATCCTCGGATGCTTTGATAGCTATCGTCTGCAGTCTGACGTAGTCTTTGGATGATGTCTACGAGTAACCCGTCCTTTGTAGTGATAGCTGAAAAATCAGAATCCATGTCGTTCTCAATTACTTCGAAACCGTACAAAGTCGGTTCTTTCTCACGGGATACCTTGAGACAATCTATCAAGAAGCTGCGTATCTGAGAGCGAACCTTGGCGTGTGGGCAACGGACGAGCAGGTTGAATAGCGCACTCTCATCTATAGCGAAGTGCTTGAGAAAGATATTGCAACACATCGCGCATGGTAGGACTGAGCGTCGAAGCTGAAGCAGTGTTTCCGTGAAGAGATCAGAAGTAGTGTGACGCCACGCTATGTGAGCAAGATGTGTAAGAACGATTTGCAACGACTGTTTCTCCTACAAGGTATTAGTTTGACTGCTTGTCCATTACAGATAAATACTTACATGCGCATGGTCTTCGGAGCAAGAACCATGATTGATTGTGCGTGACATGGCATGAAGTTGTCGCAAAAACTTTGTATGGTTTGAATCGAACTGGCAATACTCTTGGACGATGAGTGCGTTGTTAACGTCGACTTCCTCTTTGAGAGCTTGTGGTGCTGGGACTTTTAAAGTTCGTTCATTCGTTGAGGTGACCCATTTACGCTGGTCCTTTTCAATCGCGGTCCGGCGTTGATAAAACAGCATGTACGCCGAGTACTGTTTGGGCATACGGCTATAAGTGTCGTCGGTCATGCCTCCAAAAGTCCGGTACGCAATGTCTGCCGGATCGAAAGGTACCACATTACTGTCATCAAACTCGACCCAAGTGGGAGCTGCGCTTCCAGCCGGACTGGGCCGCTCACGAATGTAAGAATAGTAGTGGCCGTGCTCGCAAGTGCCGGTGTGTACAAGTACGCCTACTAGGTCAAAAATATCTTCATCATGTGCCTTTGTTGGATTGCTGAGAGAGTCGATATGGTAAGCATTGATGTCAATGCATGGTGGAAATTCGAAGTGGTCGTGAACCTTTCGCCGGCTAAAGTCGGCCAAGTCAAACTCGAAGCGCTTGAGATGGAAAATGAGGTTGTCCGGCACCTCCTTGAAGCAAGTTCTATACTCGTTAGCTTTTCTTAACAACAGTAGGGCATTGAACCTGCCTTTTTACTGCATCGACGTATCTGTCGCATGATTCGCACTTGTACTTGTTGTCGCCTTCCATAACGTCTCCGCTAACAAAGGCCTGGAGACTCTCCTGTAGTGTGGACTTGCCGACCACATCGCATTGAACCGCGAAAAAAGGTTCTGATCGTTCAGAAACATGTTCGCATTCCTTCGACTTGATCTGATTGAGGGTTTGTCCTCCGTAGAAGGAGCGGAATTCCTGCTTGTTTTCTTCCTTTATGAGCTGACGTTCCCATTGATCAAAGAGAGAGTTGTAGAACTCGTCGGCATCCATCTGGACGCTAATATCAATTGGCAAAAGGTCTGAGTTCTTGACGCAGGCTGCGAAGCTCCGCGGATCAGCTGATCGCCGGAAAGAGTGCTGCATGTTTGTGAAGAGCCTCTGTGTTTCGAGGAGAAGCTTTTGGGAGCCATTGCTCTCTTGGAGCTCTAGTCCAAGCATGAACTTGCGAAAGTTCAGGTTCATAAAGAGCTGAGTGAGAAGCGAATTCGCGTAGCAAATTGCACGGGGGTTGTATAGACCTACATAACCCGTGCTGGAGCGTACTTCCATGGAACGATCAACGGACAGTGTCGCTAGTGCCGTCTCGCACTCCTCGAGCTCTACTTCTCCTACAAGGCGAAGGAGATCGTTGTAAGTGCTACTGTCATCGACTAGGGCCAACATCAAGTCGTAAATCTCGCGCCTCGAATGTGATTGTAGTATAGGAACGTTAACACTGCTGGCTCCAATAGCCGGTAAACTATTCCTCATCAGTACGTCTTCATACTTGGAGCGTGTCGATGGTGCAACGTACCTTTTTGTGAAGATGTACTTCTTGAAGATCTGCTCCATTACGTTCCCAGCGTTGACCGGTTGTTTGAAGGATTTCAGTGACAATATGCAGCAGAGCAGCAACTTCGTAAGACCAAACACAACGTAGTCAGTATCTTCACGACCCACAACCTCTTTATGTTCGTAGACTAGTAGCAAATCGCTCCACTGAGCTAGCCATGCGCGGAGTAAGTTCTCGTCACGTTTGTATTCGTCCTGGGCGCGGAAGACATGGTCGGCAATGCCAAACAGTTGTTGGGATTGTGCAGAGTGGCCAACGGAATGTGGAATAATGGCGGATATAGCGGTCCAAAATTGAATAGCGACTTCGCCCTTGGTCAGCGGACAAGTGGAGGGAAGATCTCCTCCACATACGGACGCAATTTTCTTCGCGACGTGCTCTCGGACAAGTTGTCGGGTATCCTCTAGAAGCAGAATTCCATGCAAGCGCGGTGTCTCTGGATGTTCGACAAAAGCTTCCCATACAGCTCGAGAGTGTAGCGATGCCTCGATGATAGCCCCATAGCAGTCTTGAATCACGGTGGCATCTTCATTGGTTTCGAGCGCCATCGACAAGATGGATACAAGGCGATCTGCTAGCCGAGCTGGATCGGAAAAGTACCCGGCTGAGACATCAGGGAATGGTCGTTCTACTTTGTGTAAGTTTTTGACTGCAACAAAGGGGCTGTGAGCGGAGCAGTTACCTCTGAGGAAGTCCAATAGTACAGTTACGAGTACTGCCGCTAGCTGCAATTCTTGGATACTTGAGATGGTACCACCGATAAGTCTTTCATTGAGTAGCGCTTCGTTCAGGTGTTGTACGGCCTTGCTCAGGAACTTTTCATCCATGCTCGACTTCTAGCTTGTCAGTCTAATGTTTCATATCGGAAAGTCGATGCCCACTTACATTCCTAATCTGCTCACGCAGCTTAGCTTGGAGAGCCAGGGCTGCATATCTCGCCTGGAAAAACTTCCCTGGTGGGAAAAAGCCTTCAGAAGAGACAGTATCGGTCATGACGCTATCTGGTATGTTGTTGCGAGCCGGGAAGAAGCTGAGGTAGTCAAAAAGCTCATACAAGTCAGCAGGAGAAATACCAAAGCTCAGGGAAAACATACCAATTGGCTGATGGTATCATTAGAGTCCATCAATGAGAACAACTCGTCAAAGTATTTGGTCACAGTTGACTCGAACACTGAAGATCCGGCAACCGAACCCGACAATGGGCGAGTGATTTTTGCCTCGGGTGCTCTCTGAAGTAGAAGCTGACCTCCAAAGTCGACGTCACTGAGCTTTTCTTCTGCTTGGGCAGCTACATCAACTCGATGACCTTTTGCAAAAAGGTTGAGCTTGGTGTAGCCCGAGACATAACATAGCCTGCGGTAAAGATCATCCACAGTGTGATCTGGGCCCATTGATACTGCCTGCCGATCGCCATTAGCGCACTGGAATCGGATTGTGATAGCATCTCCGTAGGGTATGTCCATCTCGTCGATTTTGGAGTCCGCTCTCTTGGCGCGATTGAATTCTGGTTTCTGTCGTAGTCGCTCAAGCAGCAACTTTTGGAATAGAATGATTCTGCGACAACGCCCTTCCTTTTCGTGCCGTATCGCATCAGAGATGATCGGGATTGTGTCGTCAGAACATGACTCGCGTATGGTCTTGCATGCGTCCCGTATCTCATGCATACATTTTTCCACAAGGGCGACATGGGCAGCCTCTACATCTGCTAGTGTGACACCCTCGGCTTCGTTGATATGGACGTAGCGGCTAGCGAGAAGACGCGCAGCCCGATCTTCAACAGAGCCTTCGGGTGAGTAAAGGACCATGGACCACAGCAGATCAGCGCCAGGAATTTGCAACACTGCCTTGACTCCATCATCGGCCATCACAAGCTCTCGAACGCTAGGAAAGTTGTAGTTGGCGACAAATTCGAACGTTCCGGGGGTATAAAAGCATGGATCCATCTTCGATAGGTAGGAAGAGACGAGTTGCCTGCAGTACTCATTATTTGGGATAAGCTTGATCGTCTGGAATAGCTGTGCCCATGCCCAGTCTCTTGCGTTATTAGAAATTGCGTGCGAACCGACAGTGTGGTCCCAGAGAGTTGGGAAGAGCTCAGCAGGCATGGCAGACCCGGCGCGACATATCATAAGTGCAAGAAGCTCCAGTCTATACCGAAGAGCTAAAGGATGGTACACACTTGGTTCCGCATTCTTTTCCGTTTCAACCAACCACGGTATCTCCTCCAAGATCTTGCGTGTTACGTCCTGATTTTGTTGAAAGAAGAAACCATCGCCTGTATGAAGTGATGATGCAAGTGTGTAGATAACCTTTACACTGCCAGTCGCCTTTTCAGAGTGATTGCTAATGTGATCTGCACACTCACGATAAATGGCAAGTCGCTCATCGAGGGGAACATGAGGAGCTAAACCGTGGAGATGTTCGATGGCCTCGTTGTGTAGATCCAGTAGCTCTTTGTCCGTCTCTTTCTGGGATGCTGTATCGCAGATGACGCGAACGCAAACGTTCCAAGGCTTTGCCCTTCGGTCCCTCGTGGCATAGTCCTCGACAGTTGCCCTTTCCACAACTTTGACGCTCAACTCATGGAGGAACCGCAACATGTTAATGGTGTAACGGCTAATGGGGAGTTCGTAGAGCTGTATGCAGAGGTATAGATGATCCGTGACCTTCATTAGGTGTAAGATGGCTCGCATCATGGTTAGTGTCGCTGAGACGACTCGTGGGTCAGGGTTCGTTGCAATCGTCTTCCAGATGGAGTCCGCTTGGCTATCTGTCCAGCGATGGTTCACCACAAGAAACCCGATAATATTACCACTCCGTTGAAGAATTTGTGGATGGGAGTCGACGCTGATAATGTATTCAACGACTTTTCCGTCGATAAGGAAGTCTGATAGGTAGTTCATGACTGGATGGTTAGGTACTGTGTCGTTATCGCTGTATTGCTTGAAAATTTCAACCAACCCCGAATCCATCATGCCGATGCTCATTACACGCAAGTCCATCTTGCCCTTCATGAGATACTTGCGAAGAATCTTGAATTTCCATGCATTGGCAACAAGAGCAGCTAAAGACCCAGGGTCTTGGCAATACTCGTCTTGCTGCTCTGTGCGAGCGTTGATCTCGGTAGGCAATGAGGTAGTCGGCGAATCCGGGTCTCTGAAGTCTAAAAATCTGGCAACTAGATCTGCTTCTATGTCTTTATCCCAGAGGCAAAGTTCGAGTAGTAAGGCGTGAAAATGTTGAACTAGGTCCCGTGCAATGCTGGCTTCGGCAGTTCTGTTCAAGTTGAACAAGTCGTCCATGTACTTTTCCAGAAATAGCAGAGTGGAGCGACTAAACTCGGTCCGGTCGTGCGCGTTGCTCGGGATAGCACTGCGGAAAATGGATGAGCCCAGTGCGACCAACACAGGCGAGGTGAAGACGGCAATGTGATTCTGCGTGCCTATGGGCACCTGAGGGATTGCATCATTGGCTAGCCGAAAGAGGTTCAGGGCTCCGTTGGCTGCCATAAAGTCCTGTTGTAATCGCAAGACCATCTTGCGAATGTCTACTGAATACTCTTTGCTGACCATATGGTATGCCGGAGCTTTATCGGATCGAAGAATAGTATGTAAATGTCGAAGGTGCTTTTGGCTGATCAAAGGCAAAGGATATATATCGTCGGGTCGTGTCTGGGAAATTAGGAGGGCATCTACGAGTAGGAGAAAAGAAGATGTTCTGATGTAAGCGCTCAAGAAGCTGTAAAACGCGTCGCCTACCCGGTGATCATGGTCATGGTCATGGCGTGTGAACGAAACCCTGCGAGAGAGGATTTTGTGCACCAAAAGACCAAAATCGTCCCAAAATGCTGCTTTGCTCACGTAAAAGCCTTGCATATCCACCGAGGGGTCGGGGAGGTTGACGAGCCATTGCGAAAGGCCCAGAAAGAAGTCGGCATCAATATCATTATCGACTGGTGATTGTTAGCACGAAGGGTCTACTAACGAGCGCCCACTAAACGTAGGCATGGCAAAGAAGACGCACTGTCCTGCACATGCTGAGCCAGATCACGGACTACACTAGTGTAGCTACCAACATGAGAGTAAGGAAACCGGCGGAAGTGGTCCTCGGGGTCTATGTGCACGGCAAGACCGACTGCCTCGTCGTCCTCGTCCTCGTCCTCGTCGACAACCATGACGGGAGGGCTGGCAGGCTCGTCTTTGTCGTCCTCGTCCTCGTCGTTGACAACCATGACGGGAGGGTTGGTAGCCTCGTCATCGGAGCTAGGGATGAGTATGGGCGAGTGGACCGGGGCAGGCGAAGGACTGGCAGCAACGTCACCTGTATGGCAGTGGTAGTCGTCTCCAGGGCGTACCGGGGAAGAAGGCGGGTGGGAGCGTATGGTCATCTCTACGTGGTTGTCCGGGGTATGGGCCTCTGTGGACATGGCACACAGAGTGTTGCTCCCGTGCAGGCGGGGGCGTTTGCGGGTGAAGCTCGCGTCGGCGTCTTCAATGGGATCACGGCGCGAGGCGGGGGCGATTGTTGCTGGCTCGTCGGCAGCGACAGCGACAGCGACAGCGACAGACTGCACTAGGTCATTGTCCTGCGCGGTCATGACGGTGAAAGAAGACAAGTGCGACTGAGGGCAGAGGAACTCGGCGTGGCCAGGCAGAGAGAGCAAGCAGGAGCTCCTCTGATGCAGGCAGCAGCAGTCTGGCCAGCCTTGCTAGCCCGAGTCCTCGCGCGCAGCCAAAGGAAATGCAGCGCGACTATGGTCATGGGCCGCAGCAGCAACCTTTGGGCGAGATGGGCAGTGGAATTGTGGATTCACAGCAGACAGAGGCAAAGGCGATATGTGTGTCTTGTCTAATTCGGCGGTCCCTCACGAAGATGCAATGCAGCTCAGCCAAACAGCCCCACCATCGTCATTGGCTCCCGCACTTGGCGTGAACCCACCACTAGCCGGAGACCAGGATAGCCCATGCCCGCCCAACATGGACAAATCCTCCTTCTTGTTCTAATGCAGGCACGCCCGCAAATCCACCAGGGCCCTTCACTCTGCTCGACCGACACCGACCCCGATTGCTGGTTGCCGTCGGACGCACTTCGGGCGCTTCAAGGCGTTACATTGTCCCTTGTTTTTGACTCTGTCACTGCCCACCTCTCCTTGGACGCGGCGGGAAAACAACAGGAAAAAATCATCATCCATCTCCAGTCATGGCGCCCACTGCAAAACAAAACACCAAGCCCGTCTTCAAAACGGCGTCACCTTTTACAGAGACTCAATGGTTCGGGCACCCCCACTGACTAACTGACTGACGGGCATTGCTGAGCGGCGCAGGCCAGAGCTATCGCACGACGATGAGCTGGTCGTCCTCGAAATGCTGTCCAAGTAGGTACGCAATGTGCTGCAGGAAAACCACTTGAGTGCCAACCTGCACAATTTTCCCCCCCTGCGCTGTCACTGACGAACCACCACCAGCCTCATCGCGCCGCTAGGCGACCACCGCAGAACCCACATGCACCCATCCAAAGGCAAGAAGCGAAAGCGCGCTACCACCAAACCGGATCAAGATGACTCCACCACCGAGACCCCACCGCCTCCACCACCCATAGGCAACCACCTACTCATTGGCCTCAACAGCGTCACCCGGCATCTCGAGGCCCTAGCAGCAAAGACGGCACCCTCGACGACACTCGTCGCTTCTGCCGACCAGCATGTCCCTGGCGACGACTTGCGACCTCTGAGTATGGTCATACTCACCCACCCAAAACCATCTCTCTCACCAGCTCATGCCCATCTCCCTACCTTGGTTCATCTAAGCACCCTCTCATCACCTTCTGCTACACCAGATGCCCCACTGACAGCAACTCGCCTAATTCCTCTGTCCACATCGGCAGAAGGCCGACTTGCTTCCAGCCTGCATATCCCCCGCGTTGGTGCCCTGGCTATCTATGCAGACGCACCTGGAGCCAGGATGCTGGAGGACTATGTTCGCGAGCACATTGGCGTGACAGAATGCAAGTGGGTCCCAGAGGCATTGAGTGCAGAATGGCGGGGGATGAAAGTGAGCCAGGAAGTACCACGTGTAAAGTAACAAAGAGACAGGATTGATCAATCATAGCACCAAAGAGATGGATTGAGTAGCCATGCAAACAAGTCGGTTTTAAGTTTGGTACATCGACATATACTTCTGATACCGCCGCAAGACAACGCCCTGCGATGCAAGTTGAATACAATCATAGAATCGACCAGAGCAGGCACTGCACTCAGCCCAAGAAGTCTTGAACGGCACCACCAACGTTTTCCAGGTCCAGCAAGAACGTGTCGTGACCAAACAAGCTCTTTTCCTCACCCAGCTCAATATGCCTCACATTCTTGTTACCTGCCCGCCTCAGCGTAGTCGCAATCTCCTTTTGTTGCCACGCAGGGAACAGAATGTCACTCGCAACACCCAGCACCAGGACTGGCGTATTCGCCAGCGGCTTGAGACCCGCCACTAGATCTGCCGGGGGCTCGTTGCCGTCCGTCTGCGTCAGTGACTCTGGCTCGACCGGCTGTTCCTTTTCTTCGTACGGCTCATCAGGCAATGTCAAGCTGCAGGCATCGCTATTGGCATTGCCGCCCATCCCCTGTCCATCCAGGTACGCTTGTATCTTTCCGCTGTTGGCCTTGCGCACTTCGTTGATGCGATTTCGGTGTTCTTGGCCAAGGTCAAAGAGGTCCATGGCTTTGGAGACGTAGAGCAGGCTGTTGGGGTCATATTCCAGACACCATTTTTCTCCCGCGTGGTCAAGATATGTCTCAATTAAAAAGTCTGGGCACAATGCTGGGGGCCGCGAAGGGTCGGCACGCCGACGGCCAAACCGCTGTTCCCATTCCGGCCCACTACGATAGGTAACTGTAGCGATTTCTCGAGCAAGTTTCATCCCGCCGTGTGGAGGAATGCCGTCATAGTAGAAACCTCGAGCCCAATTTGGGTCCATCATTAACACTACCGTAACATTAAATCGTATCCACAGGGCCACCAGATTCCATGCACTTACCTTGTCGTTGAGTATGCCTCATGGCGATGCTGTAAGGGTGGCTGCGGGCACACCCGCTGATGCTCACCACACGGCCCACCCGTTCGGGGAATAGAGTCCCAGCAGCCAGGCTCTGCATGCCACCCATGCTTGAACCCACACTTGCATACAGCTTTTGGATACCTAGATTATCCAGCAGTCGGAACTGCGCGCGCACCATGTCTTCCATGGTGAGAATCGGGAATCGTGTCGCGTAGCGCTCGCCATTGGCAGGATCAATGGACGAGGGACCAGTCGAGCCGTAGCAACCTCCAACTACATTGGTACATATGACAAAGTACTTGTCGGTATCTAGTGGCTTTCCTGGTCCAATGAATTTCTCCCACCATCCTGGCTTTGTGTTTGTCTCGGTGCTATGGGCATGACTGGATGCTGAAAGACCGGTATGAAGCAAGATGGCATTGCTCTTGCTCGAGTTCAGCTGGCCCCATGTCTCATATGCAATATTGAACTCGGGGAGTATACCGCCCCAATCTAGTAGTATCGGCTGTGTCGAGTGGAAGTTGAGCGTGTGACCGGATGTATACGAGGGCTCGGGGCCAGATGACGACCGTTTCCTTGAGAGTGATGCAGAACGCGACTCGTGTGCATCCAGACAGGGAAAAGAGAGAGCGGGGTTGGACGATTCGACTTCATGAGCAGACGAGGCATGCTGGGCTTTGCGCGGATACTGATTGTGGATCTTTCGCGTAGGTTGATTCGACTGGCGCCTCGCAAACCTGAGGGACGTATGAGTTGGTCTCGGTGCGAAACATTGTGGGGTAGACGACGCGAATGTCAATGGGCGCGCGCGAGTAAGCAGATTGCGGGGGACGCTCATGGTTGCTGTCTGCTACCCACAACGCTCGAAGGTCGAGCACAGAGGTAATGCGAGTGTGGAGGCGAAGTACTCAAGTTCCATGACGATGCTAAGCTCTGGATTACAAACAGCAACGCGCGAAAGTAATGGAAATGCGACCATGCCAGACCCAATGACGTCGCAAGAAGATGGCGTGCTTCCTCGAGCGACCCCCGTCGTGCCATGCCTCTTTGGGAACGCGATCGTGTCTTTGCGCGTGCCCTCGGTTTTTTGCCAAATAAAGAAGGGCAACTTACTACACAGTACTCTAGAGCGTCAGTGGCCATGAGTGTTTTTTGTCTTGTCAACCTGATCCTCGGTCGGACTTCGCTCTTTGAAACACGACGTATTCTCAAGTTAGCATCTTCCCTCAATCTCAAAAAAGGGTGTGCTCAACTGGTCCGTCACAGATGCTGATGATGCTTTTGCGGCACAAGGCTTAGGAAAAACAAGTTACCAAGTCCAGTCTACTCTATGAATTGCACATCTCAAGGTCGATCTGCTGAGCCTTGGTCTTTTGCAATGTCCGGCAAATGGACCTAGTTCAGGTACAAAAATACCTGGCAGGTGGGTCTACAATGGCCAGAACGTAAAATTGTAGGGAAGCACCCGGGCTCGGTTACCTCTTGAGCTCCGACGATGGATAGAGGCTCCATGGAGCCGCTCGCCTATGATAACCGTGCACCGTCCATGGGCGGACAGGGAACCATGCCAGGTGGGCAAAAGGAGGTGTCCGGCTGCCTCATGAGCATGATAAACAACAAGACATGAAGACAATGGAGACAATGGAGACAACGGATACACTGTGGGATCAGTGGACTCGAGGAGGAACCTCTTGCGGGTGCCCGGTACAGGCGGTAGCTCTAAGCGCCGTAGTGCCAATGGGTGGTGTTGCATCGTGTTTGGAGACGTGCAACATGGAAATAACAGGACAACGCAGCCATGGTGCACTTGGCAGGCAGGACAGCGCAGACAATGTCACGCTGCCCCTTGCAAAGGTCAAGCAGAGAATTAATATTGAGGGTTTGTTTTGCGTTCGTCGATCCGGGCTTGGGAACGGGGGCAAAGTGGCGTTCGCAAAGGACTTGAGAGTCCATGTGGTGCTTTTGAGACGCCGCATGATCCCCTGAGCGTTTGACGACATGCAGACACCAGGCTAATTTTGGGATACACAAGGCATGGCATCCAAGCGGGCAGGCAGCGTGCGGCGGAGGAGAATTAAGTGTGCAAACTAGGCTCCTTCGCCCCAAGTGCGCATGCAGGGATTGTGAGCAGAAGCTTGAAATGGGAATGGGCGAGGTCTGAGGTTTCCAGGGCTGAGCCAGTGATGTCTTGGCTGACCGCCGGCGTCACTCAGTCGCGCCTACCCACCCCAAACGTCTGCAAACCTTCTTCCCTTCTCGAACCCTCGTGTGCCCGGATCCCGTCGACTTTTTGAATCCCATATCCCCTCCGCTAATCCACTGCCCCGTGACATTCCCAATCCGCCGCCCACCCCTTCTACCCCGACTGCCGCACTACATAGGGAGCGTCAGACCACACCACCCCAGGTCTGCACTGCACTCACCTCCTCCGCCATGGACCCTGACTACTTCACGCCGGTGCGAGAAGACCAGGACGCTGCTGGCGCCTCCATCGAGGACTCGGACACAGACATGGCCGCCTCTGCCAGCGCAACAGCCTCATCCTCACGATCCGCCATGTACACCTCACCCAGCGTCCACGGGCGCAAAGGTCGCATGTCTCGCTCAGGAGCACCCAGGCCCATAATCACACCTACCAGTCCTCTTTCCTCGACTATTCCGCACAATCTGCTGCCCTCGGCGCCCGCCTCGCCGCCCACACCCGCGCCAAGTCCTACGCCAACGCAGCGGGTGCCGGACTGGAGTACCGCCGCTGAACACGAAGATGGCGACATCAAGAGCATACGGGCACAGTTTGGCGACATGAACCGGGCGGAGCGCATGCGGCTGCTCGGCGAGCTGCTCAACCTGTGCGACAGCCAAGAGTTGAGCTTCGTTGCCGAGTTTGTCAGTCCCAGACTGAAGAAGGATCCGTTCATGGTCCTGCCTACTGAACTCTGTTTGAGAGTGCGTTCTGATTCGTACTATTACCCTAGCATAGATGGCTAATCTCACTTAGATACTCGAATGTGTAGATGACCCTACCACTCTGGCTCGGGCATCGCAAGTATCCAAGAAATGGCGCGAGCTCGTCAATGACGACAGTGCTTGGCGGTTGCTCTGCCAAAAGTTCTCCTTCAGGGCGCTACCAAAACAGGACAAGATGGAAGAAGATGAGCCAAACGACCAAATGGAAGATGCAGAGTCAAAGCCGTGGTGGCACGATGATGAGCGCACGGCCAGACTGGATGATGTATCATCGGCACGCGACCACCTTGAGGTCGGACCCTCGAATAGTAGTCCAGAAGGACTGCGAACGCAAAGCCTCGACCGTGCAGCTAAGAGGAAACCATCCCAACGAAAGCAGCAGGCCACCACATATCGATCACATTTCAAGCAGCGATACATGGTGGAGACTGCATGGCGCAACGGCGGAGTGTGTGACGCGCGACAGATCACCCCAGACCAAGGTGTAGTGACCAGCTTACATTTGACTAACAAGTACATTGTCGTTGCGCTTGACAATGCCAAGATACACGTATTCGATACCGTTGGCGACCACCAAAAGACACTCCAAGGACACGTCATGGGCGTGTGGGCAATGGTGCCGTGGGGCGATCTCCTGGTCAGTGGAGGATGCGACCGCGATGTGCGCGTCTGGAATCTTGCAACTGGGTAAGATCTCTGCCTGTCTAACTAGTATCAGTCACTAACCCGTATACACAGCTTTCCTCAATTCACCCTCCGTGGTCACACGTCAACTGTGCGATGTCTGAAGATGTCCGATGCCAACACGGCCATTTCCGGATCCAGGGACACCACACTACGCATCTGGGACCTGAAGAAGGGACTGTGCAAGCACGTACTTATTGGCCACCAAGCCAGCGTCCGGTGTCTCGAGATACACGGTGACATTGTTGTGTCCGGAAGCTATGACACTACAGCTAAGATTTGGAGCATATCAGAGGGCAAGTGCCTGCGCACGTTGACCGGACATTTTAGCCAGATTTATGCCATTGCCTTTGACGGCACGAAGATTGCAACAGGAAGTCTGGACACCAGCGTCCGGATATGGGATCCCAATGATGGGTAAGTCCAGTTTTGTGTCACGATATGATTGGAGACTAATATTCCCGCGCAGTAAGTGTCTTGCTGTATTACAGGGCCACACCTCGCTTGTTGGACAGCTTCAAATGCGTGATGATATCCTTGTGACTGGTGGATCTGACGGATCGGTCCGTGTGTGGAGCCTTGCAACCTACCAGGCCATTCACCGATTAGCCGCGCACGACAACAGCGTTACGAGTCTGCAATTTGACAATACGAGAATTGTCAGCGGTGGTAGCGATGGCCGCGTCAAGGTCTGGGATCTCAAGACTGGCGTTCCTGTGAGAGAATTGAGCAGCCCTGCAGAGGCTGTCTGGAGAGTGGTATTTGAGGAAGAGAAGGCTGTCATCATGGCTAGTCGGGGCGGTCGAACCATCATGGAGGTGAGCTAGCTGGAAACATTGGATATGACTTTAAGATACTAATAAGGCTGACTAGGTATGGGACTTTTCGCCGCCCGCCGAAGAAGATTACGACTCGCGATCGTCTACCCCAGCAAGTATGCCTGATCACCTCGAAGTTGACTATAACCGCCCACGGTCTGCCATTCTCCCTGCAACCTCGCCATTGGTACAAGACACAAGCGCCGGCGACGTGACCATGGACGATGTAGCAGATCCGTAACCGGTATGGGAGAAACGGTGAAGCATCATCGGAGCAGTAAAAACACTTTAGCCCTAGACTACAACGTCACTCACGCCGCCGCCGCAACAGCAACAACAAACAAGGGGCATTTACGAGCGAAGCATCCGACTCTCATCGGAGAGACGTGCAAAGGGCTCAGAGCTGGGATTTGCATTTGCAGCGGCACTTGACTTGAGAGTCAAATTCGCCTTGGGCGGCAACACGCTCAGAATACCTGGGCACACAATTATATACCCCCCTCACATGTGGTGGTTATGATTACGATGACGAGCACACACACACACAAAGAGAGAGAAAATGGCGCCTGTTTGTTGTTCAACAAAAAAATGTACATGAGGCGGTCACCCCCCAAACCTCCATGTTTACACATAATCAACCAAAGTGTTGTTTTTCTGAAGTCCTTCTTATTTACTTTCTTACTATTTTTGACTTTTTATTTTGTTCAGATACCATGAAGGACACACAATAGGCGCGATCCCCCTCCGGATCGATTTTTGCCTTTGTCAAAATCTCTTAAATTTTTTTCTCATATATTTTGTTGGCTTTTTGCATCTGTAAGGGCGTTTTCTTTTGTTTGTTCATTTGTGTGGCAAATCAAACTAGGGATAGTTGTTGTTTTTTTTTGATATATTTTACATATATCTACTCATAACTTACCACAATCACTCATCTTCTTCCTTCGTTGTTATTGGAACGGAATGGAATGTTAACTGCAGAGATATTTCTGTAACGGTTATGAAAGAGGTGGTGTGGTGGGGATTTCGGCATCTTTTTTTGGTTTTTGTTTACTGATTTATAAGGACAAAAATCTAACTATAGGAATATGTATGATTTGCATCATGTATGTAAAGGTGCACACGCGCTAAGGGGGGGCGGGAAGGGGAAAGGCGTAGTCGAAATGAAATGTCTGGATTTTTTTTTACTATATTTTTGTTCGTGTGTTTGTATGACTAGGTCTATGGAATACGGGGGCAAAGGTGGACTAGGGATATGAGGAGTTGTGAGGGTTGAATAGATTAATCTACCTTATTAATTAATACAAGCCATTATTACCAGGGATGTGTGGTGTTGTCGCCAAATGCAAATCATGTGATTTGAGTTTTCGTGTCAAGCGATTGGGCTGGGCACCGGGCTTAGGGGTGGGGTTGGCAGGAGTAATTTGTCGCATATTGCCTTATTAAATTTGGGCTCTTAATGTAAATCCAGAAGGTATTCTTGGGTTGTGGAAAAAAATGAACGTGTCATACTCTGTGTTTGGTCACATGGTGTGGATGGGGACTTGATGTCGGGTGACAGGGTGTGCATGGATCAAGGGTTTGTGTGTCGTGCAAATGACTTTGATGGTACATATTATATTGGGTATCAGAATAAAAACAATTAATGTATACACAAATGAGAAGGCAGCTTGGCCAATTTTGTTAATTCAGTGTACTACAATCTTGGGAAGACGGGTATACTGAAAACACAACTTATAAGGTGTTTATAAATTGTAATGTCAGGTGGACATCTACTAGTATACCCTTGTACACAGAGCTTCGCCGTTGACGCTGTCATTTTCGACCACTGATGATTCTCATGTCTTGCTTGTTTCGGTTTGATGACCTGTCCACCACCATTTTGTGGACCTCCAGATTTTTCGGATACAGTCTTCTCCGGATGAACGAAACGTATATTTCGGTTACTATTCTCGGTATCCATAGACACTTTTCGCCACCATAGTCTATCTCTCGAGTGTCTTCTAGTCCATTTTCGTTCCTCTCCTTTTTCTTGGCAAGACATCGAGAGGAATGAATGCATGTGCCTCGATGGCGCCGACAATTCATATGCGATGGTGAAAACCGGTGCCATGATCGAGCATTCAGTTCCGTTTCTTGGACTCATCCGGGACAAAACATCGTAGCATGCGAATCACCCCAGCTATCCAGCCCCCTCTTGACAACTGTGGAAATTCCATCACCAAGGCATAGCCTCCGCGCCATATTCCATCCTGGCATCCGTCCTTTTCCTCCTCATCCCCCGTAACTCCTCTTCCTCCTCCTCATCCTCAAAACCTCTGCTCACCCCCCACCTCTTCTTCACCTTTCCAACTGCATATCGACCTATCCCCCACACCGTCGCCGCAAAAATCGTGCCCGCAATTCCCGTAGGCGCAAGCACAAACCCCGCGCCACTAACGAATGTACCAAAAGCCCCTGCGCCCACCGTCGCAACTAGAGACCCAATCGCAACGTACTTGGCATATCGGACTAGCCGCCAGAAAACAAAAATTATGCTTGATCGCAGGACTCGCAAAAGTGCGCGTGTGCGCCGCGAGGAAATGGCGTTGGGGGCGGTTTTGGGGTCGTATAGGTAGCGTAGATTGCGTCGGGTGGATGCGAGGGCGGAGGTGGAGCGCGCATCTATTATTTTGTCTGGATCAGAGGCTGCGGAAGACATGGTGGTGGTTCATTTAGGGGTAGCAACTGTAACAGAGAGTATGTTTACGAAGAGATGTTTGCGCGGGTTGTTCGTGACGTCATTGCGCGCTATGGATGATGGAGTTCGCCGAACGATAGTACTAGATCAGTATTATTACTTTTGATGACTTTAGTAAAAATCGAACAAGTGTAGAGAGAGACTCAGGTTCTTCTTCTGATCATGCGAGGGCTATACTAGTTCACACGGTGACTTATCCCCTCTGTGGCAAGAGTTTAACCATACGTTCAACCCTTGTCCTTTCTGAGCCAGCTTCTAATCTAAAGTGTCTCTGACTACCAAGCGAAAATTACACGTTGGGCTCAACTCAATCCAACATGCCTAGTGCGTATTCTTTGAGCACTCGATCTTGCTCAGCATCTTTGAACGTCGGGAAATTATTGTAATCATCGACAAGGGAAAGGAAGAGATCACGATACATCTTTTCAATAATATCCATTGCATCTTGCACACCCCTTCCTCTTTCACGTAGTACAACGTCGACGAGGTTACAAACGACACATTTCTGGCCACCAGCTTGCTCAACATTGTAACTATAAATGTCGTTGGCAATCCCGATAAGGTCAGTGGTAGTGATTGTCATCCTCTGGATGACTTCTTGGTCGATCATATCATCTGAAAGATGAAATTGGATGCAAACGAAGTCCATCGAAGGCACCATCCCAAGGTTGCGTCGACGGAGGTCGAAATGCTCGGTACGACTGCGCAGACGACCTGTCTCACGATCTTGGGTTTCTTCTACAACCGAATCAAGATAGCATATAAAATGGCGCACGAACAAATCCTTCGTGGTGGGGGAGGCTTGAGTATTTCTGGAACGTTATTCCACCATCTGATCGTATTTTAATAAGTCAAATAAACATTCACTGCGTAGAATCGTGATCTACACATGTTCTCCAGGACTCCATCATCCGATAATGTATAACTAGGATCTGCTAGGATGCGCTTCAAGTTCGTAACCTGACTTTCATTCTCAAGCAATGATTGAATTATCAGTGAGATCGTCAATAATCCAGAAGAAGTGCATCAGATCTGAGACAATCCTGAAATGATCTGCATCAGCGCCTGCAAGCCCAAACAGTCAGTGTCATGATCCCATATCTGGCGAACTTTTCCATCTTCTTCTCAGAAATACTCTTAAAGCTTTTGATCCAATCGAGAGAGTCAATCTCCATTCTCTTCTCAAGAGGATGGGTAACAGATTTGCATGGCCATTCTTGGTCTGTTCCTCTCAACAATGATAATGGAAGTAATTCAGGGAATTGGAGAAGGACTGCTTCACAAAGGGAGCATCCCTGGAGACCGCAGATACCAGTCGGGAGTGGCATTACTGGCCGAAGAACTGGAGTAGTAAGATGAGGAAAATATACACAATGTATGATCGCATAGCGATACAAGCCACAGAAATAGAGCCATATAAATATAGCAGATAAGCACCCATATGAATTTTCTGGTTTTCTAAGGAAGCACAGCGCACGTTGTGCAGACTTGGGAACAATCAGTCCATTCATCTGGGACTCTGGATTTTAACTGATTGATCAATGGCCGCTTGCAACAAGACTATTTTAGCTATCACGTGATCATATCAATCGGAATTACCAAAATATTACAGCATGGAGTTTACTTACTGACGTGATTTAGTCTATGGATGATTCGAACCAACCCTGGTTTTTACAGCTTGATTGGTTGGTCCTCTAGCTACTGCATTGTTGAATAGATTCAATTAAGCGAATCAACCAAGAAAAAATCATACGATTCGGCAGATCGATTGTTCCCCAATCTGATGCCGTGATTAGCTAGAAAGGGTAATTGGGAACTGCTCGAGCATTTGAGTCAACAATAACCCATGGTCTAGTGTCGTTGTACTGGACTTCCGGCAAATAACTTCAATATTGTCGGCACTTGCAACGATGAGTTTGATAAAAACAACTAGATAGAGGATTAATGAAAGGACAGGAGATGAAATGCCCCATATTTACAGAAACTCGTAGCCTCTTGGGGAACTGAAATCGCGGGACAAAAAGTGCCCCTACCACCACAGCGCAACTCCTTAATAACGCCTACAATACGCACTACGTAGCTATTAAAACTAAGCAAATAAATAACACTATGCCCAGGAAGTCTTCCAGCACTTTTATAGATTTTATAACGCTGTTTGTGGTGACGTTTGCTGTTGATTTGGGCTGATGTTTGGCGTGGTTTTTATCCGGGTATTTAGTTCCACAAGAGGTATCACCACTTAGAAGGATTCTTGAGCTATTCCTATTTCTGTTCTTTATCCTATCTTCCTTATTTTGACTAATTAAATCAAGAGTAGTGGAGAACAGGAATCGTGTCATGTCCAGCGAGCGTCATGCTTGCTCCCTCCAACAACGGCAATGACACTACACTCTATGTTGCCTGGGACGAACTCTAGCTTGCCTCCAATTTCACTTGGAGGCATCGCAATCGTGCTTCTAGTGTCGTTGATTCTCAAGTTTCGCAATGTAGGAACCCGTGGCAAAGATATGCCACCAGGCCCAAATACGACGCTTATTCTGGGGAACGTTCTGGATTTTCCAACTAGTCTTCCTCACATTAAGTATGTATTGATCGTTACTAGCAGTTGTTTGAGCTCACAAATTTAGGTTTCTGAAATGGACTCGGCAGTATGGCGATATCTTTTCACTCAAGATATTTGATCGTACTATAATCGTCATCTCTTCACCAATAGCTGTGAAGCATATACTCGAAACTAATGGCGCTCGTACTGGAAATCGGCCCCAATCCAAGATCGCCAACCGTGTAACAAGGGGCCAGAATATGTTCCTAGAAAGCATGGAAAACCCAGTTTGGAAGCGTGGCAGTCAACTTGTGCGCAACTTTCTTACCCGCGACAGCCTTGAGAAAGATTTGAAAACTCAAGAGGACGAAATCTCACAATGCATGCACGATATGTTGGAAGATCCAAAGAACTTCTACCGCCACGTTTGCCGCACAACGGCATCGGTCATACTTACGAACGTCTATGGCGTACGTGTAGCCAAATATGAAGGCTCAGTTGCAGAAACATACTTCCTGGGAACCAAGCTTCTAAGTGAATCTCTGGACCCTGGTGCGCACCCTCCAATCGATCTTTTCTGGCCACTTCAATACGTACCTAAGCGATGGGCATATTGGAAACGGCTCGCGGACTCAGCACGTACCGTTAGGGATGAGCTATATGGTTCCCTATATGCGCAATGCGAGCTGGCAGTTAAGAGCAAGAATTTCACAGGATGTCACATGGAATCATTGGTATCGGATCAAGCCAAATTAGGCATGACTCGAGATGAGATCATTGGCATAGGCGCGGTTCTGATGGACGCTGGAGTCAAAACAACTGCAACTTTTATTCATTCCTTTATCATCGCACTAATCAACTACCCTGGAATTCAGAGAAAAGCACAAAAAGAGATAGATACAGTTGTGGGTCCTGACCGCTGGCCAAGACTGAAAGACTACGAAAATGTCCCGTATATTCGCGCCATTGTCGACGAAGTCATCCGATTCAAACCGTCGGCTCCAGTTGCTATTCCCCATGTTAGTACTGCAGAAGTGTGTTATAAAGGTTATCGTATTCCAAAAGATTCTACAATATTCCTGAATGTGCATGGTATCTCCCATGATCCAGATTTCTTCGATCACCCAGAGGAATTCAGACCCGAAAGATTCCTTGAGACGGAGTTTGGCACAAAACCGGGCGTCGACACGACAGGGTTTCGGAACAACTTTACATTTGGAGCTGGTCGCAGAGCATGTCCAGGAGAGGCGCTGGCACGCCAAAACATGGCACTAACCATAATGAACTTTCTTTGGGCATTTGACTTCAAGAAAGATGATTCAGGGACCGGCGGGTACGATCTCGATTCATATGAAAGAGTAAGTATTATCAGATCCAATCGAATGATGAATAACGCTGATACTTGTTGAAAACTAAAGCCGGGAATCGAGCTGGCACCGAAGGAATTCACATGTGGTGTGCTCCCCCGATCAGTGGCGAAGGCAGAAATGATTAGAAATAGGATGGTAAATGCGTATGGGGGTACCCAAGGGTAGGTAGGGGCTAGGTCAGGGATAGACCGAGTGTGGGTAGTAGTAGGATAGAGGTGCTCTATGCTTAGATGTACAGAGTGTCGAACCACGAGTCTTGCTATGGAGGAGGCGAGCTGAATTTTGCCAGATACGGGAAGCTTCTTTGGCACTTAATCTCAAAAACTCCTTTACTGCGAATCTCAGAATGTCGAAAAGGAATTGAGTTTCGTCACTAAATTGCCATGCCATATTTTCATTCTAACATTTCACATCTTGGGTATCATACATCCATCCCATAATCTCCCCTTCACTCTCCCCGCCCAATCTTCTCCAGTGTCTTCCTTGTCCCCTCTACAATAGCCCCATGCTCCACAGCATGAATCCTCTCTTCCAGCGCCTCCAGGCTCTCTCCTTCCCTCAGCTCCACTTCCTTTGTTAATATCGGCTCACCAGCGTCCACCTCGGCAATCACCTCGTGAATCATAACACCCGTTCTCTTCAGTCCCTCCTCTTTTCCAGCTTTCCACGCCCGCTCGATCGCCCCTGCTCCGGCGAATTCGCCAGGAAGTGCGGGGTGCAGGTTTATGATTTTGATGCTAGCGGCGGCGATGGGAGTAAGGAAAGATGGTGTGACAATGTGCATCCAGCCGGCGCATACGATGAGGTCGGGGCGTGGCTTCGAGTCGAGAATGATCTTCGCGAGGTCGGCGTCGTATTGTTCGCGGGCTGTGTCAATGGCGTCTGGATGCTTCTTCTTGTATGGAACGAGGTTGTGGTATGTTGTTGGTATTGAGGCTTTGGCAGCGCGTTCGAGGCCGTATGCTGCTTTGCGGCTGTGAATACATGTTAACTAGGCTTGAACTTACAAACACAGAAGCTTTCATACTTTGATATGACATGTGTTATGCGAGTGTTTGGTAGCGCTCCAGATGCGCATGCGTCGATGAGGGCTTGCAGGTTGGAGCCATTGCCTGAGATGAGGACGGTGAGGTTGTATTGTCGGTCTGGCATTGTGGAGGTGGGTTTATGTGACCTCTAAGTAGTGGTGTTATTCGTATATCTTCTAAGTCGTGATGCTGGTCGTGTGAATGTTGAGTCTCCCAAAATTTGGGCGTGGGGTAGGTTGCCCCGCGCGGAGATTAGTCTGCAATCGCCGGACGTATGGTCTGCCGTATTTGGGAGTACTTGTGAAAGAGTGATATCAATGGGCATGCTGCCCAAATCATTAACAACTATTCTAGTCTGAGATTTCTTAGATGGGTTCGAATCATGTCTAAGGCACTAGGTACTGTAACTCAAATCCTAACATCAGATCAACTTTTTACGATCTCATCCTCTTTGAGCTCGCAACAGACGCTTCTTCCATGTCCTCCCACTCGTCGTCCTCATCGTCCTCAAGCACAACTGCTCGTTTCCTCTTACCCCTCACGCCAGTTGGCAAGGCAGATGTGGTATCAGCTGCCAGATTTTGGCGCTTCTCTAGACCCTCTAGACGCTCCTCAAACTCCTCCTGCTGACTGTCGACTGCAGACTCTAGCTTCTCGACGCGCTCGGCGCTATCCTCCATCTGATCCAAAGCGTCGGCGTTTTGACTGTAAATACGGTGCTTCAGGGCTAGACGCCAGAAATAGTATCTTCTATCGTTTTCATTGCTGGATTTCGCTTTGCGTGTAATACGTGACCGACTGCGATGGTTCGGAGGAATAGTTGATAACAGATGCAGCTCAACCATTCTGTAGAATTGCCTGCTCACAATCTTTGTTTCTTTTCGCAGTTGTTCGAGATCTGTTCCATTGCCGAGAATTTGGTCTCGCGGGATAGGCGAGTCTTTCCTCAAGGATTCTGGGGGCAGATTTGAAGTAACCGACAGGTTTTGGAATGCGGGCAAAGTGCGAAGATACGTAATATCGCTGTAGTCCCGCATTGCATCGAACGCCTCACTGGGATCTTCGATGGGAATCTCGTAGATGAAGGGTTTGGATACTAGATCGTGGAAAATGGTGTCGTAAAGCCGGCTTCCAAGCGATTGGCCCTGATATGGAGGAATGACGAGGAATTGCGAGATGCGTTCTCTTGACGGTGTTTGGAGAAGGTCGAGCTTGTCGGTGAAGAGGAAAGTCTCGGGGTCCTGGTGTAGACGGGGTGGTGTATACTTGCCAGTCTCACCGCTGTTGCTTTCAGCAGGCGATGGCAGCTGCTTTGTAGCTCGCGCAATCTCGAATGTTGGGAAGATCCAAGAACGGTAGGTTGTGGAGAAACCGGCGAGCATGTAAGGCGACAGTGTCTTGTCTTCCAGCAGTGGGACCTCGTACAGGAGATATAGCGTCCAACGATCCAAAGTCTCCTCATCATCCAAGCCATCTGTTGTAGCGCCTTCGATAAACAGTATTGTCAAGATTCTCATGTTTGTCCAGATGCGCCGCGCCTCGGTATCTGTCATGGAGGCCCTCCATATCTCGTACTGCTTTCCGTACAGAGTAAAGGCATTGGCGAGCTCGCCAGGCGGCTTCCAATCGGCCGGAGTCGCGCTCGCAGCATCGCCAATGGAATCTGGGAGGTACTCGCGGAACAGCTCTGGTGTCAGGTTGACCTGGTTCAGATCCGGGGAAATCTTCTTGAGGTCAAGTTCTTGGTCAAAGGAGATTTTCAGCTTTGGCTTCAGGTCGTTGGCGCGGAAATCTAGTTCGATGCTGGGATTCTTGTACCCCGCAATGGTCTCATTCTCCTCGATGAGGGTGTATGTGTAGCTTGGGTTGAAGGATTCGAGAATGCGCTCAGGGCCGTCCTCGTTGGCTGTGCGGTAAAGATTAAGGTGAAAACATTCGTTTGAATTGGTAACCCCTAGAGAACGTTAGTACGAGAGTTATGCAAGCTGTCATGACTACTATCGTGTATAGCCTTTTGCGCGAAGCACGTACATTCATCCAGATCAAGCGCCATCGCGATAGTGTGTGGTTTTGAGTCGCAGAAACAATGGCTTAGCTAAACTCAGTGGGTACTAAACGACCTCGCGATGTGCTGTTAACAGTATCCCCAAGTAAGTGGGAGTAGTTGTGCTGGGCAGTTTGCGCGCAAAGTGGTAGACGACTAGCGCGACGGGAGACGCGTCTAGCTCAGCCCTACGCCATGACGGCCGCCCCTGCGCCTTGCCGACCAGTGTGGAACCCAAGCCCTCAAGAAAGTTGCGGCTACGTCCACGACAACAGACCACACCGCCCACACCAATCCACCCCCCACCACTGACACGGCCGACTACTCGAGGGGCATGGGCAGTATCGATTGAAGCGCTGAAATTGTTCGCTCTTTTTTTCTTTTGCATAGCAGGCGCATCCTTCTCTTCGCCCCTCCGCTTTTAGGGAGACGACATTCCATACATTCTCAAAATGTGGGACGGGCTCTTCATGTTGCTCGCGCTGAGCACGGTAATGGGCATTGCGTGCGTAGATATGTTGACAGTATCACAAAGTTATCGTACTAACGGCTCCAGCTCATTTCTCGCCGGCATCCTCCCCCTTTCCTTTAACCTGTCCACCCGCCAACTGCGCATCATGACACTCCTTGGCACCGGTGTGCTAGTAGGAACATCGCTGATCGTAATCATTCCCGAGGGCATTGAGACTATGTACAGCGCAGGAATGAAGACGCATGCGCACTCACGTAGTGTGCGCAGTGCGGCTCAGCCTGCCATTCTATCAGCAAGGAGCCTACAAGGAGACCTACACGCTCCCGAGTTTCCCGCATGGAAGAGGGCAGACCAGATAGAAGTAAAGAACCTTGGTGAAGCCGTTGAATTGCAGATGAACAAGGCCAAGTACGCACGGCAGACGGAGAAGCCTACCGAGGACCCGCATCCGCAAAAGGGAGGAGACGATGATTCTACCGAAGGCCATAAGGAGGGGCACACTCGAGTCCACGCACCCGAGGACGAAGAGAAGCCTCATGGCCATGCAGAAGCTAGCCACGACGACGGATCGAGCCCTCATGCATACATTGGAGTCGCGCTGATCCTCGGCTACATTCTCATGTTCCTGGTCGAACATCTTCCCGAAGCCCTGGCCTCTGGACAACCCGAATACCAGCCAATGCATATCTCTCTATCCAACCTGGCGCGTGGACCGCATAACTCTTCATCGTTGAGCGTGAATGGAATGGGTATGCAGAGCGCGGCTGTTACGCCACTAGCTACACCAGGGCTTCCTCCACCACCTACCAAGAAGACACCAGCAGCCACCATTGGTCTCGTAGTCCATGCCTGTGCTGACGGAATTGCTTTGGGCGCTTCCTCGACCGCCGAGTCCACATCTTTGTCTCTGGTCATCTTCTTTGCCATCATGCTTCACAAGGCACCAGCTGCATTCGGTCTTACATCCGTTCTCCTCAAACAAGGCCTATCCAAACGCAAGGCGCGAACTCACCTCGCCTTCTTCAGCTTAGCAGCCCCCGTTGGGGCTCTAGCTACCTGGACCATTGTCCACATGTTCGGACGCAACCACCTAGGAGGCGACGAGGGACTGACCTGGGCAACGGGCTGGGTACTCTGCTTCTCTGGAGGAACTTTCCTGTAAGCTTGATTCACATTTGCTCTGTATTTATCTTTTTGCTAACAGTACACGTAACAGATACGTCGCTATGCACTCCATGGCCGATGCAACGGCCTCGCAACACGCCCATGAAGACCCGACTGCAAACGGCTACATGGAAGCTTACTCAGGATCCAATCGCATGTCCAAGACAGACGTCAGTATCGTCATGCTTGGCATGATGCTTCCCCTTATCACGCAAATAGGCCATGCTCATTCCCACGGCCATTAGCATCCTGCCTTCTTTTTTCTTAAATTGCATACGCTGGCGTTTCGCATAACAATTGCTCTCTCATGCTACTACCACAACATAGTTGTTAGCTAAGCGCGCATAGGTTCACCATGATACCACAATTCTGATGTATTGTCTGTATTACGTTACCTTGTTCCGCATGTTTGTTTTGTTCCCTTTTGCCAATCAAGATAGAAGTTTCCAATATTGTCATCACGTGATCATGTTTCCTGTGCCTTTTCTCCAGACAGCCATAGCTTGTATTTAGTGCCTGTACTTACGTACAAGCGAATCAAACAACTAGGTCTCCGTGAATATGCCAAGGCGAACAATGCGTATCCTGTAAACATCAATAAAAACAACAACCGATCTCACACGTGAATTCATAAAAAGCCTCAGAAGTAGACCCAAATAATATCGTACAAGTTGTCATTCCTAAGCTACAGAGACTCAACACAAACAAAGACATCCATCTATACGTATATTTGTATTCGTTTCTTTATTCATTGAACCCATATCTCATAACTCGGACTAGCTAACTCAGTCTTCCGTAACCGTCATGAACCCGAGATAGTCCACCATAGACACCGTGCCCTGATGAACTCCGAATCCCCACTTTTTGCGGATATAAACCGATAACTCGAACGAACTAACATGATGAAGGCTCTAGCCTATATGTCTCTATCATGATAAATGGCAGATGTCCATAGGCCAGAACTCTTCGTAACACAGATCCACATCGCCCTGCAGTTTCACACACGGCTCGACGGGGGGAGCATGTGTCTAGGCGGATGCAACCACCTAAGCTGCGGTGGTGGTAGCGGGGGGGTTCTCGACGACCTTCTCAGGAGTTGCGTTGGTGGTAGTGGCCTCGGTGGTAGGGGCCTCGCCCTCAGCGGGCGCGTCTGGTGCGTCGTCCTCCTTGCCGGGTGAGTCAATCGCGACCTTAACGGCGATCTCACGGCCCTCAATCTCCTTGCCATTCATCTCGGCACACGCCTTTTGTTGGAGCTCCTCGGAGCCGAGGGTAACGAAACCGAACCCACGGCCTTTGCGGGGCTCACCGCGAGCCTGGAGCTTCTTGACCATGAAGCGGGGGATGGGGCGGAGAGCGATCTTGGCCTGGGTAGGTGAGTAGTCCTTGAAAATCTCGAGAAGCTGCAGTTTTGTAAGTATGGCCTAAAACTTCAGGTTTCAGAGAACACGTACCCTATCCTCCTTCAGGTCATAAGGCAGGTTGGCAACCATGACCTTGGTCTTGGAGGGAACGCCATCCTCGGGAGGACCACGCTGCTTGCGCTCGCGGGGAGCAGCGGCCTTGTCGGCGCCCTTCTTTGCTGTAAGCGCTTCGTTCGTAGTCTCGGTGAGGGGAGCAACTTGGCCAGGTACATTTGTAGGAGTAGATTCGGCAGGGGCCTCAGTGGAGAGCTCGGCTGGCTCGGCGCCCTCAGCGTCGGTCTTCTTGACAAGTATGATTAGTATATGTCCACGAGTATACAATCATACAGTCTGAACTTACAGCACGTCCTCCACGTCCAGCACGGCCACCACGGCCACGACCGCGGCCACGTCCGCGGGTGGAGGTGCGGCGGCGAGCCTCGCCAGTGTTGCCTTCGGCTCCGCTGCCAGCTCCCTCAGCGTGGGCCTCGGGGGTGCGAGCAAGCTGGATGGAGACCTTGCGGTCGAGGATGGCCTTGCCGTTGAGCTCAGCAATAGCACGCTCAGCCTCGGAGGGGGTAGAGAGAGCAACAAAGGCGTAGCCGACGGGGCGCGAGGTGCGCGGGTTGGTGGGGATGGTCGTGGACTCGCTGGACAGCGTGTTAGCTTGAGGTAGTGGCGTCATGTGGAGAAGGCGGGCCCACATACACTAAGTAGTCCTTGAAGAAGTCCTTCAACTCCCCCTCGGTGGTCGCATACGCGAGGTTTCCAATGTAAAGTCGCCTGCCCTCGGCGGCGCTCGCACGCACAGCCTCGTCCTCGGCTGCGGTGGGCTGCTGGGCGCCGGTGCTCTCCGTGGTAGTGGTAGTGGGTGCGGGAGCGGTGTTGTCGGTGGTGAGGGAGGTGGTGGCCATCTGGGCGGTGACACTGTCGACAGGTGCGGACATTTTTGCTGAAGTTTTAAGGGTTGACGAACACGAGTAAAGAATCGAACGTGTAGAGTGACTGAGGAAACTTGGAGTCCTGGTAAACCGGCAAAGGTAACCTTGAACAGCAGTGGATTATTGAAGTATTGATGGGATTGTCGAACCGCCTGTTGGTGGAACTGTTGACGAGGGGGGTGTGGAGTGGGTAGCTACGAGCCCGGGGAAGGTTGAGAGAGGATTGGGTTGATGGAGTGCTTGGTTTGTCTCTGTTGTTTGACTTGATGGGGGAGGGAAGGGAGCAGGGCTGCGAGCCTGGGCAGATTATTTTGAAGAGAGGGCGGCCATGGGGCTTGTCCCAAAGCGGCAGTCGAAGCGGCCCACTCGCGCAGGGATGCGCCACTGATTAGTTGCGCCACATATGTATGTGCATGCTACAGGGAGGGAGGAGCATCTGGCGTATTGTTTATGTAGTGTCTATGAAGCTATGCGTATATGCAAAGTATAGGGGCATATGTTCACCTGTCCAAGTACTTATCTGCATATGCAGGTCCTGTGTGCATACTCACTGCGACACAGGTGCTGCTTAGCTGATGCGCCTTACACCTAGTAGTTAGCTGGCGCCACACACTCCAGCCCCCTCTGCCCGCCTGCGCCACAGCTCAACGTCGACGACGCACCCAGTTGCCTCAGGCCCCACTGCCGCTAGAAGCCGATAGCAGCAAAAAGACCCGGCTGCCGTTGACGTGGCCGCTAGTGCACCGCTTCTTCATGCGACGGGTCCGGGGGGCCAGCCGTCAAATTTCATCTTCTTGACGAGTCTCCTTGAAGCTAGTCTCACCGTACCGCTTCCTGATGCCATGCCCGCCCTGCAGCAACCACGTCGCGCGCTGGTCGTCTACGGCTCCGAGACAGGCAATGCCCAAGATGTGGCCGAGGAAATGGGGAGGATCGCTGAGCGCCTGCGATTCGACACCGACGTTGCTGAGCTGAACGCCATCAGTCTTGTATGTCAGTCAATGGCCGTGCCAGTACGTGCAACAGGGCCTTGTTGACTCGAGTAGAAACAATTATTGCAGCATGATGTTATTTTGATTGCAATCTCCACTACGGGCCAGGGCGATCTGCCCCCAAACAGTCAAAAATTCTGGAGAGCCATTAGAAGCGCTCGCTTACGCCCAGGATGTCTGCATCAGATGAAGTTTGCCTCCTTTGGCCTGGGAGACACATCGTATCCCAAATACAACTGGGCTCATCGTAAACTCTATAATCGTCTCATTCAACTCGGAGCCCAGGTCATATGTGACCGTGGTGAATCTGATGAACAGCATCCAGAGGGGTAGGTCAATCTCATCGTAACCATACAACGTGTCTGACTTGTCCAGTATCGATGGCTCGTTCCTTCCCTGGTCTGCCAAACTTCGGCAATACCTCCTGGAAGCATATCCTCTTCCTGACGGTGTTGAACCAATACCAGAGAATGTTCTCCTAGACCCCAAATGGCTGCTTGAAATTGCCGACGAGACATCAACACCTTCAACCAAGCCTGAAGCAAATGGAGACTCACCTGATATTCCTCCATCAGACCTCCTCAAGATTCCTGGTGGCCTGACTGCAAAGATTACGAGCAATGAACGCGTTACCCCCATGACACACTGGCAAGATGTCCGACATCTCAAGTTTGAAATACCAGAAGTTCGCTCCTACATCCCAGGCGATGTCCTCACCATATACCCCAAGAACTTTCCTTCGGACGTCTCCCATTTCCTAGAATGCATGGATTGGACCTCAATTGCCGATACCCCCATACGCTTCGTTCCGTCCTCGCCGTCTACGCCACCAACTGCAAGTCTCCCAGTCCGAACTTTGGATTCCAATACTACAATAACCCTACGCCAACTCCTCACTAACCATCTTGACATCACCTCCATCCCCCGCCGCTCCTTCTTTGCCCAACTCGCCCACTACACTACTGACGAATTCCACAAAGAGCGTCTCCTCGAGTTCACAGATCCCCAGTATGTTGACGAGCTCTATGATTACACGACGCGTCCACGCCGCAGCATCCTAGAAGTCTTGCAAGAGTTTGAATCTGTCAAGATACCGTGGCAGCGCGTGTGTAGCATTATTCCCGTATTACGGGGAAGACAGTTTAGCATTGCCAGTGCCATGAACCCAACAGCAGAACTAGAGAGAAATACCAAGATTGAGCTATTGATTGCAATTGTCAAGTATAAGACGGTGATCAAGAGAATCAGGCAGGGTGTAGCAACGAGATATATCGCTTCTTTCACACCTGGCCAAGAAATCACTGTTACGCTTTCGCAGGGAGGGCTCGGTGTGAGCAAGGAGGAGCTGCAAAGACCCATCGTCATGGTCGGGCCCGGAACCGGCGTAGCGCCGATGCGATCATTAATTCACCAACGCATGTTGTGGCGGGAAGAATTGAAACAAGCCCAGAATGGAAACTCACAAGACCAACAGCAAGATCAAGCAAAGGATTTGCTGTTCTTTGGCTGCAGAAATGCCGAGTCAGACTACTTTTTCAAGGACGAATGGGAGCAGTTGCAATCCACTGGCGTTCCACTAACCGTCTTTGCAGCCTTTTCTCGAGACCAGGTGAGCGACAATCTTATTTCCTCTTCCTCTTCTTCCAACTGACATCTTCTCCAGCGGCAAAAAGTCTATGTGCAAGACCTCATCCGCCAGCAATCTGCCCTCATCTTCTCGCACCTCTACCACAAGTCCGGCATTATATATGTTTGTGGCTCTTCGGGTAAGATGCCTCAAGCAATCCGCGAGGCACTTATCGAAGGGTTCCAAGAGCATGGAAACTTGGATAGAGAAGGAGCAGAGGCGTACTTGGTGGGAATGGAAAAGGCTGGACGATATAGGCAGGAGACGTGGTAGAACTGGAACTGCTGTTTGCCTACTGCTCATCTCTAACTGCCACTATTAGAATTAACAACATGTTTGTAATATCAGAGCAAACGGATAGAGCTCCTAGCGGAATACAATACTAGAGTAAAAACAGACCCCACAATAATGGCTCAATATCAATAAGATGCAAGTATACGACAATGTTATGCACTATGTTTTATAATAACATGAATTATGTATAGTTATTCATTAGGCTGACTTGTTCCAAAGCTTTGTTCTATAAAGAATATGTCAAGTATACAAAAAGTTGAATGAAACAACAAAAACATACGACAGCGGGGATTCGCTAGTGGTCACCCACCTAACTACTAATCCACCGGTACACTGCTTAAGTACGGATGATCAAACGGGGATCCCTGCTGCCAGTGTCCTATGATCGTATGTGGATAAAACCAAAAATTCAAACCCCATAGTGACAGTGTTTTTGAGGAAAAGGTCTGGCAAAGCACATGTCGTAGGCACAGCGATTTCCTCGGCTAGCGCTTCACCCCATCAACCTAGGCTCCACCATAGATATGATCCTCGGCTGGACAACTTCTGACATATCGAATCAGGAGTAGAGTGAAAAATGGTAGTGTTCACTTCACAAAATAGTGTATGCGAAAGTAGTATGCTCGTGTGGCCTCCATGATAGCATGAAATGCCATGAATGGCACGAAGAGTGTATTCATGCATGCTGTAACTCTGTAGCTTCTCTAGCAAGCACAGTGCCTATCGAGTACTCAGCCCTGCATTCGCCTTAATCTTTCCTCAGCTGCTCTTGCTCTTCTTTCCCTCTCCATCCTCGCCCTCGCTTCTGGTGTCAATCCCCTCATCTCTTCCTCTCTCAGATCTGCGCCAGTCTTGACAGGCAGCGCGCCCAAAGCCTTGCCTTTGCCCAGTCGTTGTTCCTTTCTCCTCACATCTTCTGCCTCGCTCTCCTTACGCACCCGCTCTGTCTCTGCTTTCCTACGATCAGCCTCGGCCTTACTTTCTGCAGCCTTCTCGTTCTTTTCTTGCGCATCTCGCTGGTCAGCCTCAGCCTTGGTCATGGCTGCTGGAACGCCTGCTTTCTCCCAGTCCCATGCAAACTCGCCGAGTTCAGAACGTGCAACGCGAAATGCATCCCTTGTCGCACGATCACCCGCCAATGAGAATGGCGTCCGAGCTTCGTCGTTCATCAATGTCGGGTCTGCACCCGCTTTTGTGAGAAGCGCAATGACAATAGGAACCGAGTTGAGGGATGCTGCAAGGTGTAATGGCGTTGGTGTGTGGTGATTGGCAGGCAGGAAAGTGAATGTCGATGGGATGTTGTTGGTCTTGAGGTAGTTTAGGAGCGCAGGTACCTTAGAGCGTTTGATCATTGGTATAATCTGCGATGTGTGTAAGGAGGCAGCCTCTTCCTCCTTGGTTGGCTTCTTGGGTTTGGGCTTTGCCGGAGCTGGAGCTGTGGTTGGAGCTTCTTTCTGAGAAGCGTTCAGAGCAGCAAGTGCTGCCTCATCAACTGTGCTTTGCTTCACCCGAGTTAGCTCAACAAAAGCACGCATGAGCTCTTTTTGAGTCGCTCGGCGTGTACTGAACGGGAAGCCTCTGTTGCGCGGGTCGTTGCTTCGCAGCACTTGTCCTTCGTAAGGACCAAAAAGTGTCCTTCGATTGGTTGCACCGGTAGCGCGAACAAATATGAGCTCCGCAGTATCAATCATACTCTTCCAGCTGTGCAGCAGTTCGCGTACTTCGTTGACGAGCGCGGTTTCGTTGTAGCGACGTATCGAGGAACCAGCGGAGTGGGCATTACCCTTGGCGTTGTCGTTGGCAGATTGTGAACCGCCCTGTTTCCTTCGGGTGGTGTATCGGTGGAAAGTCTTGTGGGCGATGACTGTGGCTGATCGCTCGTCTACCCCGTTGTGTTTCTTTCCTGTTTTGGGCGCTAACGCTACAATCATAGCTGCAAAATGCCCACCACCAATCATACATAGAAAGTAGTGTGGCCCAATATCCGTGTTGGGTAGTGGAACGCCACCTTCGTTCGCCTTGATCTTTGGAGGTTGTTTTGGGGACAGCTGCTTGCTCCGGATGGTCTCTAGAATGTGCGACTCCTCTTCTTGCTCCGCATTCGAAAATATGGCGCGGTATATGCCCAGCGATGTGTTGTCTGGTAGTGCGGGCGATGTGAACCAAATCAACGGAGGCTTGCCAGGGCCACTCTGCTTCTTAGATGAGGCAAATTCATCGAACCCGGGATCTGTGATATGAGCCTGCTTCTTCAAGAGCGCACTGAGGGTAGAGTCTTTCGCCTTGCCGCCGCCATCGTCTTCTTCTTCGTCAGATTCTGATGACTCAGAGCCCGATATGCTCTCATCCAAATCTCCAATGAGCTTCTCAAACTCAGCCTCACTCACTGGCTTAGCGCCCTTTATCTTCTGTTTCAAGTTGTAGCCATGGAGGTCGGATCGGACATGACTGCGCTGATCGGTGAGGGACGCGAAGCTGAGGCCGCAGAGGTTGCATGAGGTCGCTTTCGCCGGGCTGGGGTCGTTCTCGGGGGATTTGTTCGCGGTGTCTGGGTCTTGAGAAGGGATTTCTGGGAGCGATTGTTCGTGCTGGTCCTTGAGTGTGAGGGTGGCCAGGAGCTCTTCGGACAAATCGAAAACTGCAGATGTAGACGTTAGTCGGGTCGCAGACGACAATAGACTATATTACCGTAGAGTGATCGTTGCAGCAGATGGCTGTCTTGCGCCATTTGATCTTCATATAGTGTATGTACTGGCAGAGGTGGTTGTCAGTAGGAGCGGAATATTTGGTGGGGCGCGTCGAATATGACGTAAGTCCGGCTAGCGTAGTACTCTACTCACCTCCTGCAAGGTTCAAAACCAAAACATTCACCACTACCTGGACGTAGTGTCATCAATCCAAGTTGTGGAATGGATCGGGCGCGGCCTCCATCCGTTCTCTTGACAGGGCTTCGGCTTGAGCTTTCAAGTAAATTTGAAAGGAGAAAGGCCGGAGCCCTCTCTGGATCGTCGGGCGACCTGAGGTCGAATTCCAGGGTTCAGTCAAGATCTCGGGAACAACAGGATTTGCTGGTTTCTGTTGTTCTATCATCAATCTGATCGCATCTTCGTGATTCTCCCGAACTGTACTGGCCAGCGCCTGCAAGTCGTTCCTCAATTCACGAAGTGTGTCCAGCACCTCAGCAACTGCCCACACGCGGTTACTGCCGTCATCAGTGCTGTGGCATAGCCCTGTACTTCCCAGAAGGAATTTACGAGATCTTTGAGGGCCACCCAGACCCTTCGCAAGAAAACCTGGATTGTTCTAAGACCATCGCGTTTGCCAAGCGCGAGACAAAGAGAGAGAAAAGTGAAAATAGTGAAAATGGCTCCGATGAGCGTCCAGACTGACTGAAACCAAAAAGCGAAGGACTCATTCACGATGGTCAAAGTAGAAACAAAGGTTTGGCACGGGGTTCATAGAAAAAAGTGCAAGGTGGCAGGCCTGAAGAGAAAAGAAGAAAACAGCGAGGGAAGGGAACGTGATGCTTTTGAGGGCAAAAGCTTGGGATTGCGACTGCATTTCCTAAGATCGCACTTGCACTTCCTGTTATCGTATGACCTGTTTGACGGCAGGAAAGCGTGCCCAAGTTAGCACGCACGTAGATTCGGGCTTGGGCACGGAAAACTGCAGGACAGGACGCTGCGGAGTTTCAAATCACAAAGTCATCTTCAATAATCTGTATTATACGAAAGAATTTTAGATACGAACAAGAATCATTGATTCATATGTAAGTAGCTTGCTACGAGCTGGAAGTAGGCAGATGCCATTGCGTTAACAAGTGCGCGATGTACTAACCCAACCCAGCTGCTCGTGAGGCTCTCCGCCATGCGCCATCAGTGATCTCTGCTACACCACCAGCCTCATCCCATCTGTCCCTAATACTTCCAGGTGGGTTATGTGGCGAATAAGCTGATCTACTTTTCTCACTCGGATCCCACCTCGCCATCGTACGCCAATACCAGCTCTCTGGCGTTCGACAGTCACCCAACCCGCGATACACTAGCACCTCGATGCTGTATCCCTTTTCCAAACCTTGCCAAGTTATATTGATGCTGTAATATGTTAGACAGGAAGTACAGGACCCGTACATAGGCCCGCAGGCCGGGAATGAACCTGATGCGTTTCCCTTCTTAGCAAGCTCAGGAAACTGTATGGGAATGCAGACAGGAGATCTTTGCGAAATGGTGAGGTGCTGGCATACTGAACCCCCAAAAGATTCGACGTGGCTTCTAAGTAATACCAAGTCACCTCTGAGCTGCGTCATAGATATGACTGTCAGTACTAGAAGTTCATCGCCAAAGATGCGTGCATGCTGCGATATTGAGCATTCGACTTCGTACTCGTGAGTTTGGTAATTCTGTCGTTCACTGAGTGCCTGGAGAGGCAAGCCGTGTTCGGGTCCATAAAAATGTCGGTTCATGACCAAGCGCATATGATGGTAAGGTATATAGCCGCAAAATGGAAAACAGAAGCGCCGATCTGGGTCTTTCTTGCATTCCAGACGCTCCATATAGAACGGCCGGGAGGGGGTGGATCTGCTCCAGCGCCCATGCCAGCGATGACAGTAATAGCGGAATGGAATGTCTTTCTCGAGCAACAACAATAGCTTTTCTTTCTCATTCGATTGCAGAGGCATACTGCGTGGTTTCTAGAGATCGTGAAGAGCTCAGCAGGTGAACGCAAGAGATACCAAGGTGCATTTATCGAAATATTCTGCTATCATAAGGATAATCTCCAGGGAAAGATTGGGGGGACCCGGATTTGATAGAGCGAATAACTGCGGGAAGAGTCTTTTCAAGCGGCTAATCGTTTTCTGGCGGACCGTTGCCACTACCCTAGCAGGGCCCACAGGGGGGATGTAGATCCCGCTGTGAAGATCGTAGAGTGCTATCGGTAACGCCGCCGCCATGTCGATGCGCAGGTTTGGCAAGTCTTTGTCCGAGATATCAATGGAATTTTGAAGAGCATAGCGATTTGGGATATTACGGTAACTTATATACTCCTTTGGTAGTTTTACTCTTACCGTGGTACTGTCACCCATGCAACTACCGCTGTGTGTTACGGCCGTGCGAGCCACCCGCTGTAGCATCCCAGCAGCAGTGGACGCTGCTTCCCAATGTTGGCTGGCCGAGTGCTTTCTCTAATACATGTTCTTTTGTATTGATTTAGATCAATCCCAAAAATTAGAATTCTTACTATCCTCATGTTTTTGTATCGATTGCGTACGCAGTATTGCACCGAGTTCGGTCTCCAAAACCCAAAACGGGGACCATGATCGGGCTTGACAAGCCTAGGTAGGCCAATGCCCCAACAATAGATCCACTTTGGGTAGTAGCAGGTTTAAGTACTTCTTCTCTAAGGACCTCTACACTTGACTGTTTGAGTTATGCTAAGATATCATGAATTTGCCTCTTTAGCTAGCTCCTGTCCACGTAGCAAACGCCAGCATCTTCTTTACTTCATCCATAGTAGCTAACATAGCTAGATTGGAAGGTATCTGGTGCTGCTAGTAGTTTTAGCAGTGGAAAAATTAAGCAATACATGGCTAAAGTTGTACTCTGTCTTTTCCAACATCTACAGGCTAAAAGTACGACATTATAAACTTGATTCTGAGGAGAAGAAAGACTACAACTAAACGTATTGGCAGCGACAAACCTCGAATTATGGCAGGGGTACGGTTTTGGTCACATGAACCATGGGTAGAGGTATAGACACGGTTACACCAACTGCGGGTAGAGTCGATGGCGCATTGATCATACGTACGTAGAGGTAGAGATATGGTAAGCCCGCGTACCTCTACCATATCTTTACTACCCAATTGCTAACCTGGTTTTACACAAGCATGTGGTCAGCGGATTGGTAGATCAGTGAGTCACCGCGAGGAAATTACTTCTGCCTTATGTTTTTGTGCTTTTTTTTTGCTGTCGAGGCTTACAAGGTATTAAGAACGATGAACACAGTGAAACTCTGGTATCACGTGACTATACGCCTAACTACTATCGCTAAGCCGCTGGTTTTTTTTGGATCATTGAGGGAATCGGACCGTGATCAACAAGCACACAAGCACACAGCCTACTATCATCACCAGTGCAAAATCCACTGCCGAAGCTTATAAGAACAATGAACCCGTCTTTCGACAGATTTAATACGCTTCCGGATGAGCTTTTATTACTCATATTTGATCAAATCAAATCCAACGACAACATTTCAAGCTTTCATGCCCTCAATACGACAAGCAAGCGGTTCCGACGTCTGACGACCGATTATCTATACTACATGTTTCATGGTCTGGCTCCAGAACAGCTCCTACGTACTATAGCGTTACCACGCCCAAACGTACGACCGGAGCTCGCAGATCATATCAAAGAAGTAGTGTGGTACCAGAGCTATTGGACAAGGACAGCTCGTCAGCGATGCTTACAGGAGAATGACAGGATCCTGCTTGCAAGGCAATTTCAAAATTTTGGGCGTCTCCTGCATGAAACCAGGTCTTCTGGGAATCTACCTCATCGGTTCGTCGATTTTGATCATGAGCGTGAAATACACTGGTGGTATCTCGAATTCTTTCTCTTGTTCACACCCAGGGTTCAAAGGCTCCGTGTATGGGATACATGGCAATGGGACGACCACTCGTACTGGTTCGAGACTATGGCGCAAAATCCGACCGAATTCAAAAACCTTCACTCGGTTACACTTCATGGACCACTGCGGCTGGAGAACGTCGTGCCCTTGCTGACTTTGCCCTCGATTCGTAAGTTAGAACTTACTGAAGTTATCACAATGCGCCAAGAACCAAATAGGATCTTCTCATGGCAAGACGGTTGGGAAAGAACAATAGAAGAAATGCTTGGGAATGGATCATCGCTTGAGCAACTAGTAATGAGGGAATCCAATGTCTTCTTCCCAGAGGCAATCATCATCCTTGAGAAACTCAATAACCTCAAGAGTCTGACTTACGAACACGCTCCAAACGATCTCGCATTCCATCCAGAAATCTATCATGAATTCCCACTTATGGATGAATTGCGACGTCTTTCGGGGATTCCCCTCAAACACCTTCGAATCCGTGGTGAAGTACCACTTGACGAAAGCGTGGTGTCGTCGCTCTTGAACATCGAAGCTCCAATACTAGAGGAGCACCCACTACAGAACTTACGCACCTTGAATATCGGGCCTTGCGACGAGAGTAGCATCAATGGCATATCTTTAATGATGTACGAAAACGATAGGGATCCTAGTCAGAGTGGAATCGCCGATCAACTACCGGACACACTAGAAGTCTTGAATATCAAGTTGGGACCTTCTGGGTATGACGGGGTAGCTTTGCTTTATCCTTACTTCCAACTTCTGTCTGATTTCGCTGCTGTTGTCGCTTGTTCACCGTGTAATCTGAAGCGTGTTACCCTTGTCGAATGGCCCGCGTGGAGAGAGGAGGACTCTGCTCAAGCAATGTTTTCTTTCTTGCAAGGGCTGTATAGTAAAGCGGGTATGGAATTAGACGTTTCATTCGTGGACATTAAGGATGAGGAGCATTGAGTGGTCTCCGAAGATGTAGTATCGAGGTGGTTGTAAGCAGACAAGACTGATGCTTTTGATATGCATGCTGAGATAGTGCTCCCGCCGTAGAGTACCATAGTCGAGTTTGCTGGCTAGTAACATGGGGAATTATGTCCACGCATCTGATTATGCTTTGTGTATCTGATCTGTTTGTATCATTCCTCTAGGTAAAGCTGAACCGCCACACGCTTGACTGGTCAACTACATGCCAAGTCTTTAGCGCAACCAAACTGCGGGGCAGCCTGTTCATAGCTACAGCTGTTTGCTGTCCAAACCAAGCTGTATCCAAGAGCTGTTTCTTTATTATCTTTTCTTTTGAACCTTAGGGTGGTGATTAAGTTCGTTGGCGCACTCTAGCAGCCAAGAGAGTGCGACTGCAGATCACAGGATGGCAACCGAACTGGCGGCAAACCCCGGCTTTGGCGCTCTTCCTAATGAGCTCGTGATGAGCATCATTGATTGCATGCCAATCGAAAACCCCAAAGACATTCTCAATCTCAGCCTGACCAGCCGGCGCATGTACCTGCTGTCGCTCGACCACCTGTACAGTCATGTCTTGGTATCCTGCCCCTGGCCACTCACACGAACCCTTCTTCATGACCCGAAGCTCGCGGCTCGTGTCCAGCAAGTAACATGGAATCTAAGTACCGGAAAAGACAATAGCACTGAAAATCGAAAAATGCTTTCAAGGCTGATGAGATCGTTCGAGCCAGTTGGGGTACAACCGTCAATAGATCACGAGCGATTAACTGCAACATGGCGCGACCACGAGTTCATGGCCTTCTTCATAACGGTTACACCGGCTATCGAAACGCTTACTATCAAAGAAACATATGGATGGAGAGACAATATCTACTGGTTCGGTAAGCCTGTATCCGAAGCAGGAACGCTCCAGAATCTGAGAAACGTTCACATACACGGCCCGCTTTGTCTTGAGCAAATCGCACACTTATTCCGTGTTCCTTCGCTGCGCAACGTGACTATTGTCGATATCGTTCAACTAGAGCGCCAAACCCACGACTACGTTGAGTGGAACGATGAAATACCGCTTTACACTGTACTCGAAAGGGGTGTTTCGGGCGTTGAAAACATTGTCCTCAAGCGTGCTTGCGTGGAGACCAAAACACTAGCTCATTTCACCGAGGCATGCAGACAACTCAAGAGTTTTGCCTACGAACACGATATCCACAACAATCTGCGGAGCCGGCGCTCGCCAAATCTCATATCAAAGTTCGAGAGCCTTACCTCTGTGCTGACACACAACCGTGCATCGCTTGAGCGGCTATCTGTCCGCGGCGATCATCACATGCTCTACCAGAAGCACATGCTGCAGTTAGCAAGATTGGCTTCCAGAATGTCAAACTTACGCTCCTTGGATATGGGCTTGATAGCGCACGACGATGATCCAGACCAATGCACGCCCGAGTTCGTTGCTGAATTGGTACGATATCTCCCGCCCACGCTCGAGGAGCTGACGTTCGAAATCGACTGGCAGGAGCACTGGGGCTCAAAGGGATGGGAGGGCCCGACGGAGATACTACGCCATCTCGCTGATATTGCACCTGCGACACTACCTCTGCTCAAGAGAGTGGCGGTTGTCGATTGGCCACCCAAACTGGGGCATTTCCCTCCAGACTTTGCCATGCTATATCAATGCTTTGCTGAGCATAATATACACTTTGCCTCGATTCCTGTCACGATTGACGCACCGGATCCGATACGTATATCAGACTGTGTCGAGCCTGGGTGGATTTTTGTAGAGGTTGCTGATGTCGAATGGCATTACTAGAGATTGAGATAACTCTTATCTTTCATTTGCGAGCGTACAGCTTATGGCATAAGACTGGTAAGGACGAAATTCCCTTCCCTCTCTTGTTGGTCCTTCATATTCTAGAAGTGCTTCTTCTTCTTGTCACCAAGGACATCGAGTTATTCGCCATGCGTTTTTATTCAAAATAGTCTTGTTACGTCGGAAATGCATTTCGAGGAGCGAATAGGTAGTGTTGATTGCAGCTTTAGCTATATATTATGTTCAGTCCTAGTAGTATTCAGTGTGAGAGTGAATGCGATTGAATACACTAGACGTGAATCAGATATGAAATATCCAAACAATAGTTCGGGAGACCTGTGAGTATGGCATGAGAGTGGAGACGGATCTATAGGCATCAGCAATTCCCCCTTGATTTTGAGGTCTTGAACTGAACCTCTGAATTCAATCTCAGGAGTGGCACACAAACTCTGGAATGGCTTAAATTATACTACCTATCATTTAACAGTGTGCTGCAGAAAATGTAAGAGTTAACTGATGTTCACCCACTCACGAAGAGCATTTCGTGATTCAGCGCCACTCTTGTTCTGGAACTATATCAGATGCCTGCTCTGTATACATTAGTCGTACAATATTTACAAACTATCCTCAAATGGTGCCGTTCAAGCAGCCTTTGTTCGTAATTGCACGCCATGCCAGCTCTGAATCTCATCCTTCAGCACCTCATTCACCATCTTGTGCTGCTTGATGACGGTCAAGCCCTTGAACTTGGGTGACTCAATTTCAATCGCATACATTGATCCGCAGCCGCCACTGATGTCTTGAACCTATGCGAGCGTGTTAGTAATCGTTGATGCTAACCAAAATGAAACGACCTGATTCGGTTCGGCATGCCGACAGTGTCCGTATGCAAGCCTGCAATTTCCAAAGGTCTGGCCGACTGCGCCTCCCGAAAGCCTCTGTAATGCTGATATGACGCGCATATTGTCAATGCAGCGATCGGTAGCGCGGCCGGCGTCAACAGCTCCAGACGCTGGCATCTCCACATTGTGCGATATCTGGGGACAGAAATGCGGAGAAGACATTGCATACCTCTAATTTGACGGGCTCTAGCTCCGATTTCAACTTGTCAAAGACGTGCAATTCGGCCTCATTCAGGTAATCCGGTGCTTGGAGTGTGGTACTAGCTGACTGCGAATACGCCCTTCTGCATATGCAGATTTGTGGCTGTCGCACTGGGCTTGTCCACAAGGCGGAAGAACGCAGTGTTCCCTTTAACGGAGTGGAGAATGTTGTGATAAGACGCGGGGTCAATGGAAGACGCGGTGTCGCATTCCCAAAGGTTATACGGCGGAGAAGGAGCGCTCTCGAAGGTGCCATTGTCGCGGTATGAGTGTCCGTGGAATCGGTGTGAGATGCTGAATATCACAATGTACACCTGGCGTCTCACTCGACTGATAGGATTACGAGATGATTGTATGGCGGTTGACGCATCAATGGATTGTTGCTTAGCAATTGTATGTAAACTTCATCCATCGCGAACTTCGTCATAGGGTCCGAGCGTCACTCGTCAAATCACATGATTTGGATATCTAATCACGATACTGTCACCACTTCGCAAAGCCCAACCCTCCCCAATTTGAGGCAAGACTTTTTACGTACAATATCTGGTTCGCACCATCGAAGGTTCTATATTTTTCGATCTCAACAAAAAGTCGCTATGCGGAATATGTATCGTGAGGCTAACCACGATCATATCAGCGTTGCACTGGCTGTGCATTACGCCGAGGGAGTGAGAAGAGGGGATGCCAGCCATCAGCATATCGAAGTACCTCCAAGTACCTCCGCAGCTTGGCAATCTGACTAGACACTGATAACAAATTCTATTAGCAAGCATAATTCTCCAGAGTTTGCAACCGACGTCGCACATCACACCGGACGTGTTCACCACTTTGGACGGTGGGCGCCGTCTCCACACTTTCGCCTCCGCCATCTTGCTGATAGTGGAGTGCATATCATAACACTCTAGCATCTCTGGCCAGCCAACACTAGATGTATGCCAGGGAGAGGCGTCAACCAAGCGGTAAACCTGGACCCCTCCCTTCCGAGACAGCAGCGGCCGAGACCGTTCGGACCCTGATCAGCGCTGTGCAGATTATCGGGCAACGTAAACTTTCACATGTTGAGGAGGAGGGGATGGGGGGGTTGCAACGTATGCGAGCACCCCTCTACCAAGACATGCGACACGGGCCATCGCAAGCCAATAGCCTGTTTAGAGGCAAGCCCAACTGTGTGCGTACGCCACATTATAGACTGGGCTGCTCGCAATTGTTGAGGAATCCATTCAACCACTCAACGACGGGCTTGGACCTACCTCATGTCGAACCGCGCACTGTCCTCTGGTAATCGAGGGAAAGCAAGAGTCCATTGAGCGGGACATGACGCAAGACGAGCCTTTTCAGTTGGTATCACGCCATCGTCCCACTGAAGACTGACATGTGTCGTGGGGATAGCACCTGTGCCACATTTCCAAGCTGAGCCACCATGCTTTGGCGCAGCACCGGCTCGGAATGGCGACATTCCCGTTTGGCACTGGCGTGCTTGGCCGTCGTCGCGTTCGGCAATCTATTTCCTCCTGTTAAAGGCAAAGATATAGCATTTCCATATTAGGCGACATGACAGCAGCCAATCAGACGCGCCGACCCTGGTACTTCCAAGAATGGTAGAGTACTGACTTCACTTTGGCAAATCTCAACGCTGCCTATTTCAAAGCATACAATAAACCTTGCGCTGCGCGATGGCTATACATGTTTCATTTTGATGGAAAAGACTTGTATTTGTACAAGTATATGGTACTATAAGGCCGTTCATGGGAAATTGTAATATGAAGTGCAAGCCATTGTAATATGGATCTTACGGATCCAAATATGAATCGCCGAGGCACGGTAACGCTGGAATGGAGCAGAACAGAATGCTGGAGTACAAACAGGTAGCATCACACTGTTGACCTTTGTGTGTCGACTACATACACCGTTCAGCAAAGCACAAACATGCACCGCCTCCTCTTGATCAGCATTCTGCAAGTGCTAGCAGCAGCTATACCACACCCTCAAGCTAGCGACGACTCAACAGCCCCACTCACTTCGCTCTCGGAGATCTTACCAACATCGACTGTTGCCATACCGGACTCGACGTCTCTCAACATCCCAGTCACAGCCATACCCTCGATCGAGCCCGACCCAGAGGACGACGGTGAAGATGACGACGATGGCAACTACGGCAAATCGCTAAGTCGCTCGAAGAAGCCGCACCGAGAGCCCACTCCCATCTTCACCAAGCAGTGCCAGTGTCAGCTGGCCACAGCTCGGTACCCATGTTGGGCTACTGATGCACTACAGGTAAGCAAAGCGAAGATTTCAAGAAGAATAAAAAAAAGTGTTGTAGAGACAAACAAAGGTTGCATGGAAAAACCCTGACATGAATTGCTTGGTAGAAATGTTACTTTGAAGAAAACTTCTCTCACGCTTGCTACATGCAAGCAGCAGGTGGATGTCCCAAACCAACTCGTGCTGTAAGTTTCTTCCTATATTATTCTTTGCATATCTTCTCCCCTTCCATCTTCTCTTCTCTTCTCTTCTCTTCCATTCTCTTTCCGCTTCGCCTTCTTTTCCAGGGTAACTAATAGTGTGCTTTTTGGGCAGTGCAAGCAACTCTACCTACCTACACCGCTACCGGGACCCAATCCCTGCGAGCTAAAACCAAACCCAAACCCGCATGTGACACCTACTCTTCCTGCTGTCCCTTCCTTCCCCACTCTTACTGGCGCTCCAAATGTGACTCTGAGTTTGCCCATTGTACCCAGCAGAAACAGTACGTTTGCGACGGTACATTCGTCCAGTACATGATTGCGTATCAGAGTGGTTGTGAAGGGGGACGGCCGATGTGAGAGAGAGAGAGAGGGAGAAAGAGAAGAAGAAAAAAAAGTTTCACATGGCAAAGGAGATCAGGGCTAGCTACGATACTGTCTGTACATAGGTCAAGATGACCACCCCCCCCCCCCTTTCCCTCCCCATAGTTAGTCTAGATCCCAAAACGAAGAATGGGTTACAGGTGACCTAGTCTCGTGTTCGGATAGCGAAAAATGCACATTTCGGCACATTCATGTAATGCTAAGCACAGTCTTTTTCCTTGCAGCAAATCAAAAGCAGAAGAAGACATGTCAAGAATCATGCCCAACACTTACTACAGTGTGTCCGCTCTTTTTCAGCCACCACCCTATCTTCCATAGCCTCATCTTTTTTTCCCCTTCTTCCCGCTTTTCGGGATCCGCCCGGAGACCATCAGCGGCAAAGTACACTTACTGCGGAAGGCATGCTCATATCACCTTAGCTTCCGCCAAGTTCCATGACTCTCTGTGTTGTCCATCAATACCCACCCACTCATACCGAATATCCCCACCCAAGTCAAGCAAGTTCGCAACATTAGCAGTCTTGAGTCAACGTCCGAAGTGTAACCGCAGACGCCACCCCCCTTACCTACCCCCGCGCCATGGAATCTCTGTGGGAAAGTGGAGAGAGAAAGAGTGGACTTGATACAAACATGGGCAGAGGTAGCGAGGCGAAGCGAGGGGGAGCGGCAATGAAGTAATGACAGGTCTAGTGTGATGTACTATTGTGATGGGGAGAGAGGGAGGAGAGGGGGAGTGGAGGAAGCTATTGCTCGGCAAGTCTCCACATAACCATAGCTGAAGGAAAAACGGAGAGGTAGCACGGGACCATGACCATGGAGCGGATAAGGGCGTTGAGCGAAAGAGGCAAGTTTATGGTCGGAGACAAAGGAAGTGAGGAGGAGGGGAGCGAAGAAGGGCCCCACTCTCAACAGTTCGAGTTTGCTGATGGTGTTGGAGTTAGTGAATTTGGGCCGTGCGGGGCCGCCGCCGCCGTGGGTGGATGCGCGCCGTGCATTGACAATCGGTGTATTGTGTGCACGATGCAGTATATATCTGACGAGTGCGCGCAGCAAAAAAAAAAAAAGTGGAGACCTGGAGTGCAGCGGTTTCGAAAAAGTTTATGTTGGGGCGGGTTTGGCGAGGCGTGTGGAGAGGGATGGAGAACGGCTTGTGGTCATGGATCAAGGGTTTTGGGAGATGGTTTCAGAGTGGGTCGATAACCGTGTCGGAGACGACCGACAACCACCCACCACCATCTCGATTTGAAGATGTTGCTGAGATGTTCGGCGCATGTTGGGACTTTTGTGTGGCTATAGCCGCCAGCCTTGCCTCTAAGGATTGAATCCCACCCACACTCCCTTCTGGACCCTGGAAGACCCTGTCGACTTCTCGGAGTTAGTATGAGCCGCAGGGTCCGTTGATCGGGATACCGCGGTTCAAGAGCTACCGGCGCTCAATGCTAAGTCGAGAATTCCTATCGTATTCGGACCGTACTGGAGGGTAGATAGTGAAGACAAAGAGGTTGCTGTCTATTGTATTATTACATAGAAACGGCCGTGGGGAGACAATGTTGAATGTTGAGCGACAGCAACGACAGCAGCCTGTCCTGTCTGCATGTTGGTTTACCCCAGACATGCAGTCCAACACGGGATCTGCACAAGTATGAACGCAAACACGTAGGTGTACAGACGTAGCCTTGCCACTCTGATAGTACACCCAGCCTTGCGTTCCGTCAAACTCATTTTAAATTCCATAATGTCGTCGCCTATCTCCTGCAGCTGCGTCCAAGCGGCCCGGTAGACAAGCTCACCCGTCTCTTGGCTCATGCTGCAAGCAATCACCCAACACGACGTTGCGACTCAGGCTGGTGTATCTCGGAGTCATCTCCACAAGGACCAAGAAGACAGCTTGGATGAGGCTCCGTGGACCCTGTGTAAACGCTGATGCTACACTCGATACAGTCTGTGGCTGATGCCGGTCAGGGATCAAAGCGTATCGATGGTGGAGAAGACGGCCTGGGTTGGCTGGTTGGCTAGTTGTTGGGAATTCGCCGCTCTATTGGCACCGTAAGCTACTGTGATTGCGGCTCTACAACGGTGGTATTGGCGACACGGCATCCTCGGAAATATGCCTGAGAGGTTGCAGTTAGACGGTGCTGTAAGTCAAGTGGCTCCCACATTGTGGATTTGTTTCTGTCGTCGTCGGCAGTGTTCACTGACTGCAGTAGTCGTGTCATGAGAAAATGGACGTAGACAGAGGAGATTGGCTTGTGCTAAGAATACAGCAGCAAAGTCTTAAACACTAATGCCAACATGGTCTAGTGCGACACGAATTCTGCCCACCCTCTTCGCTCCCGGCGTCTAGGCTCTCTACGCAGTGGCCACCCCGTATTATTTGTGGGGCATCTGCTTTTTTGATAGCACGACTCTACATACTCTAAGCACACTACGCTTAACTACATACACCTGCTTACATATGTATACTTACACAATCTTGCAATCATGGCAAGCTCACCCTCCCGATGACATCAACTTCTGTATCTTGTCCCTGGAAGGAGCAAAAGCTTCCGCCCTAGTATCTGATGTGCTGAACGCGACACTCGGCTTGGTTAGGATGCCGCAAAGCCCTGGTTCGTTGGGACAATCCTCCCGCTGCACACGACACAGCTGGGTGAAGGGCATGATGCATGCAACTGTTCGGCTCAGGGTTTCGGTATGGGGTTGTTCGCTCGCACGAACACAGTATCCGTACCGGCACTTGTGCATCCAGTGTACTGCAGTACTAGGAAAAGCCATGGCGAGACTCGGGAAGGCGCTCTCACCGTTGATGAGTGGTGTCAGGAAACGAAGGTGAGAGGCTGGCTATGCAGTCTCGAGTTGCACAACATCTTACAATACATGCCAAGCAGGCACACACCAACATTCAACAGCGTCTCTATCATAGCCTTGCAATCCCATGATAATATGCTTCTCACAGAGATCGGTGTGAATATCGGTGTGGATACCGGTGTGGCGCTGTGGTCTAGCACCGCCGACAAGAGATACCCCGCACTACACCATTACCTGTAGGTTCATCTCCGACCATCCATCTCAAACCCACACCCTCTCCTGAAATCGGCAAACCCCTCTTTTTATCCACAAGGCATCCCTTGTGTTGCGTTGATTAGTGGGCATAACCCATTCAGCCCGATTTAGAGTGTGGAGGGCGGGGTGCTTTTGTTGAGAACAAGCCTGCGCATAGATGCTGCAGGCGTTACGCCCACGCACGTTGTGTGCATGCAACGATTGAAAGACGAACTATGCTCCTGGATTGGGAAATTGATGTGCAAAGCGATCTGACCAGCGCCGCCTGCAACGATACGACTGCACGTCAGGGAGATTGGCGGACGGAGAAATACACTTGGGAATCTGCAGAGATGGTGTTGCGCGTCTGTAGCTTACGTTGATAGTAACAAAAGAAACGAGTGGATGCACAAGAGACGCGTGAAGGGGGCGGTTAATCTGTGGCATGTGAGATGGAGGCCTGCAGCCATCTCTCACCTGCTTCGTCTGAGGAGCGCGACAGTGCCGGGACAGCCGTTATCGATCAATGAGATGGTTCGTATCGCTTGTCGTGCATTCGTCAGGCCTTCCCTGCGCCCAACTTGCTTACACCTACTGTCTGGAGACGCGGGTGGTCATCAGATACGACGGACGATACGAACACTCCGTGGTGTTTGCTTCATATGCGAGTGCATGTTACTTAGTCCGCAGGTTCTCGAAGCCCTGTAGGTCAGCCATATGGGGAAGGAGGTCGGGCACTGCTGGACGCTGAGATAAGGAATTTGGTGGCAGGCCCTGCATGTCCTCTTCTCTCTCTTGACTACAATTGTCGCGAGTGGTCTGGAGACTTGCTCCGCAGAGATGCCGTATTAGTATTGGACAAGTCGACAAGTGAAGCTCGTCTGCTGGTTCCAATGCAGGCACACACGTAATGTCCGCCTTGACAGACCAATAAAGTATATGGGCTTGAGGTTGGAGCTTACGCGGGCTGCCAGTCATTGGCATGCTGCTAATCAAGTTGCCGTTTTGCGCGAGGCTTGCCCAGTGCTGCCATTGGTATGGAGCTACCCGAACCAAATCCCCCGCAAGATTTGTTAATATAGCTTCGCTTTGAACCATGGTGTTGGAAAGTGGATTGCAGCCGTTCCGTTGATGTTTGGAGATGTATGTAGTATGTATGCATGCGTGCAGTCATATTGCTTAATTCTCACCACACCATTGTATTGATGATGCTGGTCTCCGCTGCAATATGAGGTACGAACAAAGTTGCCTAGCATGATCCTCATCGGCCCTTTCCTGGGTCTTATCTCGAGGAGGGGAAGCACCCTTTTCGGCCCGCCATTTATGACATGATGCTACAATATTGGCTTGGTCTGGCATCATAGCAATTCAGGCCATGCAGACTTGCAGTGGCTTTCACTCTCAAGCAGTCTTATTATCGGGCGTTGTGATACTAGTAATATGGGGTAGCGCGGGAATGGGGGTAGAATAGCGGTGAGCGCTCTAAAAAAATGTTGCAGGGAGAAACACATCTGTTTCAGTGGTTGACAGGGCAGGGTAGGCCTGTTTGGGATATGCGGATAGAACAGAATACCTTAATTCTTCTTGGTGACTATATTGGACAAAAAAAAACCAGAATTGACATCACCTATCGTGATCATGTTAGGCGAATCGACATCTCCACAAGAATGCCGTAGGCGTGGGGATGCAATTCCAGCTTCGGTGGTCCGTGGCATGATTCGTATTATGCGTACGTGTCATGTCCGGTATCGAAAATCATCGTGACGTTGTGATGAATGAGTACTGGCGCTTAATTGGTGTGCTGCTTCTGGACAGCGACCACGGCACATTTTTACAAAGGAGACTGGTGCGAGATTGCGTGAAACAACGGGAAGTCGAGCCGAGCATGGATATGCATGGCAATAGAGTGTGTCGTGCGATTCTTCGCTTGCAATATATTGTGGGCAGTCGAGCAGCGTTTTTTGAGCACGCCATGGGCTGAGGAATTGGTGGACAGGTTGCCTAACAACGGAACAAGGTCGTCACTGCGAATAACGGCGGCGCCATGTGATCAGCGTGACGGTGAGACTGCAATCTTGGACGATGACGGGTTCTAGGCATAGGCGGCGAACACGCATCCTTCCGGAACGGTGTGTATTGGAGAGGCAGACTAGTTTGCAATCTGGTGTTGTTGTCTCCGCTGGTGGAGAAGAAGCGAAAGCAGAAAGCAGGCATTCTGCAACAAAAGGGCCGTGTTTATAATATGTACATCGCAATCTGGTCAATGTGATGGCTGATGAGTCGCACCGAATGATTTGCCCATCGCGATTGAGATTCTGTCGTCGCGATCGTCATGGGTCGGAGGGTGAGGGAAAGCGGACTAGTAGCATGCGGATCTGGCCATAGCTCAGCCAAGCAAACGGGTGGGGATCGATAAAGTGTAGGACATCGATGATAACAAGTCCGTGCCCTGGTCGGGCGGTGATGGGGTCGGCAGCTCCATGGCAACTGAATGGAGGGGCGCGTTTGATTTTCTGCCGGGCAAAATCTAGTAGTGGGACATGACATGACGCCATGTGGAGCGTGCTGGGGACGCTGGGTATGATGGGGGTTAGCGTCATGAGCGGGCGGCGGTCTGGCCACAATCCAGACGTCGCGACAGGTGCGAGGGTGTGGTTTCAGCGTGCCGCTCAATGGGAGTGTTTTCATGCAAATGACCTCGTCAGAGGCATCGGATTGTTTCTTTTCGATGCAGGCAGGCCCGAGCAGGGTGTGGCTCATGAAGCGATGTGCTCTGCTGACTGATTGTTGTGTGTCTTGTGGTAGTAGACACACAGGCACACACACACATACATACACACATGAGTGCACACACACATACATACATACATACATACATACATACATACATATAGCATGTGCACGTGGCGACAACAACTTCTAAATGCAGCGTGGTGAAGACAGAAAGTGGCAGAGGTAGAGTGCTCTAGCGAGCGAAGCGCGATTCAGACAAGCAGCCAGCCAGGTGCATCGAAGCGTCTTCGAAAAGAAAGCAAGTTTTTGACCTGGCCAGTGGAAGCGTCGGCCTCCGAGCGAGCCGCACGTTGTCGCAGAGCGTCCGTGGGCAGCTTTCACGGAGACGCGTACATAGGCGCGCGTAATAATCAAGGAACCGTGGGACGAGGGATGCGGGCACAGCAACGAGGGCTGGCGGAGGGCTATGGCAGGAGATTAGCTCGGCCACGGCAGGGCGACAGGGCAGTGTATTTGCAGACCATGTGTGTCGTCGTAGATAGATACTACATACATACATACGTAGCAGCATGCACGGCTGTGGCCCGGCTAGAGGGCAAAATGCGGGGAAGCTGTGAAGGGATGAAGTGTGTCGGTTCCGGGCACAGCCAATGGCACGAGGCTGGCAGCATGCTGGCTCTGTGACCAAGGCTTCCAGCAAGTGGATAGCCTGCTATAGGGTTTGCGGTGCGCGGAGACGCATTGTATGACCCCCGCAAGCAAGACGCCGACAAGAGGCATTTTGCCCTATGACATGGCGGGCTGGCAGGAGGGGGCAAGGCAAGGTTGCGGCATGGCCCCATGGAGCATCAGACGGTCAAGGCGGGCAGTGTAATAATGATAGCAACAGCATTGTGGGCACGTCGGGGGAAACGAGCATTGCACGAGCACAAGCACGAGCAGGCCAGGACGCAGACGAGATATCAGGCGCAGGGGTTGGGGAACTGCGCCTGGGATGGCATGCCAGCCCGTCCCTCCCTTGCTGGGGCCGACGCTGATTGGACGAGGGCCGACCGCCTTTTTTGCAGGCGGCAAGCGGCACCGGCGATCCTCACGCTGCCTGCTGAGTATCGCGGAGGGAGGGAGGGAGGGAGGGGGGGGGAAGGGATATTTTTTCACGCGAGGGCGGGCGAATTGCGAGGGCGGCTCCCATGCCCCTCCGATCATCCAGGCACCGCCACGGCTCCACTGATACGTGTCGGACAACAACCATGGACGTGTTCAAAGTCGTGTTCGTGGTCGCGGTCAGTTGGTGAAGGATGCAGAGTTGCAGACACAAGCGCCGTTCCAGGGCAGGAGAAAAAAAAAAACGGCGGAACAAAAAAAACAATGACATCACGTCTGGATGGCACTGGCACTGGCACTGACTGGGCTCGCTTGAGAACGGGGGGGCGTGCACGCACGCAACGAGGAACGAGGAACGAGGGACACTCGGATGTTGCTTCTGAGACGAGCACCGTCCACGCCCCCCCAACGGCTGAGTGGCAGATTGCGAACGGTCGCTGTTTGACCACAGCCTGACTGACTCTTCAGTCACTAGACTAGCCAGCCAGGCCTCGCCGCCCCCACGACGCTCCGGCCTTGCTGTCGGGCCACTCGCGCTGATAGCGGCCGGGCCTCGACGGGCCTCAGTCAACAGGCCGAGCAGGAGCATCTGGATGCAGTAAGTAGCAAAGCATGTCTGTATGTACGTGTGTGTTGGACCAGAGCCACGCCCGTCCATCGTGGTCACAGTAATTTATTATGTGTACGGGACCACAAACAACCAACCCAACACGGCCGGCCTGCCTGCACCGTTTCCAAGTGTGGCCGTGCCAGCGAGGCCAGCTTGCCCTTCGCTTGACGTCGGGAGATAAACAAGATAGCATTTGGTACTAGAGCCGGCGCTGGCGGCGTCTTGGGGTGGGTTGGGTTGGCTGCACCGCTGGCTGCTCGCCGATGGCCGCTGGGCGATGGTGCGAGCAGCAAGCAGCAAGAAGCAGCAGCAGCGAGGAGCCAACCGCCCGATACGTTCTTGTACCTCATCGTACCTCGTGTTTCGCCCTCCGCCGTCGGCTTCACTGCCTTCGCACTAGCAGCCCCCCCCCTCCCACCGTAGTCGTCGTCGTCTTCTCGCAGCAGTAGTCAGAACCGGACGCTGCCGCTTGGCTGCGTGCAAAAATCCTTGGTGCTGGCCCCCCCGGCTTGTTGAGCGGCGCGCTAAATCTTGCTCCCTTGTCCCTGCTCACCCCCCTGCTCCGTGAGCGCCGGGCTAGAATCGCTTCTCACCACCCGAATCCAACGACTCCCCAATAGTCGCCGCCCTGCACGTTCTTCTGCGCTACCGCCCTCAACACTCTTCCCCATCCCTCCTCCTCTTCAACACTTGCTGGGTCCATTGCCGCCACAGACCCTTTAATACCACGACTGCACACCATCGAGTGCTTGTTGGTTTGACACTCGACCCTGCCGCCTCCTCCCTCCAACCGTCGTCTCGCCCCACGGTACCTGCCCTCCCCAGGCATATCACACCGTGGTCCGTCTGCCTGCACCGGAGCATCCCGTCGACCACGACGCCGCATCCTGTTGCTTCATCAACAGCTTCACTTTGTGTCTTGTGTCTCGCCTTGAGCACACCGACTGCTTCCACTATCCCCGACGTCATCGCAGCTTTCACTAGCTGTGACATTCTTCGTCGCGACCCTTCCTGCCCGTGTCTCCCCCCACGAACCAGCTTTCCAACCCCTTCCTCGACCTACTTCTGTAAGTCGACCCCCACAAAAACAACCTCCCGGTGTCATCATCATCATCATCATCACTCAGCCGTCCCACGGCTTTGTGCCTGCTGAACTTTCCTTGTTTGTCGGGGTCCGTTCACTCGCTTACGTTCACATTTCTAGACTTTTCGCTACAGTAATTCCTTTAATGCTCACTACGCTTTGATTGCCCTCTCCGTCCACCCGTTCGACCTGCTTCCCAGCATCCCACGAAGCCGACCGAATGCCTTACACACCTCCCTCACAGCGGTCGCCGGCAACCTCCAAGACTAGCAGTCCCACACTAAGCCGGAATCACTCCTATGTCGATCAACCACCCCACTCGCCGGTGACCGCCCGTCGCCCATCACTGCCTCGCTCCGTCTCGTCAACCTCCTACCTCGCAAAGTCACGGCGGTCGTCGACGTCAGTCACAATAGAGAACACTGTTGCAAATGGCCTGTCTACCAACACCACCACTGATATCAAGTCCGATGCCACCCAGCATGGCCCATCCACAAACGGTAGCCTACGCCCGTCTCCTCCTCCTGTAAACAATCTTCTGATTCCGTCAGGTGCGATTACCACGCCTCCTGATTCCTCGGATGACGAAGAACGTGGACGCCGTGTAGGGGACCTGCGTGAACTGCAACAGGCTCTCCAAGGCATCGACCAGAAGAGACAGTCATCTCCTTCAGCAGAGGTCACCGAGAGGGTCAAGGACTCCAAGCCACAACCCCCCGTCACACTGGCACGCTCTCTCTCAGCCGAGGCACGCAAGATTGCACACTCACGCTCGTCGAGCGAGATCATGCTCTCCCAACACATGATGCACCCCATCAACACAGAAACCATCATCAGCTCGTCTGATGGTAGTGATGCCGAGGATGATGAGCTCCGGATAAAGCCTCCGCTACTACGCAAGAAGTCTGGTGAGCTTGTCAAGCCAGCTCTCCGTCCTCCTTCCAGGCGTCGCCCATCCAGCATGCCCGGCACCCCCACCTACTCCAAGGCGGTGCACTTCAACGAGGAGATTGAGCAAGTACGCCACTTCCTCCAGGTCGACCGACCCATCGCTGTCAGTGCAGGCTCGTCACCCGTCGAGACCTATGACAGTGAGAGCGAGTACCCGTTTTCGGACAACTCGCGGTCCAAGACACCTGAGTGGGACATCAAGCTTGCAAACTTCCCCTCGTCGAATGGCTACGAGCGACAAACTGCTCCAGTCCGAGTTGAGCGCATCTTCCTTGCTTCTGATCACCAGACTCTGGTTGGCAACATTGCCGTTGCCAACCTGTCCTTCCACAAGCTCGTCGTGGCTCGCTTCACGCTCGACTACTGGAAGACTACATCAGAGGTAGTTGCTGAGTTCAACCACGACGTCCGCAAGAAGCAAAAGGAAGATGGCTACGACCGCTTCAACTTCAACATCAAGTTGTCTGACCAAGCTAACCTCGAGTCCAAGACTTTGTTGCTGTGCGTTCGTTACCAGGTCAATGGTCAAGAGTACTGGGACAACAACAATGCCATGAACTACCAGGTTGACTTCACCAAGAAGGCTAAGCAACGGGGACACAAGCGCCCCACCGCTAGCCTAGGTGCTATCCCCCGTAGTAGGCACTCACCTCTTGCTCCTCGCCCACGCTCAATGCCCGCTGCTTCGTTTGACGACGATTTTGGCCATGAGTTCGAGACCAAATTCCAGTTTGGTAGCGGACGTGCCATCATCGGCGACTCACCTAGCTCGGTCATCAAGCTGAAGCCCAAGAGCAAGCGTACCGTCCCCCAGAACCAGGCTCCACCCTCACAGGTCAGCCAGGCTTTCGCCTCTCGCTATGACTTTGGTGCATCTCTCACTGCTGCTCTGTCCAACGCTCAAACCGCACTTGGTGACCGCAGTGGACTGAAGTTGGACAAGGACAAGATGAACAAAGGCTACTTTGATCGTTCAATTCCTACGGCTCAGTCTCACGCTACCAGTGCTCCTATTCCAGGCGCCCGTCCCGACTCACTGACTTTGGAGAAGCCCGATCTTCAGTCTGCAGAGTACAACGAGTTGATCCAAAAATTCTGCTTTGTACGTTCCCAACCTCCATCTCAGCATCCTGATCGATTGGCCTAGCCGGAGACTGACTCGCATCCAGTTTGGCACCCCGACTGGGAAAACCTCTCCAAATGTCACCACGCCTGCTGTCAGGCCTACGCAAGGTGACGGAGCTCTTGACTACATGCACAACAGCTCTGGAAGCAACCAGTCGTCGACTACCAGCAGTCCTGCGTCCCCTGCCATGCCCGTCATGGCAGATGGTGCCAGTGACTCCGTCTCATTCTTATCTCGCTCAGCTTCTCCCGGTCCTGTCACCGGCTATGCACCTGAAGACCGTTACGCCTCCTCGTATGAGTATGGCTACACGATGCCAGGTGGCGCCTTTACCGAACGCAGCCACACCCCCCAGGCTTGTGTCTAAAAAAAACAAAAACTCACCATCTTACCTGAATCACGGATGCTTTTTCCGTTTAACGAATCTCCTTGGACACGAAGTACGCTTACGACCAGAATGATTGGCCGAGTGGAGCGGACGTTCCTGGTCCTCCAGGTGCAGAGCGCTCACGAATCTTCTTCATCACGGTACGAAACGTTGTAGTGGGCCAGCCATTGCCTTTTTTGCGCCGTCCTCATCAGGACTTCGCCCTTGTAGCATCATTCGGCCGGCCTGTTTGCTGCATTTCCACATTGGTCTTTCCTGCATCTCCTTCTTCTTTTCATGGGAGCAAACTAGGTTTCATCATGGTGTTCCTTGGGTATGTTTATTGTTGGGTCATTTTTTTTCCTCTCTCCGACTGTCGAGCGGACTGCGATGCTCCATGAGCGATTCCACTCTGGTCCCCGGCGTTTGTTGACGGTCGTTTCTGATCTGTGATTCGCAAAAGCTTGGTTTTGATTTGCATTTGAAGCGTGTTTTCTCTCTGTTATCCCCAGAATTCGTCGATTCGGATGCTCGTATATAGGCACTAGGACAGACAAAGTGCGAGTTGGTTGTTGTAAGAAGTATCAAATTGCGTTGGTTGAGATTGTGTTTTTAATTGGCCGTGTTCCGATTGTGTGGTGGTTTCGAGGGTTGTCGCTCGGCCCTGGGAGGAAGCGGGACACTCGGCCCTATATAGCAATTAGCAAATGCAAAAGACATGGCATAAAAACTTACCCGAATCTCACGATGCCCCCACTTTGTATGTACCCCGTGAGCATTACTACGGCCGAACATAAGGCTATTGGGCCTGGATCGTGGGCCTGCCAGGCCATGTGACTGTTCGCTAGACGTTCTGCCTCGGAGGTAATGCCCGTCAGACGCTGACCGCCTGCCGCTTTCTGGCCAACTAGTCCTCTATTCAATTTCACGATTGGGCACTGAGTCGTTCTTCCAACTTCATCTCGCCCAAGCGCAAAACGCTTCACAACACCCTTCGGCCCATTCCTACCCGAGCCACCATCGTGACCTTGCCTCTGCCATTTATGTGTCACAATGTCCTTCTTTGGTAGCAAGAAGGCTCCGCCTCCGCCTCCCCCGCCTCCTATCCCTCGCTCCGGCCCGGAAATCGATGCAACAACTGTCGTGTCGCTCCTAGCACTCCTGGCTCTTCTCGGCGGCGCCTATGCAGCATCCGTCAAAGTCTTGCCCAAAGCCACGACCACAAAGACGCGTGTTCTGTTCATCTGGCACCTATTCGACGCTCTGATCCACTTTGTCTTTGAAGGCTCCTTCCTCTGGAATTGTTTCTTTGTCACGTATTCGCTCCCCACTTCCTTCTCGTCCGCATCGCGCCATCATCCACAAATCACCTTCTTCACGCCTCCGGATGTGTATTGGCTCGGTCGGGAGGATTTGCTCTACGGCGCAAACTATGGAACCGGTCCGTTCAGTCGACTGTGGCAGGAGTATGCGAAGGCGGACAAGCGATGGGGTGGTACCGATCTGACCGTGGTTACGCTCGAGATTCTAACGGTTTTCGTGGCTGGCCCATTAGCGTGTTGGATTTGCTATCTCCTCTCCAAGGATGAAAAGAAAGGCGTGCTGAAAAAGTATTTCTGGATGATAGTTCTAGCCACAGCAGAGATATATGGAGGTAAGTGCACAACAAACATCAATCCGTTTTTGTTGCAGTAGACATGTAACATGTGAAACTCGCCGCTGTCATCACTATTGGTGAGGCGACATGTGGGCCCGGCCCGAGCAATTGTTGAGGCGAGACGACACTGCGTTGTTGCGAGTATGAGGCTGACACGTGGTTCACCGCTCCACTAGGCTGGATGACGTTCGCACCTGAGTGGCTGACAGGAAGTCCCAATCTCGATACTAGCAACTGGATGTACCTGTAAGTGCATTTTCCCCTTTTTTCCCTTGCCCTGTTCCTGGCCAACATCGCTTTCTTGCATGTCTGCGTTTCAATGGGTGAACGGCCCACGCCAAGCCCCGGTTGGATAGCCGGCACCCCCATGTCTTTGGACATGTACCTTGCGTCGACACCAAACAGCAACGTCTTGTCCAGAACTTCTAGCATCCAAACGTGATGTGTTGGCCCTGCATAATCACTGGCTGCTGGCCGACTGGCCCACAATGACCCTCTTATCCCTCGATACACAGCACGACACAAGTCGACGCAACGTACCACAGTCTCCATCTTGAACTCAACATGTCGCTTTTAGATATCAACAGTTTCACTCTTGGATAGTTCGTTGGCTCCGAGGACTTCAAAACTGACAAGTAACTCAGTTGGCTCTATCTTACATTCTTCAACGGTCTCTGGGTCATCTTTCCTCTCTGGATTCTCTATGAAGCCTATCAGACTATCAGCTCCGCCATGTCGCGTGCTGAAGTGGTCGACCTGGTGAATTATCTGAAGAAGGACTAAGTGGTCTTCCACGTAGGCATCGGTGGTGTTGCCAAGGGATGGTACACATGTAGTGGTGCTTCCTCGGGAAGATTATCTACCAGAGAAGTCTACATGAATGCTTTCTCGGCAAGATTATCTTACCAGAGCGCGTACTCCACGACTGTATGGTCATGACTCGGCCTCCAAGAAGGAAGGAAAGGTATGCGTTGGTATTCTAGAACACTTCAGAGTCTTCGTTGTTCATCTCCCGCGCGTACCCACATGTTGCAGCACAGATAACACGGCCTGGTAGCAAACTAGCTGTCAACTTATAAAATGGATTCTCTACATTATTATTATCCACATCATCCTACAAGACGAAAGACGTGTACAAACTAAAACAAGTCTTGTTATGCTCCCATCTGACTTGCTCACGCGGACGAGTCTCATGAATACTTCTTCACACTAAGCGCCCAGTCATTCCGCGGAGCAAGGGAAAAGACAGCTGTACCAGCCCACGGCACTAGTTTCGAGCTTCGTCAGCCTTGATTCCCGAACGCACCTTTTTTCTACTCGGCCACTCCCACAGCTCATATTAGCATATCTCAGCCCCCATCTACAACGATGTGCCCACGGTCAACAGATTTTCGCAAGCGGATCTAGCGCTATAGGCATGGGTGAGAAGTGCGCAAGAGACGAGGGATAAGTAGAAGGCGATCTCTTGGATGAACGGGACTTTGATAGCTACCTCGGCTTTGATTTTGAGATGCAGGGTTTTGTTTTTTTGTTTTTTTTAGTACAGGTATGTATGGTACGTACTAGGCCAGCTTGCTGTTTTCCAACGTGGACAGTCTGTATACAAGTTTTGTTTATTCAGAAATGTAGTAACTGAGAAATACACTACCACATCATCACCCATCCTTTTACCAACCTTCTCCTTCCACATCCCCCTACAACAACGTAAGACACAGCACAATCTCATTGTGCCCAACGCCTCTGAAACACACATCAAGCACAACCCCTTCCGTTACGTCCCCTTCAGATTAATTGCTCCACCACAACTTCTCTCATCATCTCCCACCCCCCACATCCCGCCTTTGTGCCTGCGTATGTTTCAAAACAAGAGGGTTTGCACATGAAACATTCGTGTCAGCGGGAGTGGCCCGGGGGGATCCATCATGTCAGCTTACTTACATTTGTGGCCTCATATCCGTAGTCAAGTATGCACAGATCGCCAACATGCACGTAAAACATGTCAAGAAGGGGAGATGAAGAAAATTTGGATCATTGGGATATGAGCGCGATCGTCGTGGACGAAGGACTTGTATGACAAGAAGAATTATCAAAACACTGATTTTTTTTCTTAATCATGCACAAGGACTAGTTAAGAATATATGTATGAAAGAACAAGGGGATACCAGTCCCCCTCCCTCTTTCCTTCGGAGCCTCTCTATCTCTCTCTCTTTCTTTCTTTCTCCACTGTCAAATCCCCACGTTTTTAACGTCCACAACAGGGGTAGCGTATAGGAATCACTACTGAACGGTAATGGAAGCCGAACCAGAGCTCTGGTAACCTTCGGTAGCAAGGATCTGGTAATTGTGCTGACCAAGCTTAAGACCGTACTTGGACCAGGCATCAAAATGGGCCTGTTTGGAACAAACATTCCCTGTTAGCTTCGCCTTGTCCTCACACGTTGGGGGTTTGAGATTAAAAAATTCAAACATGGGAGTAACGTTACCTGGATGGTGACGGTGCCACCGACACGCTTTTGACGGCGGACGGACCAGAATTGCTGGAAGGTAGCGGTGCCGTCGATGGAGGGCTGGTTGTAGCGTGTGGTTTGCAGAATGTCGTATGTGCCATTGTCGATTGTGATGGAGCCCTTGATCTGAGCAGCAGACGAAGGGTTATAGGAGCCATAGGCTTCGACAATGTAGTACTCGACAAGAGGGTTGCGGGTCCAGCCGTACACGGAAATGTACGAGTTAACATTTTGAGCGTTCCAGGTACCGCTGTACGTGAAGGGCTGGGTAGTGCCAGGGTTTCTTTGGGGGTTTCTGTTAGTATCGTGGTAAAGAAGTCATCACGGATATAATGCACTCTACGTACCGTCCCTTGCCAGCTACAAAGTTGTTCACGTTGTTCCACTGTACGCTGTACTGGCCGCCAGGGCCGTTGTTGTAAGTAACTTGTCCTTGGCCATCAGTCCAGAAGGAATAGAAGTAGCCGTTGTCAACACCAGTTCCAGGTTGGGTAGAGCGAGTGCTCAGACTGGTTGCCTCATGGCGGGCCTTTGCATCGAGAACGAGACCGAGAGGCGAGGCGATGACCGCAGAGGCGCTGCTAAGAGCAAGCAAGAAGGATGAGAAGGCAACCATGGTGTCGACTGGAGTAGAAGTTGTGGAAATGCTCGATGGTCTTCTTTGTTCTGGGCAGTGCGTTCCTTTATATATGCACTGATGGCGGTTATACTAGGATGACTGTTGCTAGGAACTTCCGAGCATCAGTGGCAACGTGATGCATCAGACAAGGCCTTACAAATTACCATATGTCGGTGTTGAGATGATTGTTTATTGAACAGGATATAGCCACCGCTGCAATATGGGGCATAGGGGCGGCATCGCGCGAACCGCCGCAGAATGTTTTAGCCGCACTTCAGAGTAGCAGAAACCACCGGCTATTCTGAGTCCAAAGGCGTAATTGGGTTCGTCTTTGGTGTTCGCGATGGCGAAATTCTCAGATTTGAAACTTACTATTCCAGGGATTCAAGTAATAGTCGATGCTGACTCCCCATGTTATAGGCCCAACAAAGGCCGATACAGCATGGTGAATCATAGAGCATAGCGGTATGACCAGAAAAGTACCGGCTCGATGCCTTCGAATCCTATTGTTTGCTGTTTTGGAAATGTTTTGTCACTACAAGTCTTGGTCCTTCGCATCGTGGTAAGGTACAAGCTTTCACTGACTGATCAAGCTCACCCAAGAGTTAAGCTAAGAATTGCCGTGCGTTGGCACACCAATCTATTCGTATTCGTACATCGTTAACATACGTCTCATATCAATTTTCGGGCATGGGACGCCAGCACATGATCAGAAGTGGATTGATCAAGGAGGGGTTGAAAGCAGTTACGCCTGGCGAACAAGCATTTAGCCGGTCTCTAGATCACCGCTCGGGGACTTTTCGAGGCATGATCGGCATACTCGTGTGTTCTACCATGTGGCAAGCCATGTGGTACGGTAATAGATACATTGCGCCAAGGACTTTGGAGATCCGAGGACTTGCGATGACGACGGGTGGTGACGTGTTGCCAAGAAGGGGAAGTGGTGGGTTTACATTTATAGATTAAAACACCCCTATATCATAGCCGGCGCACCTTTGATTGGGTATCTTAGGGATATAGTTTGGTAAAAACCTTGTAGGGCCATGTCCGTTGTGCATTCTTCAACGGCATCAGCGTCGGTTGTTCCACAACTGGTCAATGATTTGAAAGACGGCGGTGACTAGTTTCATAGTGTCCGCATCCATATGTTCTCTGAACCGTTGTTGCATCTTGTCAGGATGCCAGCGGACTCGCTCGGCCTTGAGCAGTGCAACAGAGTCCTCTCGCCACGATTTGGAAGTCCGCAAGAAACGCTCAATTTCATCTTTTGACACATGCTTTGCCTGTCCCGACACTACGGGCCATGGAATAAGATCGCGTGCCTTGGTGGCTGCTCCGTCGTTCGGGTGCTGGGCGTTCTTTAGACTATCCCACTTGGCCGTATAATTATCCCAGGCAGCCTCTGCTTCTTTGGCCTTCTTGCGCTCTTCACCCCGGCGCAGACTTTCCTCCATACGACGGCGTATGTTTTCTCTCTCTGTCTCCTCGCGTTCGAGTTCCTCATCAAGTTGGCTCCGCTGTGCCTTTCGCTTCTGGCGTGCCCGCTCTTTTGCTTCACGTTCCTCGAGGATGTGCTGGTGACTCTTTTCCCACATTTTGGTACGCACATAGTCGGCATACTCTTCCTCGGTCATGCGCTCCAGCTTTCCGTCTGCACCTCGTTTTACATCGGGATAGATATGGACAGGCTGGCCGTACACGCCTTCCCAATACGCAGCGCCCTCGTCGTCGGCAAGCGCGTCGAAGAGAGACTCGCGAAATGCATCTTCGGGTGCCGTTTCTGGAGATGCGGCGCCTGATTCTTCCAGATTGTCGAACAAAGATTCGCGATGCCGGTGGCCGGGGTCATAGTATGTGCCGTCTCGGGTGGACGTGGGATGACGGTCATCATGAGTGCGATGCTTGTGCTTGTGTTTACGTCTTGAATGCCGGTGGTGCCGTCGCGCATCCTCGTCTTGATCTGCTTTGTGTCTCTTGCGACTGTGCCTGTCGGCATCTTCGTTATTGTCCTCGTTATCGCGGCGCCTGGAGCGACGTGTGGAGCCAGACTTGAAGTGAAATGGTGAAGCCTTGGCTTTGGCGTAGAGGCCGTCCTCAGTCGCACCGCTAGCCTGCTCCTCCATGATGAGGACTGTGATGTCTGAATATCCAGCCTTGCATGAGCGTTAAAAGGAATATGCGCAGGTTGCCTGCGACTGTAACCATGGAACAAAGTTGGATGCGGAGGAGGTGCGGAGGTGCTGATGATCTCACTGGTGCGCAAAGGCCTTGGCATGCGACGTCCAACTCGCGTTCGCGACTTGGCCTATCATCTAGCAACAACACACATCATGTCATTCAAGTTTGGGCTAAATCTAAAAGCTAAGGGTAATAACCCGCTCGCAAAAGCTGGAGAGAAACCAGGATTTGCAAAGAAGAAGAAACCGCTATTCGGTGACGATGAAGACGACGACGTAAAAGGCAAAGCAAAGGCAGCAGACGGTGTCCAAGAGATTGGAGAGCTCAGTTTTGAAGACACACTTGCATCTGCTTCGTCAAAGCCTTCAAAGCCCGCCCCGGCAAAACAAAAAAAGGGCCAGCCGCCGGCTCCTCCGAGCAAGAAACCCAAACCGAAAGAAGATGATCCTACCAATGTCGCATATTCCGCCAGCGCTGCCGAAGCCAAGAAACGGGCGCAGGAAGCCCTAGAAGCCGATGCCACTATCTACGACTACGACGCTGCCTACGATGCCATACATGCGCAAGATGCTGCAAAAGCGGCAGCCGACCGCGAAGACGCTGTCCAACGGAAACCCAAGTACATGGACGCGCTTTTCGAGTCAGCCGAGCAGCGGAAAAAGGACCAATTACGCGCGCGTGATAAGCTACTGCAACGTGAGCGAGAAGCCGAAGGCGACGAATACGCCGACAAAGAGAAGTTTGTGACTGGCGCATACAAAGCGCAGCAAGAAGAGACACGCAAGGCCGAGGAAGAGGAGAAAAAACGGCTAGAGGAGGAAGAAGGCATGAAGAAGAAGTTTGGTATGCAGGGCTTCCACAAGCAAATGCTTGCTGAGCGGGAACGACGACATCAGGAAGCCATGGAAGCCGCCGCACGCGCCCTCAAAGAAGGCATCAAGCTACCAGCCGAAGAAACCGAAAAGGAAAAGACCGACGCCGAAATAGCAGAAGAGCTACGCAAGCAAGGAAAGAAGGTCGTGCTCAACGACGATGGCCAAGTAGCCGATCATCGTCAACTACTCTCCGCCGGTCTCAACGTCATTGCAAAGCCCAAATCCACTTCTATTGCTTCTGCCTCTTCCTCTGCTGCCGCAGCTGCACCCAAGTACACTCCTCCCTCACATGGCATTCACAAGGGAGGTCGTAATGCGCAGAGAGAGCGTCAGACTGCCATGATTGCCGAGCAAATTGAGGCTGCAAACAAGAGAAAGGCAGAGGAGGAGGCAGAGGAGCAGGCGAAGATTGAGCGCGCGAAGAAGAGTCAGAAGACGGATCAGGATATTAGTAGTGCAAAGGAGAGGTACTTGCAGAGAAAGAGGGAGGCTGCAGCTGCAAAGGCAGCTGCTGGTGGGAAGTAAATAGAGTAATGATACCCCTTTTTGATGATTTGAGACTTGAGCCATGAGTCGACTCTGTAATATCTGTGTGAGTAAATCCGTGGGTTGGGAGCATAGTTATTATGTCTTGGCCTTTTCACCACCCAGATCATCTATCAATTTCACCTCAGTTGCTCCTCTACTTTTACTTCTCTTCCTCACCATGCTGAGCTTTCTCCTCCTTGTCTTGAACTGGATCATCCTTCTCGTGATCCCCACTATCTCTCGAATAAACAACCATCCCATTCAACGCATTTCCATGCTTCTCAAACTCACACAACTTGACTACCTGCCTCTCCACCAACCATTTCTTGCCCACTTCATTGCACTCGCTGAGCCTCTCCTTCTTCTCTTCGCTCTGCGCATACATGCTGTAATCATCTAGAATCTCATTGCCAATATACAGCACGGGATCTCTATCAGTCAGAAACGTGGGCAGGAGCAAGAACCAATCCACAAACGGCGAATAGACAAACGACTTGGCCGTGATTTTCGCTTCGAGACCAGACTCCAGAGCTGTAACAGAGAGGAGAGAGAGAAACTCAGTGTCGAGAGGTGTGAAAGCCGGGTCTTGAGCATAGCAACGAATCTCAGTCTTCTTGCTGCGTTTGTTGACTGTAGGATGAGTGTTAGATGCGAGTGTAGCAAAGACTTGAGTAGGCAAAGAAGGGGAAGAATAAGAACTTACGTCGTCCAACAACATGCTTAAACAGCACGAGCTGCCACAAACTCCTCCAGCGATGCGCCCAATCCCTACTAAAACTGCCAATCCCTATGCACACTGCTTCTTCAACCCCCCATTCTCTACCCTCGATAACCCTGTTCACTTGAGCCGCAAGCGCCGTATCCTCCCATCGCTCCTGCAGCGTCTTAAAGTCTCCGAGCAACTTCTCGGCCGTTAGATCCTTGACAATCTGCGTAGGCAGAGCCGTGGCACCTTGGCTATTCTCGCTGAGCGAGACCTTGGATAAGCCGTGTGTGATTACGGTCCACCCATCCTCGCTTTGGATCTGCTTGCGTTTTACTCTTCCATATCCTCCACTACCGCTGCTGCCATTTGCTTTGTTTCTCCCAGGCATTCTCCTCCTTCCCACTATCCCCTTTGCTATCTTCCGTTTACTTCACCAACGCCAAAAGCAACCTACCAAACCCGTAAGCGGCCCCACTTTCAAATCCAAGAAAAACAGTGCATATTCTCTCCTCACTAACTCTTTTCTTCGTATATGCGTCTCAAGTCTCTTTCCCTAAAAAGATCCGATGGCCAACACCAAATCAGAATAATGCCCAGCTCCGTGTTCAATTCACCGAAAATCGAACCAACAAAGACTCAAAAAAAGATGGAGAAAAAGCGGGGCTGATTTTACCACTACAGCAAATAATATCTGCACGAGACCTCGCCAAGTCCCCGCGTTCCATGCAATATACGTGTATGAACAGCAACGTCAGGCGGTTGGCAGTGCAAAAGCGGTGAGTGAGCCCTTTCCTAGATTCCGCCGCCGCCGGCGTCGTTGGTGGTCGTTGTTGTTCAGGGCGCGTACAAGAGCGATATGAGAGGGTGCGGGCAATCGGGGTAAAAGTGGGGAACCACAAAAAAAAGATATATAATAGTACGTAGATCAATTGTCGCAACGGGAATTCCGATCGCGAGCACAAGGGTACGTGGGTCTAGAGGGGACAATGGTGCGCATACAGATCGCACCGGAAGGGATGGTGTTGAAAGGTACATTGGTGAGGAGTGAACAAACAACTACGTCGAGTCCATGTTTGGAATATGCTAGTTTCCATGCCTGTATCATTATTGTAACAACTCAACTCTACACTCCCAAAGCAAGTATTCTTTCTCATGGTAGATCTTGTACCGATTTACCGGAAAATAAACTCATAATAGGGTTTTTCCCCTCTTACTCGATGTTGGCATTAGCAGAAACGCCAGCGGCAAGTGGAGAAAAAACTGTGCCTCCCCCGTGCATTGTCGAACCTTTTGCCCTTTCCAACGCAAGCCACCCGCTGCCATCCGGCAAGCCTGCCGCCGCCTCTCAGGCCTCCCGTTGATGTCTTCGTTGTTACAGAAACAGCAAAATAAATAAAAAATCATCTTTTAGTTTTGATGATGAGAAAGCTGGTAAAAAAGAAACGGTAAGATGGTGGCTTTGTTGGTTGAAGTGGAGGTCAATGCGAGTAAGCATTCATCATCATCAACATCATCATGTCCCCAACAGGACCCGGTAAAAATAGAATGATTGTGTAAGAATTTGTGATTAGCATTCATCAGCAGAGCTACTACAGCAGGTGCAGCGCTTCATATACGGTAAAAAAAAGAAGAAGAAAGGGAGGTTCAAGCTGTTTCTTCAGCACCCCCTGATCACGTACGTTCCAACTGGAAGTCTGTCGCTTCAACAAAGAACCGGATATCTTGTACACCTAACGCCATGCCCGTGATACAAAAAACAACAGAAAAAAACAACAGGTTGACTTCTTAAACGACCCATGTTAACCAGGATGCCGTTGCAAGCATTGCTGGTACTAGTATCGATGCATAACCATTTGCGACAATGGTGTGTGGCGCTCGCGATGATGTTGTTGCGTATAGAACTTGGAATCCAATTTTCTGGTCTGGCTCGGTTGTGTTTCTGCAGTTTGTTCCGTTGACCTCTGGTATTTCCGTGTCCCCTGGTTCAGCAAATGTGATGTCGGCGCACTGTTGAAGTTGTGAACAACATGTATAAAGATTGCAAGATGGATCAAACTTACATTGTAGAGGGCAGCGCCGTGCTGCGCCAGCTCAATGACCTGGATGGTGGCATTGTCGCCGACTTTAGGCGTGTAGTTGGCAGGTAATGGTACTTGGGGCAAGCAAAACTGGCCTCCGTATTCCTGGTTCGTGGGTCCTGTAATCTGGAAAACGGGCAACATGGTATGGGAATAGTTCAGAGGCTCGTTGCCGTATCCCATGTTGATGTAGATTTGAGCGAGGGCATGGCCAGGGAACCATCCTGGTTGGATAGAAACAGCGCCACCCTTGAGGGGCCACTTTGTTCGGTTACGCGAAGTTGGCATTCCTCCGCCTGTTGAGGGTGTTAGCTATGGGTTGGGATAGAGGGAAGATTTCGAAGTGACATACAAGGGTACATCCACTGCATGCCATATGGAAACCCATACGAGTCGGTGTCCTTGTGGTAGTTTATTCCAAGCGATCCATCTGGGATAGTCGGGTCCGTGGGAGACAGGGTGCCGTTTGTGTGGATGTTGTTTCCTCTCCATGGCGGGTAGACCATAACAGTATGCGCAGCGGCAAGGGACCAAGTAGCGGCGACAAAGACGAGCTCGGTGAAACGAAACATGGCGGCGGTATGGTGGTGAGAAGGGAGGCTGTCGCAAGGCAAAGATGGCTTTCTCTAGCTATGCGGTGGGGGGGGCGCAGTCCGATAGTATGTAGTCGACACAGCCAGGCAGGGTGCGGTGGCGGGGGCGGTTCAAGACTTAAGAGATACAGGCCTTGGCCGCGACCGTCCTGTGGGAGCCACCATGGCTGGCGAACAGAGCGAGGGGAGCGAATAGGCGATGCAAACCGAGGCGGGCACCATGAGCAGCCATTGCAGGTCAGCACTGGAAGCATTGAGTAGGCAGCGAATAGGCATGGCGCCAGCATATTGGCTTGACCAGGGCGGACGACCACTAAGCTGCGCGGCTGCAGGTCTGGTCGGGCGGGAGGGAACTTAGAGGTGGATAGCGTGGGTGAAAGGCATAGCGGTGGTGGCCGTGATTGGCCCGACTTGTGTGATGGCTTTGCAGGCTATGCCATGGCCGGCCAGGACACTTCTAAGCGCCCAACTGCTCCACCTTTTGCATTGCACAAATGCCCATCAAGAACCCTCCCATCGGCCACACGAACGTCGCCTCCCGTGCCAGCCCGTCGGTCACAGTGTGACCGCAGCGTGATTCATGGCTTGGAACCGCCGCAGTCTCTGCTCAAGACGACTCGAGCCGAGCACTGCAACGGTGGCGATAAGATGAGCGCATGAATCTATGTACGTGTATGCGGACACAGTCAGCTCCGCGCTGATGATATAACATCTACGCCGCAATATACACACCAGCACACCAAGGTTCCAATCTGGATGCATGCGCATGCCCCCGTCCTCACACCGTTGCATCCACGCTGCATGGCCACAGCTGGCTGACAGGCGAAGCATTGTGTTTCGACTCTTGTGATTGGGCCAATGTTTCTTCGCCCCTTGGCCTTGGTCGCTCCAATCTGGCCACTGCACCGGGACTGCCAGAGCTGATCGTTCTGGACCCGCAACCTCTTCTCCATTCGTTGCTAGCACCTGACAGGACCGTAAGTACAAGCGTTACTCCCTTGCACCATGTCAAGAACCATTAATCAAGTGCCGTTGTCTTGGTTATCGTGTTCGACATCGATCCGCCAAGTGTGGTAGGGCTGGTAGTGGGGTATATGTGTCGATGAAATATGCAGGTAGTAGGTGTTGCAAAACCAGGGCCTTCACGCGACCGAGGCTCATGGAAGGCACGACTATATCACAAACAATAAGTATTTCCCTACAACACGTGACTTCGTACCCATTGCTGCAAAACACCATGCCTCGACAAAGAGCACATTCCGTCTATCCCACAACTACCCAACTAATCTGTTCCCAACAAGCCCATTCCAGCCCAGCTCCATCTACACAGCTACTTCATCCGCCTAACTCCCAGCCTCCACTGGCACATTCACCCCCAACCTCCTCAGCCTGTCCGTAGCTGCTTCAACCAGCACATTGTTCCGCTGTATCAGCTCCTGCACCTGCTCGTTTTCCGCCTTTCTCGAGTAGCTCGCTATCTTCACCCCGTTACTCCTTACTCCCTCATTCTCACCCTGTTTCACCGACTTGGTTGCCTCTTCAATCTGTCTCGCTTGTTCTTGATGCACTTGCTTGATCCTCTCCAGACGCTGCCATGCCGACCGCTCGCTACCGTCAACGTCATCGGTTAGAGTCTTGCTCGAAGGATCCACAGCGCTTTCCATTGTCTGTAGCTCTTCGATCCAGCTGCTTTCCTTCTCGCTCAACTGACTAGAACCAATATTAACCATCTTTCGTCGGAGCGCTTCGTAACGTGCATTAATCTGCTCCTGTCGCGCCTTGACTCTCTCCATCCGGTCATCAATCTTCAGGCTTTCGTAATTTGATCCGTCGATTGAGCTGGCTTGACCGTTGTATGTCACATCTTCAATGTTTGCTGCAATTTCCGATGTCCTGTAAATCTGGTCTCGGAACTCTTCCTGCAATCGAGTCGCCCTGTTGAACAAGTCCGAGACTGCGTGCTGCAACTTTGAAGTCTGCGCCGAAAGTGCTCGGTGAACATCCATGAGCAGCGAGAGATTCGCAGGAGATAGCCTGATCTCATCCTGCAGAGTTCCTCGGTGTCGTGCAGGGATATGGATGGATTTGAACAGGTCAAATGAATCATAAAGCTCCTTTGGCGGTTGCCACGCCTCGCGGACTTCTTTGTGGGGCCCAGCAACTGCCATGTACTCGGCAAGTTCTTCCTGAGTAGGTAGTCCGTCTTCTGGCGCATCAAGAAGGGCGGCTTGGGGCTCGCCATTGACACTAGTAAGAAGGAGGTAGCCAACGTTTCCATCCTCGATGACGACTGCTGCTGTGACTTCTTGGTCTGCCACATTGCCAGTAGTGCGTCGTTGCAGGCACTGGTCCACAGAGGTGTTTGCCGACTCCAGTACTCGCTTGAGACGGAAGGCTGAGCCCTGTGTTTGTGACTGGGATAACTCGACCTCGACCTTTCGGATCCAGGGCTCCAATGAGATGTAGAAGACGCCGCTAGCATGCGAAACGAAAAATGAAAAGTCGGTATGTACATCGGGCGTGATGCTCTGGTTGAACGATGATACGTCATCTTTGACCAAAGCAATTGTTTCCACTATAAGCAGCTCATGTTCGTGTCTTTCTGCCACGTCAATCTCATCTTCTGGTGATGGTAGCCAGCGTCCAACGATGCCTTGCAAATCCAAGCATACATGAACCATGCTCGTGTCAGTGAGCAGACATACTACAGCTGTTGGCAAACCCTCGGCTGCTGTCTCTTCATCTTCGCTCTCAGACAGAGTCTTGAGTGAGAAGACAATCATGTCGCTAAGCTCAAAGTCGTCCACCTCAGGTGTCATGGTGAACGGTCCCTGTAGAAGTGGTACCGCAGGAGCGCTTGTCGGACGAGCAAAGACCTTGACTGTATCCCCTTGTTGTCGCTCTTCTATGAAGGGCTCCTCATATAGAATGTCTGACAGCCACGAAACTTGCTTCTCCGCCGTCTTCAGCTCGTCTTTGGGTACTGTCTCGTCTTCAGATGTCTCGGTGTAATTGATGTTGATGGATGAGGTGAGGGTCTCCAGGAATGTGTAGCTGCCGGGCGACTCGACCAATTGCCACTTGCTCGGTAGTAGCGGGCAGAGCGCATACACATCACCAGATACAGTGGCGATCCAGAGCGTCATTGGCGCCCACCCGTGGACACCCTCTTGCTCTGGGAAGTCGCCAAAGCATGCAGATGCAACTTCCAGCTCAACAGAGTCGGGGGAGAAGCCTTTAGAAGCTCCAAACTTGGATGCGCTCAGATCGTCCTGATCACTCGTCGCATTCGCCAGTTTAGGTAGATCAATTGATAGCGCAGGTTCACTGAATGTAGACCTATCCGCACGATTTATCTCCCAGAGCCGCACCACACCCGCCTTTGTGATTGTAACTAAGCAGCGCCCATGATATCCCAAAGGGTGCCATAGCACTGTCGCGACTGAGGACTCTTCGAGAACGTGTACGGTCGGTCCTAGTTGGAAAGTCTTTGGCTTCAAAGGGCCCTCTTCACCGCCTTCAAGCAACGACGGGTCGGGGAGATGGATCACATGGACGGTATGCGATGTCGAGACTGCGAGGTAGTCTTCCTCGGGAGAAATGGTAAGACGCGTAATAGGTAGTGGTATTGAGACTCTGAGGGTTCGGTATGCGGGCTGCGCCTCTTCTTTCAAGTTGACCAGGTCCGCCCAACGGATCTCATTTCCAACCGCAACAAATATCTCTGAACCTCTTGTCGCAATCGTCCTTTGTGATCCTGGTTCCGGTCTTCTCGCTACGACTCCGTTACCGTCCGTGTGTTTCGGCGCAAACAGGTGATAGCCTGGATTCGGGCGGCTGAGCCAGTCTGGGGTGTAGCCAAGAATTTTGGGCATGGCGAAGACTATCCCTGTAAGGCCGAAAAGTTTGGATGTCCACCGATGATAGTGGTGTGAATTTGATTGTTTGGAGGTTGGGGAATCTATGAACAAACATAAGTTCCAGCTTTGAGAGAGCGCGCCAAGGCCGACGCGTCTGGGGCAGCTGCAAGCTAGCTCTCAACCTTGGATCTCGATAATCACTCCAACACCAAACTTTGTAATAGCGCTTGAGAGGCCTGAATACGGTCGCATCTAGAACACATTCCTTCACGTGTGGAACAAATCGTTATCATGCCTGCGCTTCGAAGTACAATCGACCGCCTCGACAAACCAAGCTCATATGCGACAGCAAAGGTACTTATACTCCTTGCGCTCCAACCCGTATCGCATATACTAACAACTCTCAGAAGCGCAGACGCGACCGTAACACACGCGACGAAGAGCGCGCCCGCTCACCCTCGCCTGAAGACAAACTCAAAGATGCAACCACACTCTACGTAGGCAATCTCTCCTTCTACACCACCGAAGAGCAGATCCATGAGCTTTTCTCAAAATGTGGCGAGATCAAGCGACTAGTAATGGGCCTCGATCGTTTCCAAAAGACGCCCTGCGGATTCTGCTTTGTCGAGTACTACACACATCAGGATGCGCTCGACTGCATGAAGTACATTGGTGGTACCAAGTTGGATGAGCGCGTCATCAGGACAGATCTGGACGAAGGTTTTACCGAGGGACGGCAGTATGGCCGTGGAAAGAGTGGTGGACAGGTGCGCGATGAGTACCGAGCTGAGTACGACCCTGGACGTGGTGGCTACGGAAGGGCGGTGGACGAATACCATGAGGCGCAGTAGAGCAGTATTGAGGATTTGGAGATTGCGCAGCAGCATGTTATTGGCGACGGGAAGCAATCCGGAGACGCGAGCTCGACATGAAGGGCTTCTAATAGCGACCACGGCAGAAATGATGAGAAAGCGGTCTCGGCTTAGAATCTTGAGATGCTACAGCGCAAAAGACATACGGTTCAATTCGCTGAGCCTCGGAACGGAGATAACGAGCAGGATCTTCGGTCCAAGGAATGAACTTGCACATTCTACTTTGACGGAGTTTGACGCATGTCACTGGAGGAACTGGCCATCCATCATTCGACATCAATGATTAGTTTTTGTATTTCTAAACATGCATATGAGAGCAAGGGAACCAAATATCAGATACCTTTTGAAATTTACTGCCATCTTTAAAACGCCTGCCGCTCGGGCGATTTCTAGTCATACGGTCTACAAATACAAGTCTTGGGTACTGTTTCATAAGATGCGTAGCTCACTTTGTCCGGTCCGCCAATTCGAACTGCTCTCTTCTTTCTATCGCCTTGAGAACTTCACCCAACCACCACACATGTATACGCGAGTCGTCCGTCAGCTCTGGGTGGAAACTACATCCAAAGACATTGCCCTGACGAACGGCGATTATGTCCTCTGCACCCGCATGATTGTGTTCCTGGTTGTCTTGCAGTGGCTTCGCATTCGTGGATAATGTGGCCATGATTTCAACTTCGCGATCCAGTTCCTTTCTTGCCAGATCATCGACTGGTGTCTTACTTGGCGCAACGACAGTATCCTCCCTCTCACTCTCGTCCTTCTGGACGCCAACCGCTTTGGAGGTGGGCAGCACCTTTTCGACTACAGGTGCGCGTATAAAGACACATCGATACGGATCGCTCTTGCCAGTGTCGCTTGTGGCGTCCAGGAACGGCAGGTTGAGATTGGCTTGGAAACTTTCTTGTTGCCTCCCAAAATGATTCCTGTTCACCCTCACATCCAGACCTCCGATCAATTCTTGTCCGCCCTTCTTTGTCCGGTTCGCGCTTTCTGCAAGCAATATGAGACCGGCGCATGTACCCCACGTCGGTTTGCGCTGGACTTTGACAAAGTCGCGCAGGGGCTCAAGGAGGTTGCTTCGTGCAGCTACCAGGGACATGGTTGTGCTCTCGCCACCAGGAATGATGAGGCCATCGCATTGTTCGAGTTGCTCAGGAGTGCGCACTTGGATGAATTGGAATGGTGGTGCGGAGGCGATATTCGAAGCCGCGGAGCGCAAGAGTTGGATGTGTTCGCTGAAAGCGCCTTGCAGGGCAAGCACGCCAACCGTGACTTTCTGTTCGCTATTCGTAACCGTCATGTTGAATCTTTGAGACACCGATCAACTCCGTAACCAGAGAAAACAAAGGAAAGAAAGTATGTCTACGAGATTACGGCATGGAATGACATGGGAGTCACACAGACGGAAATTGACAGGAAATGCGACAAAACCTTTATCGATAAACCCCAAGTGTTCCCCACTAAAAGCCGCAGTCTAGGCATGTCACCCATCTCATATCAGCCCTAGCCGGATCGCTTCTCCGATCATCATTTTCTGGATCATCGACTTCGACTCTCGGGAACCCCGCTGATGCCGTGAAGGAACAGTCATGGTATAGAAACTCCGAACATGACGCATTAGTAAATCTCGAAGCCATTGCGTCGGGCGCCGAAAAGCTCATATAAGCCGAAGAGCCCGCCAAGTGGGGTCCGCAGCTCGGAATTGTCCCGTCCATCCAGACTACTATATCGGTTGCTCTACTATTTGTCTTGTCACCACCCAGTATTGCTTCATCTGAAGCACAATGGTCGACCAAGACGACAACGGAGCAGCAGGGAGCAGTTTCACTTGCTGGCTCCTGGATACTCGGTCAATATGGCCCGGCACCAAGATTACGGACTCCGAAGCTGTTGGTCTACATCTCCCCGGCTTCCACTGACACAGAATTAATTGTTATCCTAGGCCCGAGAAGCACTTTCACTAGTCAGCCTTGAGGAGCGTGAGAACATTACGCGGAAGTACCACATAGCTGATGCTCGCATGAGCCTCGGCTCGGCACTGCTCAAGCGTCTGTTCGTCCACAGGATGCTGGGGATCCCATGGAAAGACATCAGGTTCGGCCGGAAACGGGATCCCAAGCATGGAAAGCCCATTGCGCTGTTGCCGCCGCCACAGCATGGTCCGGCACCTCTTGAGTTCAACATCTCACACCAAGCAGGCCTTGTGGCATTGGTTGGGTGCAAGACAGACGAGCTGGATGCAGAGGTAGGCGTAGATATCGTCTGTGTCAACGAAAGAGACGAATACCGCGTTATCGACAAGGAAGGATTCGACGGCTGGATAGACATGTACGCCGAAATCTACAGCCAAGAGGAATTGTTTGATCTCAAGTACAACGTCGATTCTTTTCCTCTCCTCGATGGCACAATGGTCACGCAAGAGATAATTGGTCGCCACGACCGATGTTGTGCACGGCACAAGCAACTCAGCATCACGCTCCCGAATGGAGAGAAGCGGGTATTTGATTCAGAACTGCTGATTGATGCAAAGTTGCGCCGCTTCTACACGTTTTGGTGTTACAAAGAGGCTTACATCAAGCTTGACGGCGAAGCTCTCCTCGCACAGTGGATCCCCCGGCTGGAATTTAAGAACGTGCGTGCGCCCCGGGCTGGGACTCCAGCGCGCTGTAGCACGCATGGGACATGGGGCGAACGCATCAGCGACGCAGAGGTTTGGTTCACGATGAAGGCCGATGGCAAAGGGCCTGCAGGTGTAAAGGGTATGAAGAGGGATGAGAGTAAGAGGTTGGACGATACGCGAGTGGAGATTCAGGCTTTTGACGAAAAGTTCATGATTGGGGTTGCGGCAAAGGAGAGGACAGATGCTGTGGTTGATGGAAATAGGCAGAAGTTGCCAGAGGTGCTTACGCAGTTCCAGGCGTTGCATCTGGACGAGGATATTATGAGCGTTGCAAGGGTTGCATGATTCGATAGACTTGATGATGGGAATAGATGTTGCTATTAGTTGCAGTATGCATCCACATATGAATCTAGTGTTTCCGGCGCAAGAAAGGATTGTAATGCTGGTAGTTCAGAGAAGTTGGCGTCATATTGACAACCCTAGCTCATGGCTACGTCAATCCTCGGATTGACGAGTCCATAACGACCCCGCAGCATTCAAACACAGCAATCTCTTTTCTCTGCACTTCTAATACAACTGCAACCAACCCAATTGAGTTTTAAAAAAAAGAACAAAATGTCTTCCAACAGCCTCAACTACCCCCTCCTCGCCATCCCGGCCTACTACGTCTTCTCCCTCATACCCCACGGCTACGCAGGCAGCCTGCTCTCCTCGAATGGCTACAAAGTCAACAATGCGAATCCCAAGGCCTCTCTATCCCCAGACGCTGTAAAAGGGAAAGTGCCAGATGCAGTGTACGTCCTTACCTTCCCTTCAACTCCAAATACTTTATATCAATTTACATATGAGCATGAGACAAGAAGCTGACTTCAGATAAAACAGTTTCCAAAAATACCAACGCGCTGAAAACGCTCAATCAAACAACATGGAGCAACTACCACTTTTCGCCGCAGCAGTGCTCGCGAGTATTCTTGCTGAGCGCACAACGGCCGTGGGGCTGGGACGGGAAGTAGTGTCTGGTGACGCAACGGGCCTGACGACGTTTGTGGCGGCGTGGTTTGCGGTTAGGACAGCGTACGTGGTGTCGTATGTGCAGATTGCGGATCACGCAACGAGTTTTGTGAGGAGTAGCTTTTGGGCGGTTGGAAGTGGGTTGGCAGGGTATCAGATTTATAAGGCAGCGGCATTGTTGGGGTAAGGGGTTTGCTTGAATTCGTGTACAAAATAATTGTATAGAGTGTGGTGGGAATTATTCAAGATGAGGTATCAATGCTCTCGTCTGTGTATGTTGACGCTCGCTCTTGTATGGTGTTCCATAAGGACTTCTCTACCATGTCGCTGTTGAAGAACCTTGCTGCATCTTCGTGCGACCAAGACACTTTGATCGATGGCGGGATGTAGTTGATGAAGCGCGTCTTCATCTGATCCATGTACTTGCGTTGGATAGACTCCTGATCATGTCCCGTCCACATGTTAGAACGAGGCGCGGTACCGAACGTGATGGTGAGCCGCTCAAGGCCTGTAAATGTATCAAATATGTACTTTAGGGCAAATGGAGGCGGTATAGGCCCTGTACGAAGACTTTCCTGAACCGTGAAACCGTTTATGCGTACGGAAAGCTGCTTGATCAGGGGAAATATGTTAGGATCCATACTCTCTATTATGTGGCGGAGATATGTGGTGTTGTCTTCGTATAAGGACGCGTTTTCCAGTTTGAAAACGATTGCAACCAGGAAATTCACATTCTCATAGTAATGTTTCCGCACTTCACTGTGCATTTGCTTGTTGGCGCGCATGAGAGCAAGGCGTCGGCCATTACTTTTGCGACACCAGGGCGGGAAAATACCGCGAGGGTGCTCCGGCAGAACGTACGAGTACACTTGCAGGCGGAGCTCAGCTGGAAGTTGCAAAAAGGGAAAAGGCGCGACTGTGCCATGTCAGTACAGGCACGTAGTTGCTCTCTCGACGGAACCCTCAGCTTGCCTTGAGCCTCGAGCCTGGCGACGACGCCGGCAAGATCAGTTCCGCATAGGCGATCAATATCTGGCAGCATAGGACGGAAGTCGGAGAAGGTGGGGTCTGCGCCCTTTTTGAAGTCTGAGGTGCGGTGCATATTTACATAGGGCCGGCCATGGGACATGGCCTTGATTGCTTCGGCCAAGACTTTGGGGATGAGGTCTGGTCGCGAGACAGTCTTCAACATGAGAAAAAACTCCTCTGAGCCGTCGACGTAGACGGCAACATGAGGAGGCTGCATGCTCACTGCATCATCGATGCTGGTGAAATCCAGCTCCCTGCTGTGGCCGTTACATATGCCAGCTAGGGCCTTGTCCAGGGCCTGGAGTTTGGGCTTCAGGTCCACTGCATCGGCGAGAGAGAAATGGTGGTCCTGTCGCCCTGCAGCGGCCATGCTGTGGTACTGACGAGGGATCGAGGACGATCGCCGTGGGGGCACATACAGGTCAGCCAGCGTATAGATTGCCATGGCGATGGTTTGAGGGTGCAATGGCGGTGCTTTTCGGAGATGATCAAGGATGCAGATGGACTCATGGGTGCCCCACGTGTTGGGAAGCGACAGGGGGGCCGGAATGAGTGATGTAACAGGCGGGTCGCGGGCTTATGTCGCGGCAGGCACATGCCAGACATGCTTCAACTTAATGCACACGCGCACGCACATGCCATGACCTGACCTCTCTCCATTACTTACTTACTCGTTTCTATTCTTCGTTTTTTTATCTCGTTTCTGCTTTTCTCACCGCCATTACCTCGCTTCCACGCTGCATCCACGCATTGCTCTTCGCGTGCTTTGTCGCCCACCCCGCCTGAAGCCTGTCTTTCCCCAAGCTGCACCACACCGCGCCCAATCCTGGCTCAGGAAACTCCGTTCCGTAGGCGGGAGCAGTCCGCCAGTCGACAGGATGTCTGCCCCCGATAACAAGCAGGGCTTCCTCTCAAATCTCTCGCCGTGGTCCTCTCGTGCGGGCACCCCCAAGCCTCCATCGACGCCCAAGCCCGATGCAGGTGTGGAGAAAGTGAAGATGGTGGAACAAGAGAAGGAGAAGGAGCGTATTGCGACTGGGCTCGCTCCCCAGCAAGGAGGCGACCATATCATCGATCGCAGGCACCGGCTGAGCCTCAAGCGCTATCCTCAGGACTGCCCTCCGCTGGCCGTGAGATGGTTTCATGCCATAGACGTAAGTACACCGATGTACTGAGAGTCTTGCGCAGGCGTCTCGGAGGAGTCGTTCTGTGTCTTCTTCCACTGACAACCGCAGACTCCGAAAAGAAAACCCCTCTCCAAGCACGCTATGGCACCCGATACTGCCCTACCCAAGCCCAAGAAATGGATACCCTTTAGTGCCAGCGACTCGCGCGCTATCGAGACAGCATTCCAGAAGACAGCCGACGAGGCGGATATGGACGAGTTGCGAAAAGGAATTGGAAGCCCTTCGACGCCCATCCAGCCAAATCCCGTGGCACCCAAGACCACAAAGGTCCCTGTCAACGAGGACTATCTGTTCGATGTTGAGATAGAAACACGCGAGTTGGCGCCAGCATACTGGCTGGGTCCGGTATACGATGTTAAGCGAGGAACGTGGTTTACACCAGATGGCGAGGCTATTGACGAGGGTCTGGCTATGCAGCTCGAGGAAGGTTATCTAAAAGTCAAGCCGTGGAAGTTTGGCAAACCAGAAGAAAAGCGAGCAGTTTCTCAGCCTCGTGCAAGGCCGCTGTCCATGGGACCGCTGGCTGGTGAAGACCACCGAAAAGAGCTGGGTCGGTTGAACCGTGACTCGACATCGAATCCTGTAACACCAAAGTCTTCATACGATAGTCTGAAAAAGGAAGCTGAAAGCCAGGCTGAAGATGCAAAGCCAGCAGATTCTGCTACAAATTCAAATACCCCCGCGGACCTGCCTAGGACGCATCGCCTTTTTGGGGCTCATCTGAATTCGACTGTGACCTATCAAGATGAGACAACAGCATGGTTGCTGACGGACGATATGTGGTCACGCATGGGTAGCACTTTGTACCAACGCTTTGCTGGAGGCGCACATTATGCTGGAAACAAATACATTCGTGGGTATACGGACCCGGCAGACAAGAAAAAGCAGCCGGCTCCGGCCAAAGGCCCTCAGAGCGCGAAGCCGAGCGGGCGACCCGAGACCCCGTCCCTGGCATATGGTTCAGATCACGGCAAGCAGTCGGATTCGGACGCTAATACTGACGAAGACACATCGGAAAACGAAAGGAGCATGTCGCCTTCGCAAACGCGCAGACGCAATCTAGAGAGGCAAGTATCCTCGCTGTTGACGTCATCGAAACCCGAATATGAGCAGCAACAAGAAGAGGCAATGCGAAAACGTGAAGAAAAGGAGATGCGCGAGGATTATAAGGCTCAGAACGACAGTGATCAAGGCCGTGAAATCGAGCACCTGCTTCTGGTCACCCATGGTATCGGGCAACGACTTGGCATGCGCATGGAGTCAATTAACTTCATCCATGACGTGAACACTATGCGTAAATCTCTCAAGTCTGTGTATGCAGCTTCACCCGACCTACAGGCTCTCAATGCGGAGGTTGAGTCAACAACCAAGAACAACCGTATCCAGTGCATTCCGATCATTTGGCGACACCTTCTAGATTTCCCAAAACAGAGTCTCAAACATAATCGCAAGGAACACGACTTGGGCGATCTCGATCATGAAGACGAGGAGTACCCTAACCTCGAGGACATTACTGTTGAAGGTGTTCCTGCAGTTCGTAACTTTCTTACAGATCTCGCTCTTGACATTTTACTATACCAAAGCCCCGCATACAAAGGTCATATTTCACGAATCGTTGTCAAGGAGCTCAACCGTGCATACCACCTTTTCAAAGAGCGCAATCCTTCTTTCAAGGGTAAAGTCAGTCTTGTTGGCCACTCACTTGGTTCTGCTATCATGTTTGATGTTTTATGCATGCAAAAAGATCCTAAGGCGAAACCGAGTTCACAATCAGCCAAACAACGGCGATCAACTGAAGAAGGCTTGAAACTGGACTTTGAAGTAGAGGACTTCTATGCCCTTGGATCACCTATTGGCCTTTTCCAGATGCTCAAGGGAAGAACGATTGCCGGAAGACCACAAGCTGCTTCAACCACCTTTGTCCCACCGGTAACACCTGCGATGCCTATTGATGACCCATTTGCGCCAGAGGTTGATGAGCATGCTTTCGACATAACGACTTCGTCGCCACTTTGCAAGCAGGTTTTCAACATTTTTCACCCTACCGACCCCATTAGCTACCGTCTGGAACCTCTGATATCGCCCGCCATGTCCTCTCTGAAAGCGCAACCCCTACCATATACGAAAAAAGGCATTTTCGGAACGCCAGCTGCTCAAGGAATCACTGGCATTGGTCAACGAGTTGGTCAGGGTGTGACAGACTTTTGGACCTCTCTCGGCTCAGGTAAGTTTTGATCTAATTTAGAAGTCGCTATCTTGAGTTCAAATACTGGGAGCTTTAAGCAGTTGCTTAAGCTCATTACCATGTCCTTCTTGATACTAACAAATGTTTCGCAGGTATCGCGAGCGGACTCCTCAACCGAAGTCTAGGTATCTCCGGAAGTGACATGACCGGCGGCGCCCAAGGTCAACGATCCTCTCGTCCTCTGACCGCGACACCCAATTCCGGCAATGCCAACCTCGTCCCAGGCCTCAACGAGCCCACGAGCGCCTTCATCAGCGAAGAACGCCGCCGCCGCCTTGGCCAAGAAACCATTGCTGAGGGTGAAGACGGCGAGCATCCACCCACCCTGATCGAATCAGACATTGAAACCCTCTTTGCCGGCTTCCAGAAACGCAGAAAGAGTCAGCAGACAGACGATGGCGAACACGACATTGAAAAGGATCTCGAGTGGCAAGAGCTTGAGGAAAGAAGCCGCAAGCTGAAAAAGGAGGAACAAAAAGTGCGCCGGTTGAATTCGAACGGGAGGGTGGACTACAGTATCCAGGAGGGTGTAAGTGCTCTGTATCTTTCATTGCTTAGGTATCATGCGTGTTAACATTGAGACAATATAGGCTTTTGACATTTCGCTTCTGGCTAGTATTGCTAGTCACATGACGTACTGGGCGGACGAGGACGTATCGCATTTTATGATTTCGCAGCTGTTGGCTAGGCATCGTGTGTTTAAACCAAAGGAGTAGTTGTGGTGCAGAAAAAATGCCTTTTGAGTTAGATGGTAGATATTGGTGTTATCGTTAGATGGTGGTGGGTTTTTGCCTTTGTCATCAGAATACCCCCCATTTTGTCCATGTCAAGAAATAGATGTATGATTGGCTTGAATCTTTGGTGTCTTGTGTGTGACGTTTGTTTTCCAATCGTCTCAAACAAGTTTGCGTGCATGTCTTCGCCTAACAATTGATTTTTCCTTGGTAAGGAATACCTTATTCCATATGTGCGTTATGATACATTCTGTACAATTTACCCGATACCATGACTTTCCATAACAACAATAAACATCTAATCATAGCAAAAAAAAAAAGAAAACCATTTCTGGGTATCTCGAACTCTGTGCAAACGGTGAATAAAATACAAATAAAATACAATACCTCCCCAAATCATATATCCATAGACAACTCATTCATAGTATTTAATTCCCAGAAAAGAACGGAGAGGAATAGGGAGAGAGAGAAAAACCGATATACAATGGGTAAACGTGAAAATTTCTCATCAAAGATCGGGGTCGTATAGGTCATGTCGTAGGGCTGATACGATATCAACCCCGTCTGAGCAATCGTTGCCATCTCGATCTAGCCGGCTGCTCCGGTTGCTGTGTCGCTTCAGCAGCCGCAGGCGCAGCCTCAGTATCAGGTTGCTGGCTCTCCTCGCCACCGGTCGCAGTCTGAGTTTGCATCTCGACGGCAGGTTGACTCTGCGTCTGCACCCTAGTCTGTCTCTCCCTCGCATGCCGATACGCATCACGGCCGTACAAAAAGTACTGCCAGTTGCGCACCGTAGCCGTTGCTTCGGGCTGCGTTGCCGTCTGCTGCGCTTCAAGATCCGGGGTAGGCGTTGCGATGGTGGTGGAGGGAGTGCCGCCGAGGGCGATTTGCTCTTCCTCCTCATATTTGTCCATTTCCTCTTTGCTCATATACATGGAGCGGCAGATGGGGCAGCTGGTTTTGCGCAGGACGAACCAGGATATGAGACATTCGGCATGGAATTCATGAGAGCAGACGGTGAGTTTGAGGATGGGTTCCGAGTCGGATTGGGGGGTGGAGGTAGGAGGGGTGGCAGTGGCAGTGGTTGGGCTAGTGGATTGGGGTTGATCGGATGAAGGTGCGGGAATGTCGGCATTAGGTGTTTTTGGTGAGAGTTTTGCAGGCTCTGGCGGCGATGGTGGGTAGAGGACTGAGAGACATATGGCACTGATGGGTGTGTCAGAATTCATGTCAATGCTATGCGAAATGATGGGTTGGCATACCACTCTTTTTCAGATATAGACTGGGATTCTCCATCGGGCCTCTCTCGGTTTTCCTCTCCGACATCGCTTGCTTGCGAAGATATCTCAGTGACTTCTTTGAGCTTCTCTCTTGCTTCTTCTCGTCTAAGCGCAGGCTTCTTGACTTTTGTTGTTGGTCGTGTTGTGACAGGAATTTGTGTTCGCCGTCGTTTGCGAATGCAAAAGATGCATAGACTGTCCATTCAGTTAACCCAAACGTCTCATATCTGGGCCGATTGGTGGGAATTGTTTGTTTTACAGTTGCCCACCAAAGACCGTGATTCGCATAGAGATGGGATGGCTATCTAGATTTGGAAATACTTACAAAGGCGCTATGATAGCCACGACAAATACAGGAATCAAGAAGCTAAATGCAGTAGGCGTCATGCCCGAGTTGCCAACGGTCTTTTGCCATTCTCGCGCATGGAGAAAATGCACGTCGTGCTCACTAGAAACTGCTGGCATGGCAAGTTGCGGTCTACTTGGTCTTGGTATCGGATCGGAGAGAAGGCGATGCAGGTGGAGAGGCACGTTGCGGGGAACGCAGGCGACGGAACTGACGCAAGCGGCTAAGACGGCAGGAATGGATTGCGCGTGCAGCTGGTGGCCTCGAGATAGAATACCCTGGCGATAAGTCGTTTGGTTGTGGACCAAGTGCAAAATGCCTTTTTTGTGGTTATTTTCCGCAGCAACCGGCGGGTGACAAGGTGAGTTTGGTTTAGGTTTGGGTGAGCAGGTGGGGGAGGTTCGCAATGGGTTGGTTATGACCTAAGAGACATAGGACCCCGGACTTGATCTTATCCGAGGCTCCACCTGGGGTGTATGACATCTCCATCCACACAGCCTCCAAAGCCACGTCGTACGTTGTCAGCTTCGCCCGCCATTTTCTTAGCCCTGTTCGACAACATAGTATATAAGTGACCGGTCTGCAAGCCACTCGACCGCATAGGGTCGTGTTGGTCGTATTGACCGTGTGGTGGCTACTTTCTTACTGATGGCCAAACTCGGCAACCCGCGCGACTCTGCAGCGGGCGCAGTGGGCTTACATACTACAGTAAATATGCTGGACACTCCTAGCCCGGGAGTTTATTGCCGTGACAGCGCTGCGCCTTGTCATGTCACGTTGATCCTCGAGATAAACATCTGTCAGGTCTTGTTTCGACATGCAGCTGATGCCTCTTATATCAGTCGGCATGTCCAAGACAACTCCGCTCCACTAGCCGCACACCCACCCTTGCCTTGTCTTGGGCTATCAATAATGCGCAGTCTCGGCTGGCTGGGCTGGCTGGGCTGACGTTTGCCAGAAGAAGCCCAAGATGCGATTTGGCCGTTAGCGATCCCTAGGCGCTCAGAGGGCCCACTTCATCGGCCTTGGTTCGGAGTGGAGCGGAAAAGATTGCCAAGTCATCCCACCTGCGTAACCGAGTCCAGAAGACCACCTACGGATCACGGTGAGACGCCTAACCAGCAGCAGCCCACTGCACGGCTACGCAAGGCTTGAGGAAAAGCAATCCCAGCCCAATAAACTAACCCAAGGATATATTGGCATACGGCTAAGCTGATTGATTACCGTGGTTGTCTTTGGAATAAGAGTGTCCACTATATTTACTCTGCCGCTGCTGTGCTGTACTCTATATTGATACGACTGCGGGTTCGTTTGCTCCGTACACTCTCAGTCACAAATGTGTAGCAGTCCAATACTGTTGTTGTTCATAATGTCTTGATTACTATGTACGTGATATAACTAGAAAATCTCATCTGTCCCAGCACAGAGTGCCTAAGGCATCATCATAATCGCATGCTATGCAAACAAATTCAAACTCCCCATTGCAGATTGCCCTCTGTTACAAAACATTCAAAATACAAATAAAGACATAGCATTGGTATCATAGTTCCAAATCGTTCGTTTGCACACCTAAGCAGACGACTTCTTGTCTGCTGCATCCTCATCAGTGCTGATGGCTGTGCTGAGGTATCGCTCAAACACACGCTGCTCCAGATCAATGGAGCCCCTCCTGCCACCACCATTCTTTGCCTCGCGCCTCCTAAAGTATACTCGCTTGCCCCACTTCCACAACTCAATGCCGAGGAAGAAGAAGAATGTGGCAATGAAGACAATGGCCCATTCCCAGCTAATTCCCTTGTGCCTGAACACCTTGTCGTTGATGACGGGAATGTACAGGACAGGGAAGATGGTGACAAACGCAAAAACAATAGAGAAGAAGAGGAACTTGTTGCGCCAGACGTCGAGTGCCCACTGTGTGAAGTACTTGTTCGATCCAGGCTGCATCATAAAGAATGAGCGGCGCATGTCCAACATTTGCCATGCCAGGAAAACCGAGAACCAGGTAAGGCAAGCAAACGTGGTCGCACGAGCGCGGAAAACAGTCTCGCAAGTGGGGTTGTACGTCTCATTGCAGTTGAATCCCAGGTTGCCATCACCAAAACCGAACATAACAAGGGAGAAGGCGCCTAGGCAGAGTGCAGCAATCCAAAGACCGTAGACGAACATATCGCAGATGACCTCGAGGGTGAAAACACCGCGCTTGAGCTATGGCTTGTCAGTAAATGCCTAGGGAATGTCTTGTTCAGTGGCAGGAAACTTACACTTTGTGGAGGTCTGTTGAGGATATCTGGCGCAGCAACTTCGAAACCAAGACCCATGTCGGGAAGTGACGAGGTAATCATAATGATCCACATGACTTCAACGGGAGACACAGGGAAGACAGAAAGTCCACTCTCGTCCTTGAACGCAAGACCAATAAGTAAGACACATGCTTGCGCAATGTTTTGGGCGAGCAAGTGCAGGATAAACTTCTGGATGTTGTCAAACATACGGCGGCCCTCCTCGATAGCGTTGAGAATAGATGCAAAATTGTCGTCAGTCAGAACGATATCAGAGGCGTCTTTGGCAACATCAGATCCTGTACCCATTCCGATACCGACGTCCGAGCGCTTCAGAGATGGAGAGTCGTTGACACCGTCACCAGTCATACCAGTGAAAGCCTTTCGTCGATGGAGTGCGTCAATCATGCGGACCTTGGTGTTGGGGGCGCAACGAGCAATGACAAGTGGGAGAAGCGGAAGAGCGTCGATTTCGTCGTCGGTGAGCTTGTCGAACTGAGATGCAGTCATGACCATGGCGTCTGTGGTTTCCTTGGGAAGAGTTCCCATGTTTGAAGGCACGATACCAACTTCAATAGCAATGGCCCGAGCAGTTCCAGGGTGGTCACCAGTAAGCATGTGAACTTCAATGCCCGCCTTCTGGCACTGACGAACAGAGCCAGCCGTCTCAGGCCTAGGAGGATCATACAAACCGACAAGACCACGGAAGATGAGATCTTGCTCGATGCCCTCACGTTGCAGTTCCTCGCCCTTTTGAGGGGAAGGTCCATCGTATTCCTTGCTTGCAAGAGCCAAGACACGCAGTCCCATGGCAGCGAGTGATTCCATGTTGGCTAAAATCTCCTCGCGGTAGTCATCGTCCAGCTCAACGCCAGCGTCACTCTCATCAGTGAACACGCGTGTGCATGAATAGATGACTCGTTCAACGGCACCCTTGGTGAAGACATATTTTTTGTTAGTAGCAGTTTCTTCGAAGATCACAGACATCTTCTTAACGTCAGAGTCGAAGGGGAATTCAGCGAGTTGCTTCCAGGCAGGTGTGTCACCACCAGTGTGTTCGAGACGGTTCCATTTGAAGCGAGATGCGAATACCTGGATAGCGATTTCCGTGGGGTCACCTCGTGCGTTCCATTGGCCTTCATCAGTCTGGTGAACGTGGGCCAGATTAGCGAGTGATGCAACCTTAAGATAGTCTACAAAATGCGGGTTGTCTTGGAGAAGCTCCTCCCAGGTCGAATTCTTTTCGTCCATGTCAGCGTCAATGTGTCGGGGTTGCTTGGGGTTGAAAGACAGAGCTCCGGCAGTGGGGTTGTGCGGCTCGTCAGACTGTCCAACAGAATAAGTGCCCTTGGCAGGGATCCAAGCCTTCTTCGCAACCATCTTTCCTTGTGTGAGGGTACCCGTCTTGTCGGAACAAATGTCGGTAACACCACCAAGGGCCTCGAGAGACTTCAAGTTGCGCACAATAACGTGACGCTGCACCATGCGCTTTGTACCGGCAGCCATGGTGATGGTCAGAACGACTGTGAGAGAAGCTGGGATCATAGAGAGACCAGTAGCAACCGCATAGATGATAACCTCGCTGTTGTTCGAGAATTCGTTGGCGGCGAGCACAATGATAGCGCAGACGACCGCAACGCCAAACAAGAGAATAGCAAGGCGAGCGAGTTTCTTTTGCAGCGGAGTACCGACGTTAACACCAAGGAAGTGGCCAACCATATCAGCAAGAGTCAAGGACCATGCCTGGGCATAGCGATGCGGCTTGGCCTTTCCATTGGGCTTGCGCTTGACCTCTCGGACGCGTGAACCCTTCTGCCGGAGGGACATGGCAATAGATCCAATCTCAGTATGCATGCCAGTAGCGAAAACAACACCGCGAGCACGTCCCTTGGTGACAGTCGAGGAACTGTAGGCAATGTTAAGACGGTCGCCAGGGCCAGTATCCTCGTCAAAGACGGCGTCGCCATCCTTGGATACAGGAAGTGATTCTCCGGTAAGTAGGGCCTCGTCGGTCTCGAAGTTCAAAGCCTCGATGATGCTGTGTGCATGTCAGTGGTGTGTGACCCAAAATTGAGTTTAGCGTGGCAATGACGTACCGAATATCCGCTGGAACAGTGTCACCCGTCTTCAGCTCAATAAGATCACCAGGGACTACCTCGATAGTGGGGATCGTAACCGTTTTTCCGTCTCGGGCAGCGGTGGCAGTAGGCGAAGACAAGGATCGGAGCGAGTCCATTGTCTTTTCAGCATTGTACTCTTGCACAAAACCGATCACAACGTTGAGCAGAATGATGGCAGTTACTACACCACCCTCGATCCATGATTTGATAGCAAATGAGACAGCCATGGCTGCGATTAGAATCTGTGTTGGGTTAGTTTTCACTGTCTCTGGTTCGCAGTGACGGCAATTGACCTACCAGCGTCATAGCGTTGGCAACCTGTCTTAGTAGAATTTTGGCTGGCGATACTCCTCCATCGTCGCCGAGATCGTTGTTGCCATACTTTTCATGTCGAGACTTTGCTTCGGCAGTGGTAAGTCCGTCTTCAGCATTGCACTTGACCTCATCAACCACCTGCTTCCAGGTAAGGGCGTGGGCGGGCTTGGAGAGGGGGTCGTTAGCTTGGCCAGACTTGTGGCCCTCGAGGGAGGGTTGCTTCTTGCCCATTATGAGTGCTTCTGGGTGCTAAGAAGAAAAGTGAAGAGTCAAGCATTCCCGCTGCGGGGGCTCTGCTACCTTTAAGCACCCATGGGGAGAAATGCAAGCGGCACACACATGGCGAAAGCCAAGAACCGTGCGATATCGACACCTTGGCATGGTTGGAGATAGCTTGGGGCCGGTGCAAGGACGTCACCTTCGGGGTCGGCAGTGTCCAACAATGTGCGGCACGTCTGCATGCATTCACCTGCGTACATTACATATGCATTAGAGCCGCCTCACCATGGCACCCACCATCTTGAGGTGCGTGTGGCCATGGATACTACGCCCAATACGCCTGAGCACAATCCGGCTTTGGTGTCCTGGATGTGAGATTTTGTCGAGTATGACGACAGCGGGGTTGGTGACGAGCGTTCACCGGTGGGGAGGGGGAGGGTGAATGGAGTGGCGCGCAAACTGGGGCGAGCCAAGCTTCCCGCTCGCTTCCTGTCCGCCGAGCCAAAACTAAACTCTCGGCGTGCCCGCAGACGGTGCCGAGATCCGCTCCAGAACCACACTTACGCCACAGAGCCAACGTCATATGGGCCGGCTTCCAAGCCTACCAAACGGCAGAGCCTGCTAGTAGCATTCACCCAACCTCTCGGCCAAGAGTTGGATGCATTGAATTCTGCGCTAAGGTCAGTTCGAAGAGAAGCAGCTGATGGCGCGTCACTGCTCTTATCCAACGGTGAAGCTTGTCATCGACTTGTCGGGCGGGTTCTGTCTAGGGTATCCGCCAGGTCTGGCTCCAAGGCGGCCTCTTGATTTCCTTCCTGCCACTCTCATACACACAGTGGCTTGACTTGCGGTGCCAAGGGTGCATTGATAGTCACGGGACTCAACAACTACTAGATAGCCCCACCCACGGCCTTATGGCAAGGTCCTTTCTACTCCGCACCTTCCATTTCGATTACGGAATACTCTAGACACTTACCAAGATAACGCGTGTGGGATTCAAGAGATGAACCATCACCTCAGGCAAAATTCTACTATGTTCTATACGTGTTGTACTGTAGAACAACGTACGAATTGCAACCAAGTTTGGATTACTGCTCGACAACACCATCTCGCTAAGAAATTGCATGAGGGTACCCACCAGACTATCTCAGCTCCAACCAAGTCTGGGCAAGCACGCAAGAGATGGGGCCATAGTATCCGACACCTTGGCATACCTTAGGCACTACCCTGGTGGCATCTGTATGGAACTTAAAAAAACATTCCGTCGGTGCGGTTTTCGGTGAATCGTACCATGTTTTGACCGAGCATCGCAAAATCCTTACCATCTTCCGTATCCGTCTAAGCCTGTTAGCATCATACCTGCATTTGACCCTTGTTCGGAGTCTGCCTCGTCCTGTGCTTACTATCTCCGGCGTTTTTGTGAATTCCATGGCTGAAAGATAGTTTGCACAGTAAGTTTCGATGCGGGCAAAGTCAACATATCTCCGGCCAAAGCCATGTGTCTCCCCATCACATATCAGCACGATTCGCGGACAGGTCTACTCTACTACAAGAACACGTGATACGCTTCAATTTTTGGTCTAATTCCTTTCTTCCTTATCTGTTTTATCTTTATTGGCTGATAGTAAGAATGAAAACATTTCCTGACAACAGCACAATAACGATTGTGTTGAAAATATGTTTGTTGTGAGGACATGGTCTAAAATGCTCCCACACACCAAAGAAATCCTCATATTGTTCAGCCAAAGTGCGGCATAATTTTTCTTGGTGAAGTAAAAATATATCGTTGTGCCAGTAATAGTGAGGATTGCACTTTTGCGAACAGCCCGCAGCAGGTGGCAGGTAGCGTTCTACACAAGCATGTGTATGTATAGCAGTACTTATCCGAACTCATCACTCCTGAAACGACAACAATCTACTACACCTGAGTTAATCGAGTAAAATCTAGGTCAAAATAGTAATAACTTCAAGACTTCGTACAGGTGATAGCACAGTCATATTCCCTCGATACCCTTTCCGGCTTAGTGCACAGTTTTTCCGGGCAGATCCGGCTATTCTCACAGCTCTTATCCGACTTGCCTTGAAGCTCCTGATTCCGCCTTTTAAACGTTCGGAAACGTCTGGTAACCAAGCCTTTCTGACATTTCGAACTATGGAGGACATTAGCCCACATCAGGGGTGCTCCCCTGGCAACAGTTCGAGGCATGGGTCGTTCACAGCGACAGCCATACCGAACAATGCAGGCTCGGGCGACCGCAAAATGGCGACCGAAAAAAGGAGAAGAGAAGATAAAGAAAGGAGTAGGGTCAGTAGGGCTTGTGACCGATGTAAGAAGTGAGCTTGAAGATAACCAGCGTGCACGTGACGTGCTTTATACTACACACTAACATTCCATACAGGAAAAAAGTAAGGTGCACAGGAAGATGCCCGTGCGCGTTATGTCTAAAGTCAGGCCTACCTTGTGAATTCACTGCATCGTATACGCGAGGAAGGCTTCCATCAGTAATCGTCGATGAGGCTGCGATGTCCTTGGACCCACAAACCCAAGTGGTCAGAAAGATCTCAACATCCGAGCCATCTCCAGCAGGAGAACCAACCGCTTCGGCGATACAATATCCACGAATATACCCAAGTCCCTCTTCTCCCATAGAGGCACCAGCCTTTGCCCATACCAACAATGCTAATGCCAGCACTCTCACTATGACTACCGAGTATACCAACCGTTCTTCTACCAGAGATTCCCCTGTACCACAAGGGGGGCAAAGAGACCAAGAAGGCCACTATGTTGGCTCTTCAAGTGCCGTATCCTTTCTTATCCGCATCCAGAGGCGTCTTCATCAAAGCTCTTCACTCTCTCATGACTCGACAATATTTACATTTGGAGATGCTCCGCTGCCAGAATTTGACCAATCTCTGTTCTTCCTCCCACCCAAGTCCGACGCACAAAGACTCGTAGAACGGTATTTTGACTATGCTGCTCCCACCCACCGGTTTCTGCATCGGCCAAGTATCGAGAAATTGCTAGATGAGTTTTACGATACACTTGGCGAGATAAGAGGTAGAGAGGATGGCAAGGCAAAGGCGGCGCTCCTAATGGTAGTCTTTGCACAAGCACAAGCCTATATGCCTCCCGGTAGTACTATACAAGAGAATAGGTAAGATCCATCCAAGTTCTCATTTTGATGCCGAACTGATGACGCTTAGTGCCCGCTATTTCTTTGCATCTGAACACCAGCTATCGAAAGAACGTGGTGCTGTCAGACTGGCAAGTGTACAAGCACGGCTATTGCAGTGCTTCTACCTTCTGACACAATCACGAATAAACCACTGCTGGAGCCTTTTCGGTACGCTCTCACATTTGATGCTTGCCATCGGTTTGAATCGCGGCAGGAAATGCGACCCTACAACCAGCGACTATGTGGAGCTTGAAAGTCGAAGACGAGTCTTTTGGTGCGCATACTCTCTTGATAAGTACCTCGCTGCTGCTCTCGGTCGCCCACGGACTTTCAAAGATGAAGACATCGACCAGGTAGGCACTGTCCTTATCAAGGATATTCCACTTTACTAATGTTGATATCAAGGAACTTCCAACCATCGTCAATGATAATGATCTTCTTCAGTCATATATTAGGCCGACCCCTCCACACGCCCATTCCATAATGACTGCCCCGGTCGAGCACATAAAGCTAACTCGAATCGTATCCCTTGTTCTCCGAGACCTCTATTCCATTAGACCTCCAAGCCTAGGTAGGCGCATTGAACTTTCAGCGAAATACACCGCAGATCTGCATGCATGGCGTAATTCGCTATCCGGGTTCCTAGCGGGCTCCAGTCCACAAGGAGGCATAGAAAGCCAATCGTTAATCCCGATATTCCAACGCCAGCGCTCAGTATTGAACCTAGCATATCACCATGCGATTCTACTCATCCATCGCCCCTTCTTACTAAGAGACTTTGCAAGCCTAACACACATGCCCACGCACCCAAACTGGGGCACCAATCCAAACAAAACATACGACACAACCCCCAACATAATTGCGTGCCTCGAAGCCGCCATGGCGATTACCCGTGTCGTAAACGACGTTTTCACATCATCCAATCTCTTCCGCTCCTTCTGGTTCACACAATACTATGCCTTCTGTGCCGTCGTCGTCTTGTACATCCATCGCATCCAGCAGGGTCTCGGCGTCAAGAACAACGTCCAAAGCGAGGGCTACTACGAAAAGGGTGTTGCATGCCAGAAACAGCTAGAAACGGTGAGAGACACAGATTGTCTTGCGCGAAGGTACTGTCTCGTGTTGGAGGAACTGAGAGTTGAGGCTGAAAGGCAATCCACGAGGCTGTTGAGTCCGGTGGAAGCGGCGGGTGCGCAGGGGACGGATGAGGTACGTTTTTGAACAAAAACTCAAATGCAACCCTTTTTGTTCTTTCCAAAGATGGAATATAGTTTGCTAATCTTACACAGGTCCCCTCATCATCTACAAATCTCGACACCGAACGTCCCACTCTTCTTCCTCAGCCCATGCCCCAGCCTGACGCCGCGAATCAATCTTCTATACCGGGTCTCCAGGATACCCTGTACAACCCTCCTGTTTTCGGACCTGATCTGTTCGACTGGTCTGATCTGGCTAGTTGGGGCCAGTTTGAGGGTCTCGTTACGGCAGGAAATGGTATGTATGATCCGGGTATGCTAGGAGATGAGGGTGAATTTCAGTTTGATTTTAATACTGGGGGGTAAAATTCGACCATATCTTCTTCCTCTCCTTTGGACTTTGCATTTTGAAGAAAAGAATTAAGGGCACGATCCCGTAAGAATGCTGTCGAGGGAAATGTAATGTTTTGCTTTAATGAGAAGTGGAAAAGGGCGAGTTGGATACAAAATGATTTTTTTTTACTAACTACTCATAATACATTGTTTTACAAAAATACACACCGGGGGTATCTATCTACATAAGATTTTTGAACCAGGTCAAGTTTCCATGAGCAAGAATCCGTTTCCCACCACCCCTACCACCGTACTTCATCTACTCCTCAAAACCCTCCCCACCCTTCCCATCCGAAACCTTCACCTTCCGAATCTTAGCACGCCCTTTAGATCCACCAGGCGCTTCCTGGTCTGATTCCAACCCAACATAATAAACCAATCTCGGCGCTCCCTTTCCAAGAGAAACAACGCTCTCGCCCTCATCCTTCGCTACATGCTTGCGCAACCTCATCTCCGCCTCTTTTCTATTCGCCTCAACCTGCGAACTTTCTGTCCCCACTTTCCTAAAGAACTTAGCAGCTTCCGAACTACTGGTCCGCAATTCTCTAATTCTAGTTGCTAAATCCGGGCTAGAAAGGAGTTTGGGGTTTTCTTTGCGTAGACGTAGGATTTCGGGGGCACCCTTGAGGGGCTCGCCGGCTTTGATGGCGGCGTCGAGGGCGAATTGGAGATCGGATTCGTAGGATTCTGCCGAGTCCATCATTTCATGGATTGTGACCCAATTGCGGAAGCGGAGGTCGTCTAGCGGTATGCCGGTTGGGCTCAGGGCTGTACGGATGGGGGAGCCGTCTGCGGGCGGCGGGGGCGGGGGCTGATGGGGGTCGGTTGTAAAGTTGTCGTAAATTTGCCGTAGGTCTTCTCCGGTACCGAGAGAGGGGTACCCGGGGTCAATGTGCATATAGAAAGGGGTTGTGCGGAGATCGAGTGGTTGACCGGACATTACGGCTGCTTCGATGTTGCTCATTTGGGTCTTGAGGAGTGAGAGTTCGGATTGCAGCTGCTCAAGAGTCATGGATTGGTATGAGCCTAGGCTGGTAGATGAGAGTTCTGGCAGATCGATTTGCTGGATAATGACACGTTCGATCCTCTCTGTAATAGCATGTGGAAGCTTCAACAGCTGGCCTCGGAAGTAGTCTGTATGGTCAGCTCTTCGGCAGGCCTTGGTGAAGGTAATCCAATCTTCAAAGGGTATTATCACACTGTTCTTTTCCGCAGTTGAGACGATTTTCTGCCAATATTCTTCGATCAGATCCTTGTTCTTAAGCAGGCCAGCAGATGTGACGACAGTGCGAGTCCCGATTGCCACAAGTTCAAGACCGGCTGCTTGAACGTCTTCCAGGGTAGTGGTGAGTAGGTTTGGTACGCGTAGCTTGCCAGATATTGAGATGAGAGCTTCAAATGGCTGGATCTGAGGAGACATACCAGCCCGAATAAGGTTTGATACAATCTCGTGGGCAGTTACCACCAAGATGTTGCGCATTTCTGCTGCTTCTCCAGCATAATCCTCGCCAACCGTAGGTTCAGGCAATATTAACTCAAAAGAGCGGAGAAATGAGCCGACATGGATACCTTGAAGCTGTCCACCGGCCTCAAGATAGCCATATATAGCGTTTGCAATGGCCCGAAGGAGCATCACGCTATCAGCCATGGAACGAGACGCACCCATAGCAGCGCGCAGTTTTGTGAGGAGAGCAGTAACATGGGTCGGTCTCAGGCATATGCCAGCACGACAAGCTAGCATGAATGCTGTGTACGCCTCGTTGACGGGCCTCTCAGTCATGAATAACTCAAAATAGCGCGGAGGGGTCTGTGTGGGGAAAATGCGCAGTGCAGTGTCCAAGGCTAGGTACGCCCTTTTCCAGTCGCGAGCCAGTATTCGTGCAGTGAGGATGCCTTGCAGCAGAATAGTGGGAATGCCGGCAATGGTAGTGAGTTGGGTCCTGTCGGGAATGACTGCGTCTGGTGACAGATGGTACTCTGCGAATGTACCAGGGAAGCGCTTCAGTCCATCAGCGTACAATTCCTCTAAGTCTGGCAGTCTCATGATACCGCCATATGCCATGAGCTCAATAGCAGCACCGTAAGCGGCCTGCGACACATAGCGCTCGTCTTGCTGGACTAGCCATTGCCAGAGCGTGTACCCCTCATCCCAGCGCGCGCAGTCCTTATATATGCCGAAAAGGTGGACGAAGGCATAATGATGCGGCTGAAGAACGCCTCTTCGAATGTCGCCAACTACTTGCTGAACGAAGGGAAAGAGATCGGATCGCTTGCTGGGAACATATTCGTTCCGTATGCGCACGTGCAGGGCTTGTGTAATGCGGCGAGTATCATAGCTGTCGAGGAGATCTGCTGCAATGAGTGCCGGGTAGAGTTCCATGATCAACTCGACGTTGCGGGCTTCACAGGCATTCCGGAACTGGTTGACTAGGCGGGCAGTCTAGATAAAATCGTCAATATGTGTGCCGGTCCAAGAAGTCGGTACAACTCACTTTTGCTTCAGCTTCGGTGGATGGTGGGTTCCTAGGCATTCGCTTTCCTTTTTCGGTCGTAACTTTTCGTGGAGTGCTTTTGGCTTGCTTCGCCGTCGCATACGTCGCCCTCTGAAGGCGGGCAAAGTGCGGGCATGGTGAGGTTGTTGCGATGGCGGCGGCAGGAATTGCGGTACGCAGGAGACGAGGAGCAAGGAACGGCGCAGATGGGCAGACGAGAGACGCCAGCGACGTTCTCGATATTTTGTGCATGTCGGTTGAGTGTCAGCAGGACAATGATACGGACAGTGAATGTCGACGATGCGCCCGCCGACATGTCAAAAGTTCAGACTGCACGCTAAGCCCAGGGCCCACGACCTCCGTGATTGGCCGCTTCTCCGCAAGCAGACACCTATCTTACCAAAACCCCCCATCCGCCAGCTACTACTTGTCCCCATTACCGCCCGACACGACCAAACACACAGAAACCTCTCTCACTATGTCGCGCCCTCTCTCCCTCTTCAGTGTCCAGGCGATTCTGGTGCTCGCAATCGACGATGGCTCCCGCATCTTGACAAAGTACTATTCTAACCCGCACCCGCCGACCGGCCAACAGAGCGACTACCCCGGTCAGATTGCATACAAGACGGTTAAGGACCAGAAGGCTTTTGAGAAGGGACTTCTTGGTGTGTAGTACCTGCGAGGCCAATGCTGCGCCCATGTTGGTCTGACACCTATTACAGAGAAGACAGCGAAGCAGACGACCGACATTATACTATACGACCAGAAAGTCATTGTGTTCAAGATGGAGTCGGACGTAATGCTGTATGTGGTGGGAAGCGCCGATGAGAACGAGGTTCTGCTCTACAGGTACTGTCATGCCGAACGAGTGTGTAAGCGACTGGCCCAGTGCTAATACCGACCAGCGTCGTCCTCGCTCTGAGAGACTCGCTCAACATCCTCCTCAAGTACACAGCCATAGGAAGGACTGGAATTGGGCAACGGGTTAACACGTGGCAGGAACTCGGTTGACAAGCGCACTGTTATCGAAAACTACGACCTCGTGGTACGCATCCCCGTGCTTGCATGTCGCATTCCTCCATTGGCTAACCATAATAGTCTCTCGCTATCGATGAATTGGTAGACGACGGCATCATCCTCGAGACCGACCCCGTCATTGTCGCCTCGCGCGTCAGCAAGCCCCCGGCGCAAGACATGACGTCGATGAAGAACATTGACCTTTCAGAACAAGGTTTCTTGAATGCGTGGGAGTTTGGCAAAAGGCAGCTTGCGGAGAGGATACGGCAGGGTCTATGAGCTTCTTTGGTTTGGGCATGGCGTTGCTGGAGTTGAGGATACAGTTGCCGCTTTGCGAATGCTATGAATCGTGACGTGCTGCATGATAGAGTGGGTAGCGCATTACGCCAGAAAAAAAGGCCTAATCAAGACTGTACTCTGCTTCCACTGACGCCATCAGCAGGCCGCTGTGATCCAAATGTATGTACTGGTGTCGAAGAATCCCTTAGTAAGCGTTGGGCCAGGAACAAAGGTCCGTTTTGCATGACCCTTGCAATCGCGCTACTTGAGCACCTTCGTCATCGCCGCATCCCACCATCAGTCCCCGAACCCCACTAACCACAGACTCTGCACACGACACACAACCATGAAGCAGAGATTCTCCAGCTTGGACGTCAAGGTGGGCCGTTGCGAGTTACACTGAAAACAACATTTACTAATTGACTCACAAGGTCATAGCCCATGAGCTTTCCGCCAAACTCACTTCTCTCAGAGTCACCAATGTTTACGATCTGAGCTCCGTATGTACTGCCCATATCGCAACCAGTGCAATGCATATCCGCATACTCACGTATGTCTAGAGAATCTTTCTCATCAAGTTCCACAAACCCGACCACCGCGAGCAGCTGCTCATCGACTCGGGCTTCCGCTGCCACCTCACGGAATATGCCCGCACTACGGCTGCGGCCCCTTCGGGCTTCGTCGCAAAACTGCGCAAGTACCTCAAGACAAGACGTGTCACATCAATTTCTCAAATAGGCACCGATCGTATTCTGGAGTTCCAGTTCTCTGACGGACTATATCGGCTCTACTTAGAGTTCTACGCCGGCGGAAACATCATCCTAACTGACGCCGACCTCAACGTGCTGTCGCTTCTGCGAAATGTGGACGAGGGAGAGGAACACGAGAAACTTAGAGTTGGCTTAAAGTACAATCTTACCTTGCGACAAAATTATGGTGGCGCCCCAGAGCTCACCAAGGAGAGAGTGTGTCAAGCGCTACAGAAGGCGGTCGACAAACAACAGGATCAGCCGGTTGCAGCAGGAAGGAAGGCTAAAAAAGCAGGAAAGGATTCTCTAAGAAAAGCGCTCGCTGTCTCCATCACAGAATGCCCTCCTTTACTGGTCGATCATGCGCTTCATGTTGCCAGCTATGATTCGTCTTTGAAACCGGAGGAGGTTCTTGCTGATGATGGGCTCGTCAAAAGGCTAGTTGAGGTGCTACAAGATGCAAGGAAAATTACAGATGAAATTACAAAGACCGATCAGATCAAGGGCTATATTCTCGCAAAGCCCAATCCCTCGGCCTCAAAACCCGACGACGAGTCTTCTGATAAATCGCGTCTTCTCTACGATGACTTCCATCCTTTCCGACCACAGCAATTTGAGAACACCGACTATACTTTTCTGGAGTTTGACGGTTTCAACAAGGCGGTGGACGAGTTCTTTTCGTCAATAGAAGGGCAGAAACTTGAGTCGAAACTTACAGAACGCGAACAACAAGCTAAGAAGAAGCTAGAGAAAGCGCGCAAAGAACATGAAGATCGCATCGGTGGACTACAGCAAGTACAAGAATTGAATTTTCGCAAAGCAGAAGCAATCCTGGCAAATGTCCATCGCGTGACCGAAGCCACTGAAGCTGTAAACGGGTTGATCAGGCAGGGCATGGATTGGGTCGATATTGAGCGCTTGATTGAACGCGAACAAAACTCTGGCAACGCCGTGGCGCAGTTGATTAGATTGCCCCTCAAGTTGCATGAGAATACGATCACCCTGCTTCTCAACGAGACAAATTGGGAAAAAGGCGGAGAAGAGGAAGACGAGGGCAACGAGACGAGTTCTGTGAGTGAGGATACTGACGACGAGGACGACCGTCCTAGAAAGACTTCTCCGCCAAAACCAGTGGCACGACCGCAACTAGCTATCGACATTGATCTCGGTTTAAGTGCCTGGGCCAACTCTACCGAGTATTTCGACCAAAAGAAGACGGCTGCCGATAAAGAAGGCCGTACCCTTCAAGCATCCTCAAAAGCGCTCAAAAGCCACGAGAAAAAGGTGGCTGAAGATCTAAAGAAGGGACTGAAGCAAGAGAAGGAAGTGCTCCGGCCGGTGCGCAAACAGCATTGGTTCGAAAAGTTCATCTACTTCATCTCTTCAGACGGCTACCTGGTTCTCGGAGGCAAGGATGCACAGCAGAATGAGATCATATACCGTCGTTTTCTACGAAAGGGAGACGTGTATGTGCATGCAGATCTTAAAGGCGCCATGCCCATGATCATCAAGAACAAACCAGACACGCCGGATGCTCCTATTCCACCATCGACCTTATCACAAGCCGGAAACCTCAGTATATGTACATCTGACGCATGGGACTCGAAGGCGGTCATGTCAGCATGGTGGGTCCGTAGCGATCAAGTCAGCAAAACTGGACAGACGGGGGAATTTCTCCCTGCCGGCATGTTCAATATCAAGGGAAAGAAGGAGTTTTTACCACCAGCTCAACTTGTGGTTGGGCTTGCAGTCATGTTTGAAATCAGTGATTCAAGCAAGGCGAACCATCACAAGCATCGGGTGCAAGAGACTGCAGTTTCCGCTGCCGAAATGACTGATGAGCCAACGAACGAATCAAAAGAAGCAGCAGCTATGAAGACTGATGAGAGCGATGATGACGAGTTCCCGGATGCAAAGATTAATTCCGACTCTGAAGACGATTTCCCAGATGCGAAAATGGAACACACTGAAGAGAGCGACGCCGAGTCCGAAGCTGCAGCTTCAAGGAGTAATCCTCTTCAGTCTTCAACAAGGAATGCCAAAGAAGACTCTGACGAGGAGGAAGAGCCTTTGGTTGGTAAAAGGGGTGCTGAGCATGCAAAACCTGGGGAAAATAATGGCGTTGTTGCAAAGGAAGAACCACCAGAAAATGAAGGCTCAATAGCTGATTCTGAGTCGATATCGAAGTCTATGGGACGTGGAAAACTATCTGCAAGGGAGCGCCGCCTAGCGAGGAAGGGCCAGCTTCCAGAGCTGCCTCAAGTGCCGTCTGATACAGTGCCTGTAGTTGATGGGGCTGATCAAGATGAACGTGATTCCACAGAAGGTGGTAGCACTAAGGCGGCTACAAAGGTGGATGAAACTGTTACATCGCAGATGAACAAGCAAAAGAATCCCCCCCTCCCACGTGGAAAACGTGCAAAAGCGAAAAAGCAGGCAGCGAAATATGCAGCGCAAGACGAGGAAGATCGTGAACTGGCCATGCGGCTTTTAGGTTCCAAGTCTGGCCAGCAAGCTGCGGAAGCCGCAGCACAGGAGAAGCGTCAAAAGGAAGAGCAAGCACAAGCCGACAAGCAACGCCGGCGCGAACAACATCTTCGTGCTCAAGCTGCGGGTAAAGCTGCCGAAGAGGCCCGTCTCCGTGCGCTCGAGAATGCCGAAGACGATGACGAAGGCGACGAAGTCCTAAAAACAAACCTGCAAAATCTCGATGCATTCACTGGCCGCCCGCTACCAAACGACGAGCTGATCTCGGCAATCCCAGTCTGTGCTCCTTGGTCCGCCCTCTCGACTTACAAATACAAGGCCAAAATGCAGCCTGGTTCCACCAAGCGCGGCAAAGCTGTTAAAGAGGTGCTGGCCATCTGGGATAATGCGGGTAAAGATGCCAAGATTGTTGATAAGAATAGTCAGGATGTCGAGCGCATCTGGCCCAAGGAGATTGATCTGATTCGCGGATGGAAGGAGACGGAGGTTGTGGGTGTGGTACCTGTTAGTAAAGTGCGAGTGATGATTGCGGGAGGGAGGCGAGGCGCGGAGATTGCGAAGGGGAAGAAGAAGAGTGTGAGGGGTGGAAGGGGATCTAAGAAGAAGTGAGTTGGATTATGTAGGAAATGAAATACTAGAGCGGTTGTCCCTTGCATTGTGGAGCGTAGAAGAAGGATAAAGTACTAGAGACGAAGTAGTATCGTCCGACATCTGATGGTACAAATTGAATGTAGTAGCTAGTTCTGCTCAATGAACAAAGTGATGCTAGCAAACGAAAATCCAAAAATAGTCGTACTTTGATCGACACAAACCGCCTCTGATCATTTCCTTTTCTTCATCTAACCACCATGATAGACGGCACGTTTAAACCAAGCTAGCCTTGAATAACCAATGCCCTCTGATTAAGCTTCCGTGATTGTCTTCGATTAAGCTACAATCTAGATCACCTCCCCACCTCCCCCCACGCCACACTTCGCTCACGTGGTTTACTATATTCATCGTCGTGTTATAGGAAAGGGGTGTATCCTTGTGCACTCCTGTGTGCAGGGTGTTTCGGGATACCGAGTAGTCTCGGTGATATGCATATGTCACATACGCATACGCAGGAGATTTAGTAGCTAACTTTGCTGGAAGGTTTTGCGCACGTGGTTTTAATGGGGGTTGCTAAGTTCGGGGGTTTGGGGCCTTACGTGCGTATGGCTTGCGGGGAAACGGGAGCGGACTGGAATAGTGCGACTTCTATGATTGGGGATTGCGTCATCGAGACGCTGGACGAGTTTTGGATTGTGTGTGTTTCTCTAGGATTGACCTTGTTTGGAGTAGCATTTGAGGTGGTGGACTTTTTCTTCTTTTTTAGATAAGACTTTTTTTTCTCCGCGCCCTAGAGGGTCTCGCACCAACATGCTTTGTTACATTGAAGGATATAGGAATCCATCAGCCAGAGTCTTGGGATCATCAAGGACTCCGATGACTACTGTTTTAGTTCGACTTGTGCGAGGTGCTCATTGGAAGAACCGGTTACAGCGTTCTGTGGTTCTGGTTCCGGCCGACGCTAGATAATAGTGATTGGCAGTACATGGTTTCTTAGTCGAGAGATTGCCTAGTACACACGAGCTGTATGCTCCTCCCTTTCACAGTCATACACACGTGTAGTGCGCCGTAGGACTTGTGGGATCCACTAGGCCGCGAATGGGTTGCATAGCCAACGGAAAATTGAGCATGAGCGGGGACAAGCATCTTATGCCTAAAAAAAGCTACAGGAGTAAAGCTGACCACTGCGAACATCAAGTAAGCAGGGCATAAACTTCTGGCTTATTGCATATGCAACTCTGGTGTTGCAAGAGGACCTCTCGATGCAGCGATGTCTGTGACCAAGACCTTGCTCCAATGGAGCATCCATGGTACAACAGATGATACGACAGCAATTGAGCTGAAGGAGTCACGATGGAAATTCATAGTACAGATCAGTATTGAGAAGTGAGCCAGGACCAAGAGCTTATTGACACGTGGGTCAGCGATCGTCACGGGGGGCCGTAACTGGGAAGCGAAGTGTTTGAGCTTTCTGGTAGTGGCAAGCGTCGTCTGGACGTGCAAAGCATCAACGAAGAAGAACGATTCGACAACGCGTGAGAGTGTAATATGGGGAATGCTGCGTAGGATGCGAAAAAGCAACTATGCCATAGCCAGGTCTGGGCAAGTACAGCCCGCGGCGGTGCTGTGAGCAGGCGTCACACGAAAGCGGCGCCTTTGGTAATCTCCGACCGGCAGCAAGTCTGGAGAAGGCATGCGACCCACGACCCACGACCGACCCACGACCCGGGCGGATAGCGACGCCCCTTTTCCCCAGTGTAAGTACCAAGCCAGGGTCTCGTCTGATGCAGTAGACTGGCGCAGACGTTTTTCGGTTTTTCAATTGCACTGCCGCGTTTTTCCCCTCCCACAGTACTGGAGCCTCTGCACTGCCCAAATCGCAACTCTGACATCCTCGCCGCTGTACATAATTTGGACATATTGTCGCAGGGGGTCGTATCGACCGCACCCCTTCATTTCGCTTTACCCGCCACTATTCTTGCCCGGGACAAATTCCATGACCAGGACCCGCGTCGCACATCATGAGCGATGAGGCCGTGAACCCCTCTAGCCACGCGGCGGTGGAGCCGTACGAGGCCTCGAATCCGCTCGCGCCTGTACTCTCGAATCCCCAAAGTGCACTATCAGTAAAAGGCACGGCGTCGCGCTCATGGCTGGCCAACGTCCGCCGACCGCGCACTTCGCCAGGACCCCGCGCATTTTCTTTAAAGCGCACGCCGCCACACGGAGATGATGACGATCGCAGAGATTCGGCCCTGGCCTCTTCCAACGGCACTATCGTCAACGAACCGCCTTCACCAAGGAGTCTGCGCAGGACGCCAAGTCTGCCTGCAATTGTAATTCACGACGAGCGCTCATCCAGGACAGAACATGCACACGACGAAGACGACGCTGCTTTTTCCCGGCTCGAATGCATCATCCCTACCGGCGGCTTTGACGACATTTCCTCGGACGCGCTGATATCTTTTTCGAAGCGGGGCAGCATGATGTTGGGTGGCAAAAGGGCAAACAGGAAGAGTAGGCATATGGATTTGCTTGTAGAAGGCGCGCCCACACCGAGTGCGCCGCAGCGACAGGAAGAGGAGGTGGTGAAGGAGGCGGAAGAGGAGGAAGAGGAGGAGCAGGCAGAATCACAAGAGCAAACACAGCGAGAGTCACAAGAGCAACCGCAACCCACCTCCACCCAGATGCAGCAGGAGTCCCCGCAACCCCCGCTCCCCACCGCGAGACTCCTGTCCCCACGAGCAACCTCTCGTGTCTCCGGCAGATCACGATCCATAAGCCACCGTGTTCTTTCCACTGATGAGATGACCTTGTCGCGCAAGGTGCGCTGCATGTACATGCACGGAAACGAAAGCGCCGTCAACTGGGATGCGCCAGAGGAAGATAGCAGGAGCATTCAGAATAGTTATCGTGGTAACAGCAGCGTCAACAATGCGGCCATGGAAGTTATCGAGGACGATAGCTCCCTTATGAGCTCGAGGCGTGGTAGCGTCATCGTCAAGGAGCCCACCGAGGCTGCTGGCGGGCTGGAGGATTGGGCTGATCTCGAGGGTGGCGAGGTTGATCGTTATGGCTTCATTATCCCCAAGAGGTCGAGATCGAAATCCAACAGCGAAGGTATAGACGGCCCCGACGAACCCCATATGCAACGAGTCACCACAACGCTGCAGCTGCTATCTGAAGAGCCCAGGCGTCGCCGATTAGGCCGGAGTGTCTCACGCGCGCCTTCCACAAAGTCTGGCGGTCCTCGAGCCGGCTCACTCAAACGACGGTTTTCCGGCAGGTCTTCCAGGCCCGCTCGATCTATCTTCTCTGGAAAGACATCAGACTCCCGTACGACCTTCAAACCTTTGCGCCATGCCGCAAACAAACTACCTCACAACCGTGATCGACGGTTGAGAGACGAAGCAAGCGATATGCTCAAACTACCACCGGGCTTGGCTGAGGTTGCCGAACAGAAGGAGGGCGGTAGGGCTGCCCGAGCTATGAAGGCAAAGGAAATCGAGCGGAACGAAAAATGGCGCAAGATGGCAAAAATTATCAAGGCAGGCGCAGACAAGGGCGGCATGCTTTTCGAATTCGAGACCAAAGACCCAAAAGTCATATCTCGCACGTGGAAAGGTATTCCCGATCGCTGGAGAGCGACTGCATGGTATTCCTTCCTGGCTGCAAGTGCCAATGCGGATGCCGACAGCCCAACTGAGGAGGAGCTTATTGTCAGCTTTTATGAGCTTCAAGAAGAAGGTTCCGCAGACGATGTACAGATCGATGTCGATGTACCACGCACCATTAACAGACACATCATGTTCCGACGCCGGTATCGTGGTGGACAACGACTACTTTTCCGTGTACTTCACGCAATGTCATTGTATTTGCCCGAAACGGGTTATGTTCAAGGTATGGCCTCGTTGGCTGCCACGCTCCTGTGCTATTATGAAGAAGACCGAGCATTTGTGATGCTCGTTCGATTGTGGCAGCTTCGAGGCATGGAGAGGCTCTATGAGGCAGGGTTTGAAGGCCTCATGGAGGCTCTTGACGATTTTGAGCTCAACTGGCTGCGCGGAGGTGACATTGCGCAGAAGCTGGTAAGTCGAACTCGACACCACAGAATCATGGCATATCAGCTTACAACATTTCACAGACAGACTTGGGCATCACATCAACCGCATACGGCACGCGCTGGTACCTCACTCTATTCAATTACTCGTTACCATTTCCAGCACAACTCCGTGTTTGGGATGTATTCATGCTGTTGGGCGACAAGTCCCACGCTACTACACCAGGATCCAAGTTCAGCGCAGATATGGATGTCTTGCATGCTACATCGGCTGCACTTATCGATGCAACACGAGAAATCCTGCTTGATTCCGACTTTGAGAATGCCATGAAGGTCCTGACATCATGGATCCCGATTAAAGACGAGGATCTGCTGATGCGGGTAGCCAAGGCAGAATACAAGATGAGGAAGAAACGAGCCAATGCCTGACGTAGGCGGTTCCAAGTGCAATGCGACGGAAGCGCCCACTTCAGGCTCTGCGGGCGCATTGCGATTTGAAGGGTGATGGTGCACCGAAGATAGAAACGCTTCCTGTTAAACCCTCGCCCCCCCCTTCTATGGCCTTTTCCAGAAGCTACCGGGTCGATCTCTTAGGATCGGTGGCGCGCAAATCTCAACGTGGCTGGCACGTTTTACGTTTTCCAAGGTTTTGCAACACAAGATACCTTTTGCTTTTTTAGTGGGATGCCGCCCACTTTAGCCGCGACACATCACTTCCTGTTTACCCTTTGGGCGTCTTTTAGCGGTGCCGCCCGAACGACGCTGCCACTCGACTGGTATCAAGGATGCCTCAGTTGCCCACCGTCGGGTCCCGGTCTGAACATGGATGATTCTGGGAAAGCGTTTTTCCAGGCCTTACCCTTTTGAGCTGGGTTTTGGTGTTGGGCGCACGGCTGCGACGATTACTGATCAAGATACCTCTTGTTTTTCTTTTTTGTTCCTTCTTTTCCGGGTCTGTTCACGCATCCCTATCAATATACCAGAGACGGCGTTCTTTCTGCAAACGGCATAGGGAAGCATTGCATTCTTGCATATATTCATGTATACCCAATATAATCTAGGCTCTGCACGTAGCCGAATAATACATACTAGTTGATTACGCTATGCAAGTTGAACATGGTGATGGTGGTGAAAATGCACTAATTGGTAATGATTATGGAAGGCAACATTTCTTGATTGAGAGCAAACGAGGGTTGGTGGCTTATTGATAATGGACGTATTAAACATTGTCAACACATGGATCGGATCGGGACATTGTCCGATAGGAAGAAGGGCAATAAGAGGACTGAAGCTGTTTGGGCTGAATGTTTGGAGTATTTGCTTGGCTCAGGAGAGTAGAGTTTTGAGCTAGAGATGAGAGGGGCAGTACCTCCGGGAACGCTGCCAGGGGAGACGGATCGAAGCGAGTACGCGAGAACGTGTGAGAGTAGTGTTTGACTAATGAGGCATATCAAAGGGGGTGGTCGAGGGAAGGTGATTGATACGAGCGGCAATTGGAGAGCGTGGTGTACACAGTAGATGCGCCAACGAGCGATGGTTTGGGGGTTTCAAGCCACAAAGAGTAAAAGTTGCGGAGAGGGTGGTGGCATGTCGGGTGGAAGATGAGTCAATACTTAGCACATGCCAGTAGACTTTACTCCAACTCCAACAACCCTTCGGCACGCCGTCGAGGCATGTGCAGCCGGAGCGGCAGAGTGTTGGGAATGCGGTGCCGGCAACAATGACGACAGG